CCAAGCCGCTAAGCCGCTTATCAGCTGATCCGCTAAGCCGCTAAGCCGCTTAACAGCTGATCACTAAGCCGCTTATCAGCTGATCCGCTAAGCCGCTTAACAGCTGATCCGTTAAGCCACTAAACCGCTTAGCAGCTGATCTGCTAAGCCGCTAAACCGCTTATCAGCTGATCCGCTAAGCCCGCTAAGCCGCTAATAGCGCTAATCCGCTAAACCGCTAATGGGCTTGCTTCGCAAGACGAAAAAACCGCAAGACGAAGAGACTCGCGGAACGGATTCTTTTCGTCTTGCGAGGCACCACTGTATTGTTTAGAAGCTGTTCCTTGGTCAAGCAATGAGAGTGAGGCCTTGTGGGTAATCAACAAGCCACAAGGACCATGGGAAATAAGTTCTGTCCCTTTAACCCCAGACTAACAGGCACCCAGGGTGTGAAAGGTTTATTATGGGAAAGGAAACCCCTGATTTAATGGAAGGCTTGACACCTGGGTCCGAAGTTCTGTGCATTCCCTTAGCCTTGATTGCCTGGGAATGTGCATCTGCAGAGGCTCCACAGAAGGGAGGGAACCCCTTTGATTTAGGCTCTGGGTTCTTAATTGGCCCAGCTGCCAGAAGTTAGATTGATTAGCCCGCAAGCCGGTCATTGGAGAATTTAAAAATAATCAAGAGTTATGATTGGTTTTGGGGGTTCCGACGCCACGTGTAAATCGGGGATAAAAGATCTGGGAAATGGCTGAGAAAGTGCGCTCTGCCATCCGCAAATTGCCCTGCTGCTGATGTTCCATCTAAGTAGCTGTCCTTACGTCCTTTGTGATGGAGAACTGCGAAAGCCTCTGAAATGCGGAACATTGAAAGGACTCTAACTATCCTATTTGTGCTTTAGTTGTGAGTATGTAAGCCAGTTAGATTTTATAATGTCTTTATTTTTTTGCCTGTAACTTTCTAAAGAAGTGCCTGCTATTTTAGCATGTTTTCTTATGTTCTTTTAAAATAAATTTTAACTAAGAAACTGTTTTGGTTTGTGTGCCTTTCCGGGGGAAAAGCTAATTCCTAGCCTTACACTTAGTTACACTCTACCGTAGAATTTCTGTCTGCAAGTCTGTGGATACAACTTGTGGAGTGGGGATAACCAATAATAACTTTTTCTCCCTGGGTTGTGGCTCTGGGTTCCCCAGAACAGAGGGAGTGGTGGCAGCCTTACCGGTGTGTTTTTGTCCTGTTTCTGTAAACGTAAACTTGCCTGCCAGCCCTGTTCAAGAAACCTGATCTGGCCGGAGAGCAAAGACAGGTGAGGGAGGAGCGAGCGGCTGGGGGCGAAGTTTACCACACACCCCATCGTGGGGATTCGAACCACCAACCTTCTGATCGGCAAGCCCTAGGCTAGGCTCTGTGGTTTAACCCACAGCGCCACCCGCGTCCCTTGTGGTGTAACATTACAGCAGCTTAATTTACAGGAGCTTGCTTTATGTGCATAGGGTTTCTCCCTAAATTATTCTGGAAGAGTCAAGTCCTGCTTCACTGTTGTTTATTACACAGAGTTTAAGGGAAATGTAATTTCTATTCCAGAGCCCAAGTCCAATTCATATGCACCATTCTTCCTGAGAAAGTACAAGACCATTTTTTTCTCTTCCGCTTTGACATGTTGCTTGTCATTTTCTATCAGCCAGAAACCCCACAGGCACAGAAAAGAGCAATGAATATTATTTTCTACTGAACCATGGGGGAATATTGCTGGAACCAAAACCACTGTGTGATGTAGACCTCTGTTACTTAAATAGTCTGAAGTGATGGATATTCTGGAGGCTGGTACATTGACATGTTCAGAGTTTTAAAAGTGTTTTCAGATATTTTGCCCACAGATGCCTTTGCACAAAATTTTTATCATGTATATATATATTTCAATTTACAGTGCAAGTAGGAGGAAAGACACATGGGCTGGTTCACACAGAACTGTTCATTGCTTCATGCCTGCATCAGTAAGTGGTTATGTCAGCGTGTGACTCAGACATCTCAAATCCCACACCGAGTCAGTTTCTCAGTGGTGCTGCCGGGGCAAATCTTGAAGTCCAGGGTCCCAATTCAGCAGAATAAGGGGGGCAGGAGCATTGGATGAGGGGTGTGGGGGGTGCGGTCCACCCCAGGTGTCATCCCTGAGGGGTCAAAAAATGGCACACCGCGGGGGGCAGCACTTACCATGGGGCCTGGCCTGCAGCACACCCGAGCCACACGTCTCTCCTGGGTGTGACGCAGTGGCTCGGGGCCCCGCGTTGCCCGAAATGGCAGCATGGGGCTTGCGCCTGCCAGGACTTGCACCCTCCGTGGTGCGGGGTAACGCTTACCCCACATTGAAGAGAAAGGAAACATGGTAGCATGCAAAGAGGGTTCCCATAAAACCATTAACTCAACAATCTAGAATTACCTGGCTGTGTCACTGCAGTCTTTCCACATCCATCTGTGAGTTATCAAGCGGCAAGAATTGACTCCCACATTGACACACGTGCGTGAACAGCCCTTAGACACACACAGTTGCCACCTTTGAACCTACCAAATGATGGACAGGCCAGCCAATGACCACCTCCATGGGATAAAAGAACAAAACAAGAGCCCTTCCGAATCAGGCCAATGGCCCGCCATCTTGCCCAGCATCCTGATCTCCTTGTGCGCAACCAAGTGGGAAGCTCAGAAGCAGAATCCGAGCAAATGACTCCACTTCCTCTCCTGCAGTTTCCAGCACCTGTCTTGAATGAATAGGTTATCAAGAAATAAAATAATAATAATAATAATACTCCTAAACATTATAGAGAGAGAGAGAGAGAGAGAAAGGACTGCCTATATCACTATTGTCTACACTGACTGGCAGCTCAGGGTGATGCCAGGGACTGACCTTCAGGATGCAGAGAAGATGAGCTATAGTCCTACCATAGTGTGGGCTTTTACTTGCTGGAGATCTTCAAACAAAGTTGCTTGATAGCCATATGCCAGGAGATGTCTAACTCTGGATTTCCTGCATCGAACAGCAGGTTAGACCAGATGGCTTTCCAGGCCTGTTCCAGCTCTATGATTATGTAAGGAGCATATTTCTCCTAGCATCCTACTTTCCCATGTCCAGGATTTTGGGGTTGGGTTTTTTGTTTTTGTTTTGGTATGGCAAAAGCATTCAAATGTGCAAAAACCAACCCAGCAGCCTGAAGTGGTACAGTCTTAGAAGACTTTTACCACTTGATTCTGCTGAAAACATAAAGTCGTTATTTCTCATGCTGACATATTCACATCTTTGAAATGACTGTTGTTTCTGCTGTGATTCTATCCTTAGCAGGCAGAAAAGGTTATTCTTCAGGTTTGGACAAGGCAGTCAGAAACATAGAGAAACATCCATCAACATTCTTGAATCTTTAGCACCCTCTTGTGGAAAAGTATTTGCATGACATTAGCTAGCAATGAACATGTGTAGAATTACGTATATATTGCAAGCTCCTTGGAGCTTGTCCATCTCCTTCTGTGTGAGTGATGGCATCATCTAAACCAGGGTTTCCCAAAGTTGGGTCTACAGCTCGGGGGTTTTTTATACTACAAATCCCATCATCCCTAGCTACCAGGACCAGAGATGATGCAAATTGTAGTCCAAAGTTTCTCCTTCCTTTGGTCTTCTTTGTGGGTGGAAAGAAAACGCTTTCCCTGCTAAGCATGCTAAGTGTTCCTCCAGACTGTCAGTATTTTGCAGGAGGGGGCCTTCAAAATACAGGAACTTTAGGTTTATGCCATTAAAAGTGGGTTAAAGCATTCTCTGTTCTTAGCGCAACACATCCACTTTGTTTTTTCCCCTTATGGTTTGCATTCAGAAGTGTGGGCTGATTAACACGAAGAAACACCCTGCAAGTAAATCAGGATTAATGATAGTTGTTGTATTAATTGCCCTGTCAACAGATCAAAAAGAATGTTCAGCGAAGACTGGATCTAACCTCTGCATAAGGCTTGTGAAAGCAAATCAGGATGATCCGTTTGTCGTTTTTACCTCTGCATTATGCTTTTAGGAAGCTGGGCAGAAAGAAGGCGTTCAGCAAACGTAGCTTTCTCCAGCAGGGCAATTCTGTGGTAGAGAGTCACCTGTTGGATTTCCACTCCTGATGCTATTAAGGTTTCATTAGGAGCCTTGCCAGAAATTGCACTAACCAAGGGCCAGACCAAGACATTGTGGCGCCTGAGGTGAAACACAAAATGGTGCCCCCAGCCCGGTCACCCGCCTGGGAAGATCTACATCAAGAGGAAAGGTGGAATAGAAATCTGGATTGGGATCTACTGCCTGTGTGGATCCTGCTGGCGGAGCCATTTGCCTCATGGACCCTGGTCTGGGACTAATGCATTTGAGCAACTGCCACCTCATGACAGGCTGCTTGCTGGGCCTTTACTAGCCTGTAGGACAGGCAGAAATGCAACAGGTGAAGCTTGCACCACCACAGCATTTTCTCCAGCCAGAAAAACAACAAAATCCCTGCCAAACTGCTGCATATCAGGCAACTTATAAAAAGCACAGCAGCGTCTATTTCATTTATTTCATAACATTTATATACTGCTTGATTGTAGGGGGGAAATCTCTAAGCTGTTTCTATTTATCTTATGATTGATTTGCTTTCTTTTCTTTTTTTAAATCCTGTGTTTTGTACAACACGTGATTCAAAAATGTTTCCATGCAGTATTTTTTTTAGGGGGAACTACTGGCAAGTTCAGGTGTGGTTTAAAAAAAAAAAAAAGGAGGGGGAAGCCAGACAGCGACGGTACTCTTCCCCCCCTATTTTTCTAATGGTAACGTCTCTGCTCTGAGAATGACACATCAGTGGACGCTTCCATGAGAACGCTGAACGGGGGGGGGCGAAGGGAGAAAGAGATGCCGGCAACTTCTCCCTATTTGAAAAGGGCATGGCGGCTCCTCTCAGCTCCCTACCACGTGACTGGCTTTCCAACGGTCTTCGGCTGGCGGCGTGCGCGCGCGCTCGGAACGCTCGGGAAGAAACCGTCCCCCTTTTAAATGTTTGAACTCGGGGCGCGAGGACAGAGCTGGGCTGCGCCTGCGCGTCCTTGGCTTTGCCTCAGTCCCCATCAGAAACTGCTTTTTTCACAGCCTCCTTTATTTGGGCGGCTTTGTTTTGTGATTTGGGTCTGAGGCGGAGAAAGTGCGTGGAGGAATTTTCGGGCGAGGGGCAGCCAGAGCAGGGCTTGGTACCTTCGTAGAGACCTGAGGAAGTTGGGGGGTCGACTTCTGAGAGAAAAGGGGTGCTTTAGGTCCCCCTTCAAAATACCAGGGGTGCTTTTGACCCCTTCCTAACACAAAAAGCAGCTTTTTTTTGTTTTACTGACAATGAGAAGAAGAAATTAACCAACCTGCTTATCCCATCAAGAGAAGGAGAGGGATGCTTAAACTCTCTGTTTAAGAAGCGACTCATTGACACAAAGGGTTGTGGGTGGGTTGCGCTAGAATAATTTGCTGAGCCCTTCTGAAAATAAAAAGACCCACAAAAAAGAAGGAAGGAAGGAAGGAAGGAGAAGAAAGAAAAAGAAAGAAAGAAAGAAAGAAAGAAAAAGAAAGAAGCCTGAGGGAAAGGATACTTCATTTTCTACTCTGGTCACATCCCCAAAGGAAGAGGGGCCCTGGGCAGAAGTTTGGATGGTAATATCCAGAAGATAAGAGCAAGAGTTAAAGCGGAGAGCCATTGCTCACACACCCCACACAAGAAGTACTCTGACCCCCATAACAAGAGGGGAATAAAAATTGTGAATAGGACGTAGTTTTCTGTGACGAGAGGGCGAGCACAGATTATGGGTCCCATGACATGAAGATGCAGCTGTGGTCCTTTTATAAGAGTGGAGTTCATAGGGAAAAGTTTGGCCACGGACACACATGACCAAGAACAGCACAAAACAGGAGGTGCTTTGACTCCTGATGAAAGAGAGCCACAGATACAGATGGATAGGCCATTTGACCCAACCCATGCCAAGAGGGAGAGAGCTGTAAACCCCCCCATGATAACTGGGACTAATACAACTACATGAGAAGCAAAGGATAATAAAGAGGGAATCTGGCCGCAAGAGAAGCCCAGCGTTAAAAGAGGGCCTAAGTGAATATACAATACTCCTTGGAGACAGTGGTGTTTCATCATGGAGAATGACCACACCACCATGCTGTTTTTGATTATGGGAGGTGGCACCTTGTTGCTGGCAACTGAGGTCAGGGCAGTGACTCGCAGCCTTGTGGGCCATCTAGAGCTGCAGCTCTTCCTGCTGGAGATGTTGGCCACTTTCCAGTTGTGTGCTTGCTTTGGTATGCTGCATCCTCTGGCTCAGCTGGAGAACCATACCCAGCTCTATCTTGGCCACCTTTATTCTTTCCTCACTATGCATTTCCTCTTGACCTTAAGTGAGAGCATAAGCAATCCCACCTGCATCCTGCTAGACATCTTGCAGAAGGGCATCTCAATGAAGCAAGGCGGGCTGAAGATTGTGGCCCAGTTCATTGGGGCCTTTCTAGCCAAACTGTACCAAAATGCTGTCTGGTTTGTAGGGATCAGCAATTTATTCCCTCATCCCCAGGAATGTAGCAATCCTCTCAAGACGTATTTTTTAAAGGCCCTTTGCACAGAGCTTGTAACCTCCATCACATTCCAGTTTACTGTGCTGGAGTCGCAATCGCAAGAGATCCGTGTCAGAGCTAATGTGCTTTCCCTCACCATCACCTCGCTGGTGTATGCAGGTCTGTTGCCCCTTCTGTCTCTTGTCTGAAAAAACGGCTGGCAAGGTTATATGTGTGAAACATATACAGTACTTACCATCTAAGGAGTTGTCAAGGTGGGAATATGTCTGAACAATCACCATAAAAAGATGGCCTGTGGCAAGGTAAAGGGGACTCCTGACCGTTAGGTCCAGTCGTGACCGACTCTAGGGTTGCGGTGCTCATCTTGCTTTACTGGCTGAGGGAGCCGGCGTACAGCTTCCGGGTCGTGTGGCCAGCATGACTAAGCCGCTTCTGGCGAACCAGAGCAGCTCACAGAAACACCGTTTACCTTCCCGCTGGAGTGGTACCTATTTATCTACTTGCACTTTGACATGCTTTCGAACTGCTAGGTGGGCAGGAGCAGGGACCGAGCAATGGGAGCTCACCCTGTTGCGGGGATTTGAACCGCTGACCTTCCGATCGGCAAGCCCTAGGCTCTGTGGTTTAGACTACAGCGTGCTACCCCTAATCTTCTTTCACGTGTCCCCTGCTGATTGTCTCTGTCCCTGCTTCCTCAAGTTATAGAATCTTAGAGTTGGAAGGGACCAAGGGTCATCTAGTCCAACCCTAGTCCCATATAGCCACACTCTTTTGTGTGTTTGTTGTTCACCTCTATATGCTCACATGATCATGGGGTTGAAGCAATGCCCTATGGAGAAAAGTTACAACATTTAGGGCTCTGGGGGAGGCAATTAAGGGCAGACATGATAGACATGTAAATAATGATGCAAGGTGTGGAAAAAGTGGACGGAGATGCTTTTCTCCCTCTCATAATATTGGAACCTGTGGTCATCTGAGAAAACTGAATCCCACTTTAAAGTTACCCACCCATCACTACATCTTATGGTAGTGAATTTCATAGTTTGTGCTGTATGAAGAAGTATTCCTTTCTCCTGAATCTTCCAGCATTCAACTTGGTTGGATGTTCCTGAGTTCTAGCATTATGAGAGCATGAGAAACACTTTTTATATCCACTTTCTCCATGCCATGTATAATTTTATACACCTCTTATCAAGGGACCATTTAGCCCTTTTTTCTAAACTAAAAAGACCCAAATGTTGTAACCTTTTATCACAGGGGAGCTTTTCCGGCAGCCTCCTGATAATTTGAGTGGCTCTCTCCTACATGTTTTTCCATGTTCTCCTGTTTCCATAGTGGTTTGCACATGTCTCTGGGAAAGTGTCATAGAATGAATCTAGCTAGGCATGGAAAATCATATATAGAGATGGGAAACCCCACACACTTTCAAAGTGGCTTGGCTTCATTTAGCTTTTTAAATATTTTTTGAACGTTGAAAAAACTGACATATTGTAACTTTTTGCAACTTTGGCAGCAAGAGCTACAAATGTTTTTATCATGGTTCTTGAAGAATCTAATTTCTTTTAACAGGTCAGAAGGCTGATAGAAACATACTGCTATTAGTTTAAATGAAGGGACCAATTCATACAACATATTTTCTGTTGGTGTGAACAATCCTAATTGTCTTCAAGATCATGACACAATTTAATGAATGAACTGGGCAATCATTAATATGCTCGGAAAAATTATTGTCACTGAGACATTTCTCCTAGCCACTATAATTAAGGGAATTGTCCATATCTGTGATTGCTAGTTCATACATGGTCTAAACCACTGAGCCTCTTGGGCTTGCCGATGAGAAGGTCGGCGGTTCGAATCCCCACGATAGGGTGAGCGCCCATTGCTCAGTCCCAGCTCCTGCCAACCTAGCAGTTCAAAAGCACACCAAAAAAAGAAAAGAAAAAAAGTGCAAGTAGATAAATAGTTACCGCTCTGGCGGGAAGGTAAACAACGTTTCTGTGTGCTGCTCTGGTTTCAGAAGCGGCTTAGTAACGCTGACCACATGACCCGGAAAAACTGTCTGCGGACAAACGCCGGCTCCCTCGGCTAATAAGCAAGATGAGTGCCGCAACCCCAGAGTTATCCGCGACTGAACTTAACTGTCAGGGGTCCTTTACCTTTACCTTTTTTATGATGTATGAATTGAATACCCAGTGATGGTGGAGACCTCTCATCATCAAAAATGTATCATGAAAATGTGAAGTCTCTGTCACTTTGATGGAAAATCCTGTACATGGTGAAATGGGTGAATCTCAAAAGGTCAGAAATTATATGAAAAAACTTACGTCACAATTATTGTTAATTTTACTGGGGCAGGGAAGGAAATACAAAGCTGGTTGATTTATTAGGGACTGAGGCTGCAATCTTATACTGTACCTGCTTAATGGGGAGTAAGCTCCATTTAACTCAATGGGATGAAGCCCTATGCCAGCAGCTAGCCAGTTCAGGCACTGGCCGAGTGCCCCAGGGACTTGGAAAGGTCTCTCACTGTCCTGAACCAACCACACTTCCATTCACCACGTTTCCTGCCAGGCATCCAATGCTTTTCAGTGGTGCCACTTTTGAATGGGAGCCAAGTGCAATTTAATTTCATTTATTTTCATTTATTAGACTTATTAGTCACTTGTCACCCCAAAGTGGTCTCCAAGCACCTTACAGCATAAAAAGGATATGCAGTACATAAGAACATAGGGGAAAATCAGGGGTGGGGATCATATAATACCTTAGTATTTCATATAACATCCGGGGGGGGGGGGGACACCACCAGCCGCATAAATAGAGGTGAACAACATTACCAATACTCAAATAATAAAACAATACTCTAACCCACTGATTAGCAAATAAATAAAATCTTAACCTCCCCCTTCTCCAAAAAGCATTCACATTGAAGCAACATTCCCCGCCCCATTTAACCTCCAGCTGTTACATATCCATGGTGAGTGGGTCCATTGTCCCCCAAGAATGGTCCAGCCTCTCTCCCCTCCCTCTAGGGGAGAGGAGCAGCAAAGCAAGAAGATGGTAACAAAAGTATTGCCTGCTTTGCAGTTGACCCTCTGCTGTTGGCGGGGATGCTGTTTCCATCTGCAGTGGCTATCCACCAATTTAAGTTATCCAAAATGCCATGCCCAGGCTCCATGGGCGTAGCTGTGGGGAGGCGGGGGCAGCTGCCCCCCCAATCAAATACTTAACTAAGTGACCAATTGCATTGCAGATAACTCGGTTCTGCCCCCCCAAAAGCTTTCCCCCCTAAAATAAATCCTGGCTACGCCCATGCCTGGTTCCCAGTAAGATGGCAGGTGATCAGTGGTCACTGACCACCGTGGAAAGGAGCCAGGCATGATCTGCACTGGCTACCAATTAGTTTCCGGGCCCAATTCAAAGTGCTGGTTTTGACCTATAACGCCTTAAACGGCTCAGGACCACAGTACTTCAAGGCTTGCCTCTTTTAACATGAACCTCTCCGGACCCTGAGATCATCTTCTGAGGCCCTTCTTCATGTGCCTCCTCCCTGAGAGGTCCGGAGGGTGGCAACACAAGAACGGGCCTTCTCTCCAGTGGCTCCCCATCTGTAGAATGCTCTCCTCAGGAAAGTTCGCCTGGAGCCTTCATTATACACTTTTGGGTGCCAGGCAAAAACATTCCTTTTTAACTTGGCCTTTGGTTGACCTGATTGGCATCCTATGCCCTTTTAAAATGTGGGGTTTCTTGGGGGGGTGTTATTGAGTTGTTGTTTTGATTATATATTTTGTAGTTTTATATTTTGATTTTGTTATGTGAACTGCCGTGAGATCTCCGGGTATAGAAATTCTATTATTATTATTATTATTATTATTAAACCTCCCATTCAAAAGCTCCACGGCTGAAGCCTATCCAGCGACCAGGTGGCAGAAGAAGAATGTGAGTGCTGCCACTCTGTGGCCCAACCAGGGCAAAGAACCAGCCCTCCTTGCGGGGCTGGAAGGCCCATCACTGGCCCAGAAGTGCAAAACTAGCCCTGAGCGTTTGCTCAGAACATAGAACACCTCTGAGGTCATCCAGCCTTGTCATATGTAATATCTGGATAAAAGGAAACATAATATAACAGAAATTTCGTTTTGCTATCTGAAAAAGGGACATATTCTAGGATTTATAGGGCAGTGCTGTTCTGAAGGACGGAGGAGCAGGAAAGGAAAATAAGAGATGGGATTTTAACGCCTGATCCACAGAGGCGCATTTCCGATGTTTCTAAAACAAGCGCCGCAATACACTCTCGTGTTTCTGCTGCAACAGACTAACAAGGCTTCCCCTCTGGGATTTATGTACTAAACTAAGCTTCTAGTCGGCCTTGCTTGTTTCTATGTTAGCCCATGCAGGTTAATTGTATTAGATCGCACAAGGTATTCACCCCGAGGGGTCAGAGGAAGCCCAGCCCGGCTCCTCTCAGCGACGCGTCGTCCCTATGTGGGGAAGGGACGAGCGCGGACGGGCCCGGGCCACCTGTTGCCCCTCCTTCTCGGGGAGACGGGTCCACCTCCTCCCCCAGCCTTCCCGCGACCCTATAGGGGACCAGAGTCTCACGCACGCCTGGCCTGACCCTGCCCATCCCGCCAGGAGGCGGCGGCTAGGCTTCGAGCGAGCCGCTTTGCAGACACAATCCGGCCTTCTCAGCAGCGGCTGCTGCTGCTGCTGCTCTTGCAAAGCTGGAAGCTGCTGTTTCACTCGGCTGGTGCTGACTGCGGAGCGGCGTCGGCGGTGCTCCATCTGTCGCCCCAGCTGCGGCGACCCGGGAGAAGCTTGTGGGCAGGTAGCAGAACGCAGCCCTCTGGCAGCGGGCTGGGAAAAGCTGAGCGGAGGTGCTACGGAGAAGTGGCATGGGACTAACGTGCCCTTGGACCAGTTCAGTTGCCTGGGGATCATGAGCACAAAAGAGAAGAATTGGGAGAAATAGAGCTGGGAGCTCTGAGATTCATAGAGAAGGAATGTGATTTAGAATCTGTTAACAGCATTGAAGGAGCTGTGGGGCCCGTCCCTGCCCATTTAGGACGCCAGCAAAGCAGGACAAGGAGCCAAATTCACCCCTACCCCTGCAATCAAACTTGGAATCACAACGATTTTTGCCTAGAGTCAGAGAGAGTGGGAAAATTAAGCACTGAATATGAAACCAGTGGTGGTGGCGGAAGAATTGGGTTGGCAACAGCAAGACTGGGCAGTCAATGGAGAAATCATGGCAGGGTTAGGAGAAAGTTGACCCTGCTGTGGGGACAGGCAAAGTGGAGCACTGGTATCTGCTGACATTTTATGGATATCTGCAGGGGAACTGAAACCCCAACAGGGCTGAGGAGGCAGGAGGCACTGTCAAGTCCTCAGAGCGCAAAAGGGAGTAGAAGTGAGGAGAGTTGAGTAGGACAGAAAGCTGTGGTTGTCCCTAAGGAGGTGGAACAGAACAGGGAGAAGTGACTTTATTGATTTCTGCTGCAGGAACTTCAGATCTTTTTATCATGGATGTCAGTGAAGCCTGCATCTCACTGTTTGTGATGGCAGTTACAATGATGGTCACGGCTGGCTGCAGGCGACTGGTCAAGCAGTCTCATAAGTCAAATATCCTCTGCTTCTTCCTTGAGTTAACCGGCATCTTCCAGATCTGTGCCTGTACCCATGAGATTTGTCTACTGGCTGATTTGCCACCCAAACCTCATGTGGCACTTGCCCTCACTTACGTTATCACTGCTCTTCATGGTTTGACTTTGCCTGGCAGCATCAACAACCCCTCCAGCAGCTTTCAACTTTTCTGCAAGGGTAGGATCACAGCCAAGACTTGGTGGCTACAGACTTCAGCTCAGTTCACTGGAGCAGTATTGGCTCATCTTTACATCAAATTAATCTGGATGTTGGGGATGACATCAGTGCACTTAAAGACAGCAGCGGAGAATTGTAGTACCCCAATTCAAACTACCTTAGCAAAAGCTTTTGTCCTAGAACTCCTATTCTCTTTACTGCTGCATCTGACCTTACAGACCTTTGAATCAATGAATCCCAACACAAAGGTCCACCTAATTGCCATGCTGATTACCATTATGGTATATGAAGGTTTGTTATCCTCTTCCCTCTTTTGTTATTATCTCAGGCTGTAAATAGACTTTGAATGTTAAGTATTGCCTTACACAATTGGTTTTATACTGCTTATCTACATTGGACTTTATTGCCTCTAATAATCTCCTGCAAAAGCACTACCAAGGCTTTGTGCCCACCTAAAGTAGTTCTATATCTAATTTAAAAACTTTTGTCTCCCTTGTGGGAATGTTGTCTAAATTGAACCACAGAATGTCTGCACATTGCATAGAACCAGAAGGGTATTCTTGGAATACATTCTTACTATATACCAGTGTGCTAGTTACTCCTGTTGGGCTTCATGGGTGCTAAGTGTGAACTGAGCTTATGATGCAAAACCCGTATAGGACTTTACTGAACAGTGCATGGAAGGTTCAGTAGTGGTGCACAAGCTGTCCTTCTGATCAGTTTGCCTGCCATTACTAATACTGTCATTTAATATGTTTAAAGCACATTCATTTCCTTGAAGAATTCTGAGCACTGTAGTTTTACCCTTCAGAGTTACAACTCCCAGCAACCCTTAAACTACAGTGCCCACAATTCTTTGGAAGAGAAATGTGCTTCAAATGTGTTTTAAAGGTATATTGTGCATGTAGACTTTTATCTTTCGTATGAATCCAGAGTTGCTAGGAATGTGCTACTAACTAGACAGTCACAGGAGCCAACTCCTAGGAACCAATGACTCTCCCCCCCCCCAGTAAAATATTTGAGGGGGATGGGCCTCCCAAAGTTGATGGGCATTGCCATTCAAATGGTGTGTGTTGTGCTGCGTCATGTGATTGATTATGTGGGGCAGGTAAGCCCCACATATTTTATTCAAGTGGACAGTCGTATGCCGAGAGGCCAGGTGTTTTGCTGCATTGCTTCCTGTGTGCTTGCACATTTCCCCTAAAATAAGGACAGAGATCTCTTACCTCAGGAGAATGGAGTTTAGCCTATGACTGTAATGCTTCCAAGGTAACTGTACATTTTGCTCCTTCTCCTTGCTTTCATGCTATTATTTCCTTGCATGAAGCAGACAGTACATTCTCTTTGGTTGCTTTAGCATTTTTATTTGGTTTCAGGTTCTGTTATTGGCTAGCAGCCTCTTCCCTAACAGGAGAATGGAGTTTTGGCTTTGGTTGTGACTTTGCCGTTAAAGTTACTTTAATGGGAATCTAAATTGAATCTATTTCACCATGATTCCAGTTTTATTTATAAATACAACATTTCATTAAGAATAATTTATAGTATTGGAGTACAATTTGTTTCATCTAGTCCGGCATTGTCTACTGAGTAGACTGACTGGCAGTAACCTTACAGTCTGAAATTGCAGGTTGGGGTCCTGACCCAAGCCTTTCAGGAATCAGGCATACAAAAACAGCAGAGGCAAAACACATCAGCAACACATGCAGGTGCATGGTCCTGTGAAAGACCCAAGAACAATACAAAATTACAGTGACATTCTCAAGGAATTGATCCAAAATCCTTATTTATACCCTGGGAGACTGCCACTGCTCTGTGCAGCACATGCATTTTAATGTGACAAAGCATTAATTGAAGACTGTCATCTCTCACAACAGACCCAAAGCTGTTTTCTTTCTGGCAGCCACTTTTGCTGAATCGTTCAGTTTGCTAGAGCCTTTTACTCTCTGTTATGCAATGAATATGGCAAAATGATAGAAATAATGATCTATGCACTACACAGCTGACTCAGGAGCAGCTGGAAACAATTTTGTGATGTACTAGTGATCAGAAATAAAGGTGGCTACAGATTTTATATAACAAAAATGACTCCAGATCTTCCCTGGATTGGTGCCAATATCATGAGAGAGCAATTTTCTAGTTTCATTGCCGGCTTTGAAATTTTCTTACTGAGCACTTACAAGTGTTTAACATCCATTATCTCAGTAGCTCCTGCAACAGTCTTGCGAGAATGGCCAGTATATCAGTCTCATGTTGCATGCATGTATATTAGCAGCATGGAGTGGGTTAAAGCTGAGTCTGAGCGATAGAGGTTTGCCTTAGGCATTCCCAACTAAAACAAAATTTGGACCAGTAACTGTCTAGCTTCATTCTTTGGAGTGTTGGCTTTGGACCTGGGAAATCATAGGTCAAATCCCATATTCACTTTATTAAGGTAGTTTCTAAGGTCAATTTCCCATTTATAATACAGTGGTACCTCGGGTTACATACGTGTCATGTTACATACGCTTCAGGTTACAGACTCCGCTAACCCAGAAATATTACCTCGAGTTAAGAACTTTGCTTCAGGATGAGAACAGAAATTGTACAGCGGCGGCACAGCAGCAGCAGGAGGCCCCATTAGCTAAAGTAGGTGCTTCAGGTTAAGAACAGTTTCAGGTTAAGAACAGACCTCCAGAATGAATTAAGTTCTTAACCCGAGGTACCACTGTACAGGTTAAGCAATTCCATATCTCACACAGATACTATCTAAGGGTTAATGAGAGGATTTGTACAGCATAGAAGTATTCTCATTTATTATTAACCTTCTCCATACAAAGTTCAGAAGTAAAAAAAAAAAAGCAAATGTTACTGAGGATATTGTTAGCAAAACAAAAAGCCAACCTTTGGAATTTCAGAGATTCTGCTTCCTTCAGGAGATGGTTCAGAAACCTCATGGTAGCTAATGTATGCAAGAACTATTGTCCTGATCTTGAGGTACTGATCTGGTTTTGCAGCATCAGTTTAGTTTAGGCTACTGAACATTGAAATACTTCTACCACCCATGGAAGGTCCTAGGTTCAACTCACAGTTCATCCAGTTAAGATAAACAAGGTTGCAGAGAGCACATAATACTGGGCTGCAATACATGACTGTTTGGACCAGATATTGAGTAATGATGAATATTAGTACTATTAACAGTAGATGATCACACTATCAGGAATTTAATTCTATCTGACATTATGAGTAGAAAGATATCCCATACTATCAATTCTAACACTAGACACTAAAAGTTACAGGAAACAAATCTTTACAGGAAGGAAATAACTTTCTGCTTTTTCTTTCATAGGAGGACATCTCACAGGAGCCATATTTAACCCAGCTCTGGCTTTTTCTTTGCACATAAGTTGTTTCGCTGAGCCTGAGAAATTTTGGAATTATTTATTGGTATACTGGGTTGCACCATGCATAGGTAAATATTTTTATATTTTATTAGGATGAACTAGTACTCCTAACTAACTACGGATATAGAGCAGGCATATTCAAATTCGGCCCGCCAGATGTTTTGGGCCTACAATTCCCATCATCCTTGACCACTGGTCCTGTTAGCTAGGGATCATGGGAGTTGTAGTCCCAAAACATCTGGAGGGCCGAGTTTGCCTATGCCTGATATGGCCTTCACTAGAATACAGCTTTGGTTAAGTATGGCAGCCTCTTAAGTATGGCATACTTTTTCTGCCTGCTGCCTGAGAAAACAGCTTCCCAACCCTTGCTTGAGGAAGTCCTATAGGCACATCAGTGATCTGTTGTTAATAAATGATTAACAGCATGTTTGGTGTTAGAGAAAGGCTGGTCAATGACCCTACTCTTCCCCGGGAGCCCTTGGAAATAGTTGGCCATATGTATTGTTTGGGGCTACCATCTTTTAAATTAGGGCACAGTGACGTTTGCCTTTAAGTGTGTGATGAGCAATTTAATCAGCTCTGTTGTTGCCAAGACAGTTGTGGATTGTGTACATAAGTGGTAAACTGTGTTCACATAAGACTATTTAAACATCACATAATTCCCCCTCATGGGCAGACATATGTGAGTAGATTAGCTTGGTTTCCAGCATGTGAGTTCATGTAAAAAATTAAACATAACCATCAGCTATTTCCAACACACCCTTCAAACTGTTATGCAAGTGCTCCAAAATGCCAGCAACATTTTACTTCCAGAAAGGCTATTGTTATCACGGCCGTATGCACAGACACTTCTGAGGTTCAATAATATATTTTTACACAAAAGTGGAAGGTTGATAGCCTGACACCACTCTCCACTGCATGCTTTCCAGTTTGCCTTCTTCCCTTATGCAGTCTTCAGACACTACCTTAAAGCATGTTTATGTTTTCATCATTTCAGGGTCCGTGTTGGTGTTTTTGGTATGGGATGAAATCCTTCCTTTGCTACACAGACAACGGTAAAATGGTAAAGCAAGGTGATGTTCAAAAGATTCTGTTAAAAATGGATGTGAAGAGACTGGACATTAGAATCACTTTGGCAACTTTCACATGATTCTTTGGGGAGTATCATTACAGGACTCTACAACACAGTATTTATCTGACTTGTCAAAAGCAGAGCCATGTATTTCAAAACTGGAAGAATTTGTTAATGTAATGTTGTTGTTTTTTTGAAAAAATGTCGTCTGCATCAAAATAGTTATAAGAAAAATAGAGAACACTTCTGGTAACCGGATGCCTGCTTCACTTCTACTTGTGTAATTTAGGCAAGCTTCTTTTACAAAAATTCACCTCACTTGAACCTGCCTCAAGTGACTTACCCTGCACCTTTTATTATCCAGCCTCCATTCCAATTCAAGCCTGCATCTACAGCCACAGAAGCGCACTTTAAGGGAAGGAGGGGGAAAACAGTATCCAAAACTTGACACACTTTCAATATTAAGGCAAGGTAAGTATGAAAAAGGGAGAGGTGGACACAGTACAAAATGTTTTACTAAGGCTCATGTCAAGTAGTTGTGGATCTGTAACAGGGAAACTCCTCTGTATGCCAGACAAATAATTTAAGTTGCTACAATTTTAAGATGTCTGTTAGGAAGCAAGCAATGCTAACCCTAGCCAACATTCACTGATACCTGTTTACAAAAGCCATTTAGAGCACCATACATTTAAGGCATCTCGTGTGCCACGGTAACAGAATTAATTGTTCTAATGGCACAGACTCAGCAGGCAAGGACCAAAAACACAGAAAGCAGGCCGAGGACAGAAAGTTTACGTCTCTTGGTGATCTCTTTATATTTCCATTTTTTAAGAATGAAGTTATTTGGAAATTAATGTAGTGCATCTCTGATGCTATGCATCACAAAAGACATCCAGACATTTTTATCAGTTAATTGGTTTCACAAATGTAGCCAGGATTTTGCGCTTCAGTAAAAACCTTTAATGAGGAATTTGCATAAAATTCTGGAACGGAACTGAAGGTAGCGAACACTAGGTTTTTGATTAGCAACACAAATCTGCTATATTAATTCACATCCAACGTTTTTAAAAAAATCATTTCAGCAGCCAACTTTTGCTGTATGCTGCTGTTTTGCCTACAATCAAGATCCATGTTTCCCCTTACCCATGACAGCCTTTCCCCACCATCCAGTTCTTAAGTCGATGCTCACATTTAGGAATCTTGAAGGACTTATGTCAATAAACAATATAGTTCTGACCTATTCCCAGCTCACAGAAGCATGCTCTAAAAATCCCACTCATCTGAAATGACAGCTGTGAGGAATACCCTTTTAAAAAATTAAGTCTAACAATGTTTGGTGGGAGGGACTGTTATTCTGGAGGGTCCACTTATATGTTGAAATGAGCTGTTAGCTGATCTCTAATCTCAAACGAAAGCTTTGTGATGATGTAAGGTGAAGCCTTAGGAAGTATGGTGGAGTTCTTGTCAAACCTTTACAGATTTGGTATTTATCAGTTTTTCCTGTAAAGTATTAAACCTCCCTGTTCTGCAAGAACTTGTGAAACTGACACTGTTTGACAGCTGTGCTGTAGAAACAAACTGTGGAAATAAGGTACCAAGTTGCCTCTATGGCAAAAGAAATACAAAAGATCTCTGTGTCTTCAGTTCTAAGCCCTACATTAGTTGGCTCAGAACCTGTGACCCTGAATCTCAGTCCACTGAACTCATTTGAGTTACACAACCGTATTGAATGGAATTTGGGCACCATGGAAATGCTGCCTGGAAAATAACTGGAGCCTAATTAAGTAGCTGCTACTTAAGGACAAAATGTTGACATCTTTTTGAAATTTTAGGAAATGGGTATATTTTCTTCACAATAAAAGAAAAGCCTTTTATTCTTTCCCCTGCTGTATATTTCTTTTTCTGAGCCTTTAAACATCACAGTATTAATTCCATAATTTAGAGCAAACTTCATAATCCTGTTTTCCTTCCTTCCAAATCAAAAGTGAATCTTCTTTAGAAGGCATTTCTAACTACTGCTCCAGGAGAAACAGAGTTAAGAAAACATTTTCTATGCAGTTCAAAAAGGATTGCTCTGAAGTTGAGGAGCTCAACCATCATTATAGCGAAGTGAAACTTTTTTTAAAAAAATGAAGAAACTGTTCTAGTTTTTGAAAATCAGGGTCAAATCATGAGGAGAGACTGAGCCAATATGAAATGCAAGTAAGCTGTCAGAAACCAAGAGGACACTAATAACCAAAAGCCCTGTGCTGACATTCAAATTCTCATGCAGGTATTTTCCACTTTTCCACTTTTAACCCAAACATGCATTTGGGAACCCAGTTCTTAATCTTTTACCATATATATGCCTGGTGGTGGTGCTCCTGTTGCTATCCACTTGGGATCAGGTTGTGATGTTTCTCAACCAGTGGGTCCCCAGATATTGTTGAACTACAACTCCCATCATCCCTAGCTACCAAGGCCAGAGCTCAGGGATGATGGGAGTTGTAGTCCAACAACATCTGGGGACCCACAGGTTGAGAACCGCTGCTAGTGGATCCCGATCCTCCAATTGAAGACTAGTGTGTTAGGAAATTAAAATTGCCCCTCCCCATGCCTGCCTGTCATTCAGTATGAGGAACTTCACATTTGCATATAGGCTAACTAGAGTCCAATATGTGTGGTGAGAGAGCCAGTGTGGTGTAGTGGTTAAGAGTGGTAGTCTCGTAATCTGGGGAACCGGGTTCGCGTCTCTGCTCCTCCACATGCAGCTGCTGGGTGATCTTGGGCCAGTCACACTTCTTTGAAGTCTCTCAGCCCCACTCACCTCACAGAGTGTTTGTTGTGGGGGAGGAAGGGAAAGGAGAATGTTAGCCGCTTTGAGACTCCTGAAGGGGAGTGAAAGGCAGGATATCAAATGCAAACTCTTCTTCTTCTTCTTCAACTGTACACCACACAATTCAAGAAGTATAAATTAGGCAAATAGAGCTCCACGTTTGCAAGCCCCCAGGCAGATGTGTGCATCAGGAGGGCTAAGCGCAATGTAAGAGGAGCCTTGCTAAATCAGTGGCAAAGGCCCATCTAGTCCAGCATCCTGTTCTCGCAGTGGCCAACCAGATGCCCCAATGGGAAACCCGTATTCAGGATCAGAGTACAAGAACACTCTTTATTTGTGATTTGCAGCAGCTGGCATTTAGAGGCACAGTGACTCTGCCAATGGAAGCAGAACCATCATCTTCTAGGAATTAGTCTAATCTACCACTACACCTTGTGGAAGCAAATTCGACAGTTCAGCTATGTGCTGTGTGAAGCAGTACTTCCTTTTGTCTGTGCTGCGTCTTCAAACATTCAGCTTCACTGGCTGGCCCCAAATTCTCCACACTGTGCATCATTTTATATACCTATATCGCGTCTGCTTGTCTTCTTCTGCAACAGGACGGAACCCTTGAGCCCAAGAAGACACATGTAGCACTAGAAAGGAGAACTAGCCAGACCTTGAATATGAAAAAAAAAGTTTCTGTGACACAGAAAGAATGTACAAAAAGGTAGTCTGTAAGATACAAAAATTATATTTATTGAACCATTTTATTTATAACAAAAACGTAAGAAGTTTACCATCTGGGGGCAATACAGATGCCATCCCGACGCCAAACCGGGCCACTAAAACCATGAGAAAGCAAGAGCGTCCAATGGAATGAGCCAATCCCTTGAAGGGTTTTTACAATTTGTTTGTCTCTGCGGCCCCACCGTACCTCTTGCCTCTTTAGCTAAACCAAAGTTAACGCTCATGTCAGACATCGTCAGCTGTGGATAAACAGGCACAAAAATATGGGGGAAATTCTAGGACAATCTAGAATTCTGTTCTAAGTACAACTTTATTCTTTAATCTCTATCATTTCTGTAAAGGCTTTCCTGTAATAACCCATGATTAATCCCTCCTTTCAAACCCAAGGTATTATACGTTTCTCAAGTTCTTATGTTTTTTTAAAAAGCCAGCCCCACAGTGTCAAATCCTGTTTTATATCAGCACATCTATAAAAGCATTTACAGACCTAAATACCCATACTTAGGTCAATAATACCGAAAGGGCAATTCCTGATATAACATCTTCAAGCTTGGAGAGCCTGCTCTGAAAATGCTGAGAGAAGAATCTGGAAAACAGACAAGACATGGATGGGTTCAGCAGTGGGGACTTCGTTTTGGTTTACAAAAAGAAGCAAGCATAGGGCAGAGCGCAAAGCTGCTACAACGCACCAGGGACCTCTTGGCATGGTTTTGAGCCAGAGCTGTTCTGGTGAGCGCCGGAAAACCCACAATTATGTACAAAGAGAACTTAAATACTAGGCTATGTGATGGCCAGTGTTTATTTTAACTGGCTTTATAGACTTGGCAGGGAGTAGCAGGAGGACAAAAAGCAGTAACAAAGGTATATGGGTGTAGCACAGGGTGGGAAAGACAATGGAACTCAGCCGGAGTGGGAGAAACAATGCCATAAATGATATTTTATGAGTTGGCGTTAACGTATTTCACCACATAATCATCACCATCGCACAGTAGTCGCACCCAAAAATTATCTTTCATCGCGTAATTGTCACATGGAACATTGTGAGGCTCCGCTAGGACTCAGGCCCCCCTTCCTGTCCTCTTCCAGCCACAGGCACTCCTGCTCCCTTTGCAAACTTGGCTATGAGCTCTCAGGCTGCCTTGGCCTCTTCCCTGGGCTTGGCCAACTCGCTGCAAACGGTCCGCCATTGCCAACAGGCACGGAGCAGTGCCAAGGCTGCCGAGCCCAGTGCTGCCGACCCCACTTTGCAAGGCGCTTATGGGGTGGCTTGCACTGTGCACCTGCGTCTGCCTGATGTTGCTGCCGGATGCGGGAAGCAGAAGAAGTCAGTCCCTCCACTCAGTGCTTGGCGGCAGCAACAGGCAGCCCTGGCTCAGCCAAGTTAATGGAGGCAGTGGCTGAGTAAGACCCCTTCCTCCATCTCCGCCCCAGCAGAACCTTTGTGCGCCTCCAAAGGACGCAGAGGGCACAAGGTCTGGGGCAGGACAGGAGGCTGAGCTGCTTGAACAGCCCCCAAACCCCTCTTGGAAAGCTGGTGCTCTGGCAAGGGCTTCACATAATGGCGACACCCCACTTTTTGGAAAAGTGCACCTGGCATAAAATCTGTGACGATCACGTGGTGAAATACGGTACTGTATATAAAAGTTTAACCTTCCTTGTTTTGTCCTCATACATTTGTCGTGAACCTCCCCATGAGATAAGCGAGGCAGAGAGACAACAACCAGCCCAAGGTCACCTGGTGAGCTTCATGGCACATTTTTGCTTTATTGTGGTTTTTACTTTTGCATTGTAACCTGTGATAGTTTTGTGATAATGTGGGGTAGACATCACCTAGATAAAACCAACAAACCATTCTCAGGGATCTAAATTCCCAGACCGGATATCTCAGATATTGCACAGAGAGAATTAGCTCAAAAGTCACCATGCCCTTATTATGTAGCATTTAACACATGAAAACTTTTATTAGTTAAAAGGAGGTTTTTTAAAAATTAAGTCTGCTTTATATGCTGTTTGAGCATAGGGTGAACTGGTGGGGCGAAATCTAAGCAAGCTGGGCATTTTTCAGCAAGTTAATGAATTAGAAGATCAGGAAAACCAAACTGCTTTATATGGAAGGGAGAGGAAATTAAGATGGCAAACCTTACAGCAGCCCACACCCTCCTCAGTGATCAACATCTGCGTCTTCAAACTGCCCAGCAACTGCTGGGGATGCATCCACCTCCATTCCATCTAGAAGCAAAGGAAGAAACGGACTGAAACCTTTGGAGACATGAAGGAAGACTACAAAGCAACTAGTGTCCTCTGCTGCAAAGACAAGGCTGGCTTGAGCACCATAAAATTGAAGGAAGAACCAGAAAGGATATTGTCCAAGCCTGCCCTCCACCACCTTGGCACAGCTTCTGACCACAGATCAAAACAATCAATAAAAGCAAGAAAGAGAAGCTACAAAGTACCTACATAAGAGACTTCACTCCTCTAAAGCATGATCGGATCCAGTCCCCGGGAGCTCAAAGTAAGCATTTCTTTATTTAAAAAACTTACAAAAATACTACAAACAAGCGAACATACCCAATCGGATAAAGAAAGTGCTTCATGTCATTAAAAAAAGGAGATTCTTTGTAACACACCATAAATCTCACACACTATTGTCGTGTCCAGTCTTGACAGGATTACCTAAGAGTGTTTTTCCAAATAAGTCTGTGTACAGAAGGATGAAGGATGAACAGCTGGGATTCAGACTCTGAGCTTTTAAAAATGCTAGCAGAGGCAGCCTGGGATGCAGCAAAACCTAAAGGCAGCCAGTCCTTTAACTGGAGCAGATAGAGGCAACAGCCCCTCTACATAGCCATGGTGCACCGACAGCTTAGCCAACTCTGAGCTCAAGCCTCAACAAGCTCCTTTCAAATAAATAATAGTAATAATTATGATGATGATGTATTATTTATACCCCACCCATCGATTACGATATCTTTATTGTCATTGTCCCTTGCGGAACAATGCAATTGCGGAACAATGAAATCTGGGCCACTCTGGGCAGCTTCCAACCGAATATTAAAAACACAATACAGCATTAAACATTAAAAAAACTTCCCTAAACAGGGCTGCCTTCAGATGTCTTCTAAAAGTCAGATAGTTGTTTATTTCCTTGACATCTGTTGGGAGTGCATTCCACAGGACAGGCGCCACTACTGAGAAAGCCCTCTGCCTGGTTCCCTGTAACCTCATTGTGAGGGAACCGCCAGAAGGCCCTCAGAGGTGGACCTCAGTGTCCAGGCTGAATGATGGGGGTGGAGACACTCCTTCAGGTATACTGGACTGAGGCCATTTAGGGCTTTAAAGGTCAGCACCAACACTTTGAATTGTGCTCGGAAACGTACTGGGAGCCGATGTAGGTCTTTCAGGACTGGTGTTATATGGTCTCGGCGGCCACCCCCAGTCGCCAGTCTAGCTGCCGCATTCTGGATTTGTTGCAGTTTCCGGGTCACCTTCAAAGGTAGCCCCACGTAGAGCGCATTGCAGTAGTCCAAGCGGGAGATAACTTCTCACAGTGAGGGAACCACCAGAAGGCCCTCGGCTGAGGCAAAATATGGCAAAATCCAACCCATTGGCTCCAATGTGGCTATAAGAAGCTTACTTTACCTTGTAATAATACCAGGCTGCAGGGAGAGGAATAAGCTGCACATCCAACTGAGTGTCCGCACAGCAGCGGACGATTAAAACTCACCTTCGAAGTCTCTGATGGAATCTTCTGTCCGTACCCCAGCCATGTGGTACTGAGTGCTTATAGATTGTGCCAACATGCCCTCTAGCCTCTCCAGAGTAGCCTGACCCTCAGCAGTTAAACGCGACAGGCCTTCTTCGTAAGTGTAGAAGGATGGGATGTCACCTTGGCCAATTTCTGCAACAAACAAATAAAACCCAAATTGCTAGCTAACACTAGAGCAGATAGGTGCATAAGGTATAGCTGCCATTAATTTATCTTGGAGAAAAAAAATCTTTTGAACAGCTACTTCAGTAATATAATTAATGCTAAGTATCAAATGTCCAACTGTTTGCATTATGTATGTGTGTTTACTGAAATTCCCATTCCTCGTGCTAAATTATTTCTGCAATTGTTATAAACCACTTTGTGCTGTAGGGAGTCCAGCAGCATATGAGTCTACTGGTTCAAAGCTAGTTTTGCCTAATTTTTCATCTTTGGAAGCACACAAAGCTGACCAAAATTGTGGCCTATTCTATGCCATATGGATGTTCTCTGAAAATTAAAGGAACCCACCACAGCCCTCTTACCGTGGGCTTCCACGTCGTATTCCTCACCCTCGTAATCGTTGTCAGAGTCTTCGTCTTCGGGATCAGGGTGCAGGGCTTGGCATTCACACATGGCAGAGAACATGGCTTCCACTGGGGGAAAACACACAGAGAGAAATGCACAATTTGTTCACTGGCAATCAAATAAAATGGACATGGACGAATAAGAACATAAGAGCCCTGCTGGATCAGACCAATGGCCCACCTTTAAAGCCCTTCACAGCCTAGGACTCTCGTACCTACGGGACCACCTCTCCCGGTATGCCCCATGGAGGACCTTAAGGTCCATAAATAGCAACACCCTAGGGGTCCTGGGCCCTAAGGATGTCAGATTAGCCTCAACCAGAGCCAGGGCCCTTTCAGCACTGGCTCCGGCCTGGTGGAACGCTCTGTCTCATGAGACCAGGGCCCTGCGTGATCTGATTTCTTTCCGCAGGGCCTGTGAGACAGAGTTGTTCCACTTGGCCTTTGGCTTAGAATCAGTTTGATTCCCTCCCCCCCTTTCTTTTTCCTTTCTCCTCCTGTGAAGAGGCTGCATCCTAATGTTTTAATGTTGTATTTTAATCTTGTTTTTTAAATTATATTTTAATCAACATGTTTTTATTATTGGTTGTTAGCTGCCCTGAGCCCGGTCTTGGCTGGGGAGGGCGGGGTATAAATATTATTATTATTATTATTATTATTATTATTATTATTATTATTATTATTTTGTCCAGCATCCTGTTCTCACAGTGGCCAACCACATGCCTCAGTGGGAAGCTCATAAGCAGAACCTTGCAGGCACAAACAAAACAGAACAGCTAGCAAACAATCTGAAGGAACTACTCGAGATTCGTTCAGCTGGCCACACCCACAAGTCAACGATGGATGTTATACGTAGCCCTCTGGTTCTGGATTAAGCTTCTGTTGAGATACTCCTGATAGGAGCAAGTTATGCTGGAATGAGGGATCGTGCTCACATCCAAAGGTACCACATTCCAACACTTGCTGTGAAGAGCAAGGTTGCCTCTGGAAGTAAGTTGGTAATCCCAGGCCCTGCTCCATCATCTTGAGTGCAGAAGCAATCCCACTTCACAACAGCAACCTGGTCACCATTATTCTAGCCATGGAAGCTGTGCTGTTCTTCCTACTTACAGGCTGATTTGTCGCTGGGTACAAATCTGAATTCTGAAATGGGCTCAAGATCATCATTGCTGCCATCCTCCTCCTCTTCCTCCTCCTCCTCCTCTTTTTCTCCCATGCCATCTTCTTTTGATTCTTCTACTAAGGAATTCAAACACAGTTGTGTTATCAAGTTATCTGAAATAATGCTAACTGAAGAATGATCAATATCATTTTAAACATTTGAAAGCAGTTCATCAGAGTATAAAGATCAGCTGCACAGGCATGGAAATTTGCACAGCCTACTTCTTTCTGCTGGTTACCATGAAGAACGTGGAACTATGAAATTCTTGACCAAGAACACTGGAAACATGATTTAGTAGCCCTGGGCTTGTGAGATTTCACAAGGCACTGCGAACATGAAAAGAACCATGAGGTCTAGAAATTTGTTTTTTTTAAAAAATTGAAACTAATTCACCCCAGGAAATTGAATTCTGAAGCAAATGCCACACTCCATGCTAAGCATTCTCTACTTCTGAGCTGCAGGATGGGAAGTGAATGAATTTTCTAAGAGTTGTCATAAGTACCGGAGGAGAACACTCACAAGGGGAGGGGGGATGTTGTCTTTCATGGGTTATTTCCTCAAGTGTCCAGTGCTGCTTTAAAAAAAGATGAAGACCTTTTAACACTAAGCCAAGAAAAGCCTGGAATAGCTGGATGCCTGTAAACAGCTTAGCGGTTTTACCACAATCAAGCGGTATATAGATTTTGCTAATAAACTAATAAATGTTAAGGCCTATGCTACTTACTTTCCTTCCTTTTAGTCATATTTATCTGCCATCAAGCTGGTTGCATCAAAGGAAGACATGGTGCCATTTTACTCTCACAGCAACCTTGCAAGGTAAGCTAGGCTGAAACCTCATGGCTTGCCCACGGCCACCCAGCGAACTTCATGATGCAGCAGAGATTTGAACCCAATGCCTCGGCCACTTCACTAGACCGTCTCTCTTCCGTACCTTCAAACTTTGCATTTACCATGACGTACAAATGCTCCCACGGATAGGCATTCAGATCCCTGGAGATGGCATGCAAGCTTATGATGGGATAGTCCAACGAGAACCCAAGGCCTGAAGTCTCTATCCATGACAGGCGGCTATTGGGGGAGGAAACCCAAAGAAAATGAAAGTAATATTAGTTATGTCATAGAGGAGCTCCATTTTTCTTCCAAGCCAGGTGCCTACTATGGACCACCAGTGTCCTAGGAGAATGAGGAATTAAGTAGGGGTGGGAAACCTCAGCCACGAGGGCCAAATCACCTCTCTCTCTGGCCCTTGGAGTTCTCCCCAGGCCACACCCCACACTGCCTGCGCTTTGTCACCCAAGTCTTGTTGCCGTCAGGACTGAGTCCTTGAACACTGATAACCTCTATTCCTTGTCAGGGTGGAGGACAAAGGGATGTGTAAGATATCATTGCTGCCCAATCACAGCTGTCCTAAAATCCTGGATTTCTCCATTGTCCTATATGAGCAGCTCCCACCTGGGTGCAGGAGGGAGGGCTTAAACTTAAGGAATCAGAAGTCAGGAAGATGGTCAAAATCCAGAAATTCAGACTACTGCAGACTGGGGGCAGCCGAACTATAAAATGTTGAAAGTGTTAGTGAAGGAAAAAGGTCACAGCATGTGTTTGACAGTTTACAGTATCCTGGTTAATAAACCTACCCCATACTATTCCCTCTCCCATACACTAGCAATGGGGTTCAGAGATGAAACCCACTATCATCCCAAAACAGCACAACAGGTAAAGGTTTAAGGAGGATAGGATGGGGAAGACATTCTGTTGCACACCCCCAGCTGCTATCTCTCACACTGATAATATCTCAGCTGCACTGGCTGGGGCTGATGGGAGCTGTGGTCTAAAACTTCTGAAGGGCACCAGGTTGGTTAAGGTGAAAATAGCAGTATTCATTAGGTTCCAAAGCCATTGCCCACCCAAACCCCAACAGGAACAAACTAATTTTGTGTCAGCCAAGGATGCTGCATCAAGTACCCCAGACCATGTATGCCCTGCGATCTAGCATCTACCAGCCTCCTTGGACCTACCAAATCCTAGGCATGCGTATCAGCATATTTTTAACTCTGCACCATTACTGAAGGATGAGCCCTACTGGACCAAACCAAAAGTCTAGGTGGGGAACTACAGTGGGGAACTAGGAGATTCAAAACCAGGGCGTGAAGGGCACTCATCTCTTATTGTTTGTGTCTCATTTTCTGGTATATATTGTCCAGCTATTTAAACCCTTTCCCCCCTACACGGTGTGTTTCCAAAAACCACTGTTTGTAATAGACATTTTGTATTTATATATAATTTTATTTCTATTAACGTCTGTTTGTGGCATTATTACTGTTGCTCCTCCACCCCCACTTTTTTTAGCTGTTCTTATTTTCGTCTGTCAGCAGCACTGACTCCCCGTCAGGGAAAAAGAACCACATGCATTAATCGCAACGATATTCCTACATGTAAGCAAGCGCCCTCGGCGTAATAAAGAGCCCCAAGAGTGCATTTGGTCCACGTTCCCTGGCCGGCTAAAGCCAGGAAGGCACTCCCGCCAAAAAAACAGCAACCTCAGAGCAGGAAAGCTCTCCCATGGCTTGCCCGTCACAGCAGAGCCTCGAAGGTAGACTGTTTCTGAGCGGGGAGGCTCCGTCCAGAATAACGGGCCCCTCTCGCCCGTCCCCGTGAATTTCTCCAGCCGCTTTTCTCTGTTATCCCCGCGCCTTGTGGCAGGGAGTTCCGCAGGCGAAGCCCCTGAAGCCTCCCAGCAGATGCCGGCCTCCCTCTCTCTCTCTCTCTCTCTCTCTCACCTCTCGGCGATGTAGAGGCTCCCGGTGCCCAGGCCTCGTCCCCCCAGCACGGCCTCCGTGTCGGGCTGCCGAAGCCGGACCCCCTCGGTAGGCGCCGCGAGAGGCTGCAGGAAGCTCATGGCAACGGCGGCGGCGGCGGCGTCAGGGCGGAGATCCTCCCGGCGCCTCTTCGCGCTTACCGCGCCTGGACTGCGAAGGGGGAGGGGGGTGGAAAGCAACGAAACCGGAAGCGCGCGCGCGCAGCTGCCCCCGAGTCGACCCGGAAGCGCTCTCAACCGGCCCCGCCACCATAGAGACGCGAAGCCCCGCCCCCGCGTCTCTATGGTTGCCGTCACGTGACCGTCCCCGCTCGCCTCACGCGGGGAGGAGGCGGTGGGCGCCATGTTGGAATCCGATAAACACCTCAGAAAATATATTTTTAAAAGGCGCGACGGCGGATAAATAAACCACACAGTGACGAAAGGGGGGGGAAGGCCCGTCCCCATTTGCCTCCCGTCGATGCTTAAGGGGCTGGCCGCCCTCCCAGGCTGAGAACTGAGGGAAGGCCGCACCTGGGCGGGGCCTCCCGGGAGCGGCGTTGGACTCGCGACTCCCGTCATCCTCAGCGAGTGCGGCCGGCCGCCAGGGATGACGGGAACTGTAGTCCCGCCGCGCCTGAAGCAGGCATCCCCCAAACGGCCCTCCAGATGGTTTGGGACTACAGCTCCCATCATCCCTAGCTAACAGGACCAGTGGTCGATGATGATGGGACTTGTAGTCTCAAAACATCTGGAGGGCCGAGTTTGGGGATGCCTGGCCTGAAGGGTTATGGCCACTGGGAATCGTGGAGGCCCGAATTGTGTGGGCTTGAAAGTTATTTCGCATGTGCCGCTTGCTGCAAACTGATCTTGCGGTGTAGGGCAGTTTGGGGTGCCAGGTAACATAGGGGCTCAAGGAAGCTGGGCTTTTCGAAAGCCAATTCAAGGCACAGGACATCCCAGTATAAGTCGCAACAAAACAAAATAGAAAATAAAATAAAATAGAAAAATAATAAGTGAAAAACGAAATAGACATTCCTGCCAACACTCCTCGGGACCTAATCTAGACCTCTCCTACATTACCAGTTCTCTCTCTTTTTAAAGAAAATAGTATTCATTTCAGGTTCTCACACTTCCTACTGCAGCTAAATTAAAATTGGGTAAAACTGCAGTACCTCCATCTGGCTTACAAATGGCCAATGATGATAATAATTAAAAATATATTAAAACATAATATAACATTAAAAAAAACTTCCCTCTGCAGGGTTGCCTTCAATAAACGAACACTGGTTTATATAACTTTAAAATGCATTGGAAGCCCCCAACCCTCACCTGGATCTCTCCACATTTTAGTTCTTACCTACACATTACTTCCTTTTACATTTCCTTTTTTTGACGTCTTTCTGTTGATCTCTGTTCAGCTCTCTTGATTTTGATTTTCAAAAGCCATTTATCAATCTGTCCTCTGGAGTAAAATTACTGATTTAACGGTTGTTCTCGTGGTACCTGCCATCTTCCAGGATGCCATGACAAAGGAATGCGCGGCTTCTCTCACACTTTATCTGTACGTCAACTTATTTAAATGGATTTTTTTTATTATGACAATTTACATGTCATATTTATATGAAAGAAATGACAGTAGATATTATAAACAAAACAAAAACATTATGAAAGAAAAAAAAAGTTACACAATTAGGCCTCCGAGCTAGAAAAAGGCTGCAGGCCCGGCTTATACACAAAGAGCTCTGACCAGACCGTAGTGAGACGACATTGAACATTTCAATAACAAAAATATTGGCACCAGCCGTAACATTTTTTTTTTAAACTTCATTTACAAGGAATACAGTATTTAAACAGTCATGTACTGCAAAGCTAAAAACACCAGCTGTTAGTCAACTGCAGTTAACCACTTTTGAGCGTTGAGGGCACGGGGGACTCTCCATTTCAAGTTAAGTTTTCCATGCAAGTGAGTTTACTGGGGGTTTTTTTTGGGGGGGGGGGAGTTGGAAACGGAAAGAGGAAAGAGAGAAAGCAACCCAGGATTTATGTACAACAATGAAGACACTTCCAGTTCTTTCCCCAAGGTATTCACTTCCCCCTCTAAATGGCCACTTAAATGCAACATTCTTTAAAGGAACAAAAAGCATGGAAATGATCTTCGCAAGGGAAAATACACGTGCACCATCACTTCTCAAGCGCACAGCAGATTCTGCCAATAATGCACTGGGCTGGAAAATGCACTTCCTGATCTGTCTTCTCAGACCAAACAAAGAGGCGTCAACTTCTGCAGCAACTATGCAAGCTTGTCACGAAGCAGCCTTAAAATGCACAGGCCACACATAAAAACCCCGGTGTCCTTTCAAAATGCAAGCAATTCATGATTTCTCTTTTTTTACTAAACACCGTGTACAATAATTTGTTTTAGCAGAGACTGGCCAAAGCACGTCCCCCACCCCCCACCCCAAATTTACCAATATTACTTTTATAGTGAATGGGGTGTGGGAAGGAAAAAGGTTAAAGGTGAGAAAATTCTGGCCATGCAGTAGTGCTAGAGTTGCTCTCTGCTCCCAAAGGTTGCTGTCTCCATTGCTCAGCTTCAGTGCAGCTCTGCTAAATTAAGGGAGACATCAGAGAGGAGCCTTGGCAGATTGCATTTAACCAAAGATGTAAGCATTTGGGCTGGGCGGGTGCAAAGAAGAAAGAGGCTCCGATTCAATGGCGAAGGTCAAGATTGAGAAAGCTCCAATTTTAAAATACAATGAAACGGCCCTGCGCTAGAAAATTACTTTGCCAGGCTGATCAGTGCACACATGGCTCCAAGCCAGACCTGTGAGCTGCACCACCACACACACCTTGTAACTTTTGCAGAAGCCCAATCGGTACAAGTCCTCAAAAGAAGAGAGGGGGCTGCATAAATTGAACCTCCTCCACTGTACAAAGGGGCACACGCCTTTCCCCACAAGGAAAAGGTGCAGGCATGGGAAGTATGAGACGCCTTCCCCTGGGGGTACAGACAGAGCACAAATAATATAGAGTAGTTTGCAAGACTTGTCTGAAAAACGTCACCTAGTTTTTAATTTTATTTCCCGCCCCCAAAATAAAGAGTATTGAAACAGCAGTTCACTAGCGCAATAATGGGGAACTGGTGGCCCCGCAGAGACAACTAGACTACAGCTCCCATAATCCTTGACCACTGGCCATGCTGGCTGAAAAACAAAGATGAGAATTTGTGTCCAACAAGATGTTCTCCACCCCTGGCCTAGCAGATATCTGCACAAGATCTACTGAACTGTGTACAAGACAATGAGCAGCAGGCAAAAGCTATGCCACCAACCAGCCATCTTTTGCCTGACATGGCTTTTCCTTGTGGAACAAAGCAGAAAATTTCTGTAGAGCAGAGCTAAGAAACTGGCTGACGGCTCGCTGCCCGCCCCCTGAAACGAAAGTCGTATCTATGCAAGGGAAAGATGCAACGCTTTAATTGACGTTGCATTACATGCCGGACAAGATTTGCAAAGTTTGTGTATCACAGCAAAAGAGGAAACAAAAAAAGACAGAGCATTTCTATGGGGGCTTGGCCTTGCTATCATGTCAAAACTTTAGTCCTGGTTAGGATTAACAAGTATCTGCCTCTCACTGTTACATGACAAGCCAACAGCTAAGGCTTCCTGTCCCCTGTCTAAGGGAGAAACTTCACTCCCTTAGAACAAATTGGTGGTGATGTTAGTCTGCCAAAGTGTGCCAGAGTGAGGCCCCACCAATGCTGCCTCACTGCCCATATGTACCCAATAATCTTGCTGGGGGAAAGGATCCACAAAAATGCATGCAATTGTCTTATGGTAACAGAGAATGAAATGTTAAGCTACAGACGGGGACGCTGCCATTTGAGAACTAAAATCAGTCTGCAAGATGCATCCCTTCCTCTCCTCCGTGAAACTTGACAACGCAGGAAGTGCGATCAAGTACAAGCAAACACGTACACAAGCGGGCAAAGGCACGCAGGCAGAACCCAGCTCATGGTATATACCTGAATTCACCCAGGGAGCCAAACACCTGCTATTCTGTGCAGGATATCCTTGCAGGTACGTGTTACCTGTGTTCCTAGCTTGATCTCTCTCGGGAATTTTGCATTTCGTCACTACTGCTGAAGTCCCTGGAGGAGCCGACAAAACACAGCACAGGCTCCCCTACCCTGACCGGGCACTGACTGTCAACTGACTTAAATGAAATGGCTCACTAGATTAAATTGGGCTGGGTGAGGAGAGGAGAGGAGAGGAGAGGAGAGGGAGACTGCGTACAGGAGGATCACGAAACTTGATGTAAGGGTTATGGACTGACCAAATATTTCAGCAGATCTTGACTGTCAAAATAGAACGTAATTCCAGACAAGATGGTGATTTCATATTTTAAAAAAGTGAACTTAAATTCTAGGAACAGGAGGAAGAATGGGAACATTGGGCAAGTGCACAAATCTGGGCAACACCTACACAAGCATGGGGTGATATTTCTCTGGCTGTAACTAAGAAGGGGTATGAAAATTAACTCTTGCTCACAATGCTGGGCATTGCGGGTGGGAGAGAAAGAGACGCACACTTAAATGCTTGACCCTTTCTGTTCTGACTGCATCAAGAACAGGCACAAATATACAGCATACAAAACAACAAGTTTCTGGCTAGGGAATGCAGGTTTGCTGTTTAATATAGGGGAATGGTAGTGTTCCTAAAGGCCCCCTCGCCACAGCACATGAACAAAACCCATTATCCCAACAGCAGTTGCTCAAAAGAGAGAAATTTCCATCTAACAAGTAAGAAAACCCACGTAGAATTCCCCAGAATTGCTAGCTTGGATTTCGCAAATCAAGGAACTGCTAAGATCTTCTCTTGTTGCACAGCTTTAATTAGGCCTTTAAATCTTTCACATACACACGGCATTGCAGAAATCCCAATCTTCGGCTGCTCTGCTTCACACCACCCAAAGCCCTGTTTCAATTGTATGCAATTTATGAAACATTCCAAACAGTGCTATTTTAAGTTTAGACTAAAGGCAGCTGTTTACTGGCGATTTTGTTTGAAGGGCTGACATAATCAAGCCAAGCAAAAGTTCAATGTAATAGTTACATCCGTCCTGAACACTCCCCTGTTGAAATCAAAAGAGGATAGAGTATGCCATTTATGCTGGATAGGTCGCAAAGTTTTAAGGTGGGAGAAGGAAGGAAGGAAGGAAGGAAGGAAGGAAGGAAGGAAGGAAGGAAGGAAGGAAAGAAAGAAAGAAAGAAAGAAAGAAAGAAAGAAAGAAAGAAAGAAAGAAAGAAAGAAAGAAAGATTATTACTCCTACTGAGGCAAACATTTTCCCACCACACAATACTAAATTAGTTTATTAAGGGCATCCAATTGTCAGTATGCCTTTAACACATTGAGGACTGGTGGAGGGGAGACTCAGATCCTTTAAAAGGTTTTTTAACCGACCGCGTAGATTTGGAAGAAGTCAAGAGATGTTCTGAAATTATGCAGAATTAAGCTGGCAGAATTCTGGACTGCACCACTTCAGACTGCATGCGATGGGTAAGAGTTCTGAACGTTCCTTCATCCTAAAAACAAAAAAGTGCAGGGATGCACATTTACTCTGCAGAGGGTGCTTGTTATGTAGGAAAACCTTTAAAAATCATCTCGCTTGCATGCCGTCTCTCAGGTGGTACAAGTCCAGGTTTTTGTCGCCTCCTTCTGCCTCACTTTAGGGACGGGCCCAAGCCACAATTCCTTTGGGTAGCTTCCCTTAAACTTGCACATGTTTAAAGATGACTTATTAAACTCTGCTTGCTTCATAGTAGCAGAGCTGCACCCCAGACATGATTTTTAGGGAGGGGAGTAGATCAAAACATCCATTTCTAGGTTTTCCCAAGAAACCATGGCTAAGCATTGAAACCTCACTGACACCTGAACATGTATTCAGTCAAATTTGCCCACACACAGATATTAAAACTGTGACACAGGCGTACAACAATTTAAAAGACACACATATAGTACCTGAGAAATCACACACACACTCTACAGATTTCTCATGTTCAGTTTAACAATACGGTTTGCAGGGCAACACTTTACGCAGGGTAGCAATATGACATGCCTATTGTTTGGTAACATTCATATTTTTAGCTGGGAGGCAGGGAAAAGCCCTTTAACATCTGGATCAGTGACTTCTGTTTAATCGGGGCTGTGTGTCTGCTGCCCTTTCTTTGTGTGTGTGCACGCACATCTGTATGGGTAGATATATCTATATAAGCGCGCGCGCACACCCACACACCCACCCACCCCCCCAAGCATAGAGTCATCCCCATTTTAAAGTCTCAGAAGCATTTCCCAAGCCGAAAACCTGCACACCACGTATTTGAATGGACAGTACCCAGGGCCTTGCAACAAGTCCGCCACCATAACAAGGCTAGAATATTATTTCTGCCAGGCATCCCCAATCAAATCCCAGTCAATGGATATAGCAGCATTCAATCGGCAGCGATTCAAAGCTGAGACACACACACCAAGTTCCCTGGCCTTTGCAAACCTCTGCTTCCTCCTTCCGCTGCCTTGCTTACGTTTGCAAAACAAAACGTATTTATGGTTCCATGATTACAAGTGGGAATGTCTCCATCATTTACATTGTGCATTAGATCAAACAGGACTTGGGATACTGGTTCAGCTAGCAATGATCTGGGGGCAACAGGTTTAAGGGGCTGGAATTGGGGCTCCCTACCATTCTCTATTTCCCTCTCCCCCCCCCCCCCCGGTACTTATGTACTACAGGTTCAGTCTATTCAAGGAGAAGGGATAAAACTGGGATGGAAACTGCGAGTGCAGAATAGAGAGCGCTTGTGGTGCTGAACGTCTCCACGGAGGAAGTGAGATTGCACACTAATTTGGGAGGGAGGTACGTCCACCCAAACGTAAAAACGAGCCCACAAACGGCCGGACGAAAAGGCAAACCTTAAAGGGAGACCATCAAAATCTGCTCAACAAGCTACAGAACGTAATGCATCAGCTGTGAGGTGTGGCATAATGTAAACTCTGAAGAGCTTTCCAAACATTTTGAATCCTCTGGTCTCTTCCCAAAGGGAAGCATAAATTTAGGAGTTTAAGAAGGGTTTCAATCAATATACTGGGAGAAAGTTCCCATTCCTGCTTTGCAGGTCCCGTTGAAAAGGTAAATGAAACAGATCTTAAATCGATAATGATTATTTACCAGTAAGTTATTCTGCAATCCTATGCACACTGATTTGTGATTAAGTCCCACTTTAACTCAGTGGGATTTGCTTCCAAGAAAACATGCACACGTACAGGATATGTGCATCCCTGTCAATTTAAAGTGAATTTATTTGTGAGGAAATATTTCTGATCTTCAGATTGGGTGTGGGGCGACACTACTAGGACTGCCTTTTCCAAATTCAACTAGAATGAATCACTTCCTAAAGAATTAGCAAAACATACGAAGGGTGTTTCATGTATAACATTACTGTTAACACAGTAACACACACATCTGTGCATAGTGAATAGTGTTAATGCAACGGAGTAACACAAAATATCTCCTTAAAAAAGTAGCACGACTTGACTTTCAAATTACTGGCCTTCCAGTGACCACTGTTACTTGAATGATTAATTCTTTAAAACAATTATGAACCAGACTTTGGACAAATATGCCTTTAAGATCTATATTTCAGCTTTTCACACTAAGTTAGAGAGATAAATTAGATAACCGTTTGTCCACCAATGGCAGTCCAAGAAACGAAACTTAGCCGAGATAAAATTACAAAAAGCATAACAAGGTGGCCTTCCTAGCATCTTAGGGAACTCAATCCTGCAGCCATGCACCATTTGCCTGCCACATTAGTCACTATAAAAATGTTTACCGTGGAAACTTTAGTTGGCGTGGAAGTCAAATGAGTGTTTTACTGTACCCTCTCTGTTACACAAAGCTGCGTGGAGCTTGCTCTCTCACCTTCTTACTAAAAACTCACAATGCTGCAGAACAGTGGAATCTACGGTTCAATCTATGTCCATTGGGGCATCTTTCATTCTCAATTCACTGCTTGCCTCATGAGGGCTGCTCAAGTCTTCCAACAACGCAGCTGCGTGGAAAGAGAGAGGCCGTCTTCTACTCGAAAGCCATGAGTACGGTCTGACAACTGGACGAGGCCAGGCAACAGAAAGACTATGGATGGCATTCAACCAGCAGACCTATCGAAACTGACGGGCCCAAGTTAGTCATGTTCACTCATTTCAATGGGTCTACTCCAAGTAAAACTCAACTGACTGCCATCCTATGACTCCAGCCAAAAGCTGTTCCCTAAAACGAGACAGATGGGGAGGGGAGTTGTCACTTTGCTTTTGGCAAGAATCTGAAAAATGGAGACAGAAGAGGGAACAAGTCCATGCTCTGATTGGCTCAAAGAAGACCAAGTCTACTTGGTCCTGATTTTCACTGGAGGGCATCAGACCCAAGTCAATGCGATCACCAAGATTAGCTCTAGCACTTTATGCTAGAATAACTTCCTAAATTAATAGCCAACAAGCAGAAGTCCTTTTCAAGAGACTCTACCAGAATTTATTTGCATCAAATGTGCCTTATACAACACAAACACTACATATCCAACAATCTCCTTTCTTCCAGGGCAATTCTACTGTCCTACTTGCAAGCCTTCTGCATGCCTTTCTAGTTTGACACCTCCAACTATTGCCAACATCAGAAGCACTAACGCTGCAAACTTAAATCAATAACCGATGCTCTTGCTTCCAGGGGTTCCTGGTGGAGTTCTGAACAATTCTCTCAAACACAACTCCTGAAGTCCATTCGGCAAAGCCACCACAAGCCAAGCTTTCAGCTAGTTCCCTTCGTCCTGTTTGACTGCTAAACAGCTCAAAGTTGCTTCTATGCCACAAATGCCCATTACACGTTACTGGCCAAGCACTTAATACCCACCAGGGCTGGAGAGGTGATGGTGCCAAACACCCAAATGATGTCTCTGGCTTGGTTAGACGAGAACTAGAGCACCACAGTGCAAGTATAAGATGAAGGAGCTCCTTGAGGAGGCTTCTGTTTTCAAGAAGCTGCAGGTACACACACGGCACTCTTAAAGGTCAGTGAAAATGGCAAGGTAGGAAGGCTAGCAGGCGTCCTTTTCTGAGAAAAGACACATGTGCAATTGGGAATGGGTAGGCCAGGGCTTCATCCTGCCCCCACAGACTTCTGAGATGGACCCGGGGTCAAGTACCCTTGTGCACCTCAGAAGTTTTATCCTGAAAAAAAGGGGGATCCAATATTCTCTTTCCTACTCCCCAGTGTGAACAGTTGCAAATGCTCTACCAGAGACGTCTCCTTACATAACTCCTAATAGCAAGGCAAACGTCAGGCCATCAGGAGTGAGGAGAAGAGATCTCACATAGCACGCCAGTTCACACTAGTGAAAAAGGAGGTTCAAGCTACCCTCTGTCTGCATCTTGAGTCATGTGTGAGCCAGTCAACGGGCAGTTAAATGCTGGTGATCTTCCCAGCCATATGGCATCTAAAAATTTAATCGCCAAACAGAACTGGGAATGTACATTTTGCTTTTTCTGAGCGCAGGTGCAGACTATTTGCTTGCTTCTTGGGAAAGAGAAGACGTTTTCAAGGTCCTGCATCTTCTAAAATTATTTTAAAAAATAATAATACATGAAATTGCATTAGCTGAGGAATTTTAACGACCGTGGGCTGCTCTGCTGCAAACCCAGAGAGCGAAAAGGTGCTGTGCTCAAGCAGAAGGAAATGACGACGGACCAGTTTAAAGAACGATTTCGGCGTTTGTGCGGCTTTTTAACTTTATTCTCTTATTCAAATAGATGGCTGCTAACAAAGTAACGCGATACAACCTGGGAGGCTTTGCTTTGTTAACTACATAAAACACCGCTTGGGGAAGCTAGTATTTTTCTTAAGGTTCGAGGGCTCTAGAAATCTAAGGGTGGAAGATACACATTGCTAGAATACAATTGGCGGAGTCGCTATCATGTACAGAGAGCGGCTATCGGGAGCAGGGGGAGGGGAGAGACAAGAGAGAACCAAGGATGAATTAAAGGCCATAAAAAAAATAAAACTGGGGATGCCAAGGTTTTCGTGCGAGGTATTTTACACAGGCCTAATGCCACGGTTAAAATCACAATGGAACAGACAAACAAACAACACGGAAGTGCTCATCTACAGACGAACGCCTAAAAAAAAAAAATTCAAGGGAAGAAGAGCTGTCAACTCAATGCCCACAGCAAGACTGGTGCAGCCATTGCCAGCAATGGACCCAGCACCAGAATAAAGTACAAAACCCTGCTTTGAGGGGGAGGAGGGGGGGAAAAACCAGAGTAAAATGGCCGTTTTGGATTTCAAAGCTTTGCAGAGTATTCTTCCAACCACCTGTGTGAAAAATCGTGTAGAAAGAAAAAGAAGCACAAGACAAGGGAACAGAATAGAGCCTGACACACACCTGAAAGAATGAAGCGGCAAACACCGTGGCCAGTCGTATTCTTGTTTGACTGGCTATAAAATGGGCAGAGAAACTCACACCCAGAGTTATGTTGCCCAAGTTCCAACAGCAGGAGTTTCTTGCAGGGAAGGGGAGGTCCATGCATTTCCCCCAGAAATGTCCTGCTTTAGAAATCAGTTGGTCACGCGGCAACTATTAAAATGCATATTAAAAACACGAAGGAGCCTATAGGCCAGTTAACTACTGTCAAAATCTGCTAGAACATCCAGACTGATAAGTAAAATTAATCTTACACACACACACACACACACACACACACACGTACAGCCTCCCAGAAGAAAAACTGCTTCATTTGCGTACTTCAATTTGAAGTAGATACTAAGAGCACAGAAAGGGTTTTTAAAAGCGGCCAGTTATCTCTTTACAGGAGCCCCGTCATTTGTTCACAGCAAAAACTGCATCTCCTCCCAAGAGGTTATCCTACGCGGAGACCATCAGGCAGATTTAACGCATTAAAAAGAAGAGCCTTGTTATCAACTCACTGCTAGCATGGCTCCAAATTGTCAAAAGCTCGTTATATAGCTTTACACTTTTTACTGTACAAAACACTTTAAAAAGTTAAATTATGATGGGTTGGGGAAGCTTTGAATCAAATGATTATGTGAGAGCTTTTTCTTCCTCGACCTCTCTCTCTAACCAAGGTTGTTTTTCGGGAAAGTGATTTACTAAAAGGAACTATGGCAAGTTAACCCACAAGTCACAAAATGCAACAGTAAAGATTTCGCCCCCCTCCCCCTTAAAACTGCATGTTAAATTGTATTCTAAGTTGTGAACATTTAAATAGAATATATATCTCCTATGAAAAAGTTTGAGTACAAGTGCTTCTGTACCCCCGACATCCCCCCTGGCTCCCACCCCCTCCATCCCACCACAGTTCAGATTTTGGGCCCTGACCAACTTGGAATGCTTTCTTTCAGCCTCCCCACCCACCCCAATCTGTGTGCACTCAGTAAATATAAAGTCAAAAATATACAAATCTCTCATTTACTACAAGGTTTGCATGTGGATGAAGTTAACCTGGACTGCGGTAGTGGGTGAAAGGTGGAGGAGGCAGCAAATCAGAATAGGGAAATTATAGTAATCATTTCCACCACAAAAAAAGGGGGAGGAGAGAGTTCCGAGAAAACGACGACTGGTCACTTCACCGGGGGTTGAAGGGGGGGGGAGAGAAAAAAAATAACCCCAAACTGCAGGACTGGTGAAATTTTTGACTGCTAAAAAGTGATACTGTAGTGGAGAGTTTTCTAGGAAAAATAAAACACCTTTTAATAACCGGCCCACTGGTATGAGCTACCGTGGAATAAATTAGCACAAAAATGGAAGTCTTATAACTGTTCACTGTTACAGACGTAATCAACAAGGTCAGTCACTCGCAAAAGTTCGTCCTCGTCTTCTTCTGGTCCTCCTGCCTCCTGGCCGCCACTCGTCCCGTTGGGTGCCAAGTTGGCATTGGCTGTGCTGTCCTTGGGGGCGGGAGCTTTCTCGCTGGGCTTGCCAATCAAGTTCTCAATGGTTTTCCCAGGACTCTGTCCGTTGGTGGACGGCAAGTCCACCAGGCTGTAGTCCAACGGGCTTTCGACCTTCCCAACGTTATCAAAGTCATCCTCGTCGTCGCTTTCTATCCGGTAGGGCTTCTTGGTGACGTCTTGCGGGCCGTGGGTTGCCGAAGGCCTGGCGGCAGGCACGGGCTTGCTTGCCTCCTCGCTGGCGCTGCTGCAGTTGTCGTCGTCGTCTGTCTCGATGCGATTCAGCCGCTTCCGGACAGGCCGCTCCTCCTTGTCCCCGTCCTCGTCCTCCGAGTACTCGTCCGTGCTGTGGCTGCGCTTCCGAAGGGATCTCTTTGACACCTGGGTGGGTTTATCGTCTTCAGAGTTCTTAGACACATAGCTCTCTGGAACAAGCATCAGACTTAAAGCCGTTAGCAAAATCTGAAGGCATGCAACAGCTATCATCGCTCTCCTGTGGTTACACAGAACGCTCCGCATGCAAGCTGCTTGAACCGGAAGGAAGCGGGCTTCCACCAGAAAATAAAAACTGCAACACAGAAGACTGGCGGGCTCCTATCAATGGTGCAGTTTAATAGTTAAACCACCCTCCATGTGTTTCTATGGCATCCATTTGATGGGGGAGCACTGGTACTTTTAACATACACCCCATGCCCCTTTCCCTTAAAGGACCCCTGATCATTAGGTCCAGTCGTGACTGACTCTGGGGTTGCGGCGCTCATCTTGCTTTATTGGCCGAGGGAGCCGGCGTACAGCTTCCGGGTCATGTGGCCAGCATGACTAAGCTGCTTCTGGCGAACCAGAGCAGCGCACGGAAACGCCGTTTACCTTCCCGCCAGAGCGGTACCTATTTATCTACTTGCACTTTGACGTGCTTTCGAACTGCTAGGTTGGCAGGAGCAGGGATCGAGCAACGGGAGCTCACCCCATCACGGGGATTCGAACCGCCGACCTTCTGATCGGCAAGCCCAAGAGGCTCAGTGGTTTAACCCACAGCGCCACCCGTGTCCCTTTTCCCTTAAAACCTGCCCCCGAATCTCCCTTCTGTAGCTCTCTCAAATCTCCTTTAAAAATGAGACTCAATACATTCGTTATTTACAAAGGCGGTGTTTGGTATGAATACGCAGGATCGACCATTGCATGGTTTCAGTGCTGGCTGCAGTGGATGGGAGTTGTAGCCCCAAACATCGGCTAGAGACTTTACTAGTTCTCAATCTTTGCTATACTCAGAAGTTCAAAACTCTTAAGCTCTTCCTCACCTTTACACTTCTGAAGGGCCCACATCAAACACCTGGATCAATATTTTGGCTACTAAGGCCACATGAAAACACGATGCTAAGCTTGCTTGTTCAGAAGGGAGCCCTTCTGAAGAATACCTCAAGCACTGTTTCTCCCCATAGAAACCTAACCAGACCCTGAGATCACCTTCTGAGGCCCTTCTTTCTGTGCCTCCTCCACGAGAGGTCCAGAGGGTGGCAACACAAGAACGGGGCCTTCTCTGCAGTGGCTCCCTGTCTCTGGAATGCGCTCCCCAGGGATGTTCCCCTGGCGCCTTCATTATATACCTTTAGGCACCCAGCGAAAACGTGCCTCTTCAACCTGGCCTTTGGGCTCAGCTCTCTCCCTCTCTGTGGGGGTAAAAAGCTCTACTAAATTTGTACTACAAGGCAACCCTTTTATTTTACCTTCGCTGTCCGAGCTGGAAAGCCTGCGCTTGTGGATCCTTCTGAGCTCTTTCCCGTATCGGAAGGTCTTCTGAGAGCCGTCGCTTTCAGAATCCTCTTTGTAGTTGACTTGCCTCTTCTGATTGCGCCGAGATCTCCTCCGCCGCGTTTCCAGGTAGTCTTCGTCGCTGTATTCTGAAGAAGCCTCTGTTTCTGTGCAAGGGAGAGGGGGTGGGGTTTAAGGAGAGAAGGAACCGTGCAAATTTAGTCTGCGAACCGCAACATCCTGTCATATTCACAACACGTCTGGTTTTCCCAGTGAAATGCTTCAGGGCAGCTCCAGCCTTCCCATTTGATTCCCATCTTAAAACGCTCTTTAAGAAACTTTCCAATAGGCAACAACAACTGGCAGGCAGGTGACTCAATTTGGCTGCATTCCAATATTATTATTATTATTATTATTCCCAGGGAAATTTAGTTTCTGCATCCTTCCCCTGGAAGTCAGAAGGGCTTGTTGAGGGCAACCTTCTTCAGACTGACAGGTTGACATTTGGGGAGTCATGCTGGGTAACAGGGTAAAAGGTAAAGGAACCCCTGACCATTAGGTCCAGTCATGGACGACTCTGGGGCTGCGGTGCTCATCTCGCTTTATTGGCCGAGGGAGCCGGCGTACAGCTTCCGGGTCATGTGGCCAGCATGACTAAGCCCTTCTGGCGAACCAGAGCAGTACACAGAAACGCCGTTTACCTTCCGGCCGGAGCAGTATCTATTTATCTACTTGCACTTCGTCCTTTCGAACTTCTAGGTTGGCAGGAGGGGAAACAGGGTATGAATCCATATATATTATATGTTGCTTTGTCTCTAGTGGTATCCACCTAACAGGTCTCTCCTTTGCAATCTGATTTTATGACTCCAAGTGTAACACCAAACAGAGAGGACGGAATGTCCATTTGAAACAGGTAGGGTTGCAAGAGTGTTCTGGAAGGTTGCAGAACAAGCCTCTTGCTGCATCCCACCCAGAGGTTCAACAGGTCCAAAGTAAATGATCCACAAGGCATTTCCAGCCTCTTACAGAGTGGTGCATGCTCTAGTTATCTCCTGCTTGGACTACTGCAATGCGTTCTACGTGGGGCTACCTTTGAAGGTGACCCGGAAACTGCAACAAATCCAGAATGCGGCAGCTAGACTGGTGACTGGGAGCGGCCGCCGAGACCATATAACAACGGTCCTGAAAGACCTACATTGGCTCCCAGTAACATTTCCGAGCACAATTCAAAGTGTTGGTGCTGACCTTGAAAGCCCTAAACGGCCTCGGCCCAGTAGACCTGAAGGAGAGTCTCCACCCTCATTGTTCTGCCCAGACACTGAGGTCCAGCTCCGAGGGCCTTCTGGTGGTTCCCTCCCTGCGAGAAGCCAAAGTTACAGGGAACCAGGCAGAGGGCCTTATCGGTGGTGGCGCCCGCCCTGTGGAACTCCCTCCCACCAGATGTCAAGGAAATAAACAACTATCTGACGTTGAGAAGACATCTGAAGGCAGCCCTGTTTAGGGAAGGTTTTATGTCTGATGTTTTATTGAGTTTTTAATATTTTGTTGGAAGCTGCCCAGAGTGGCTGGGGAAACCCAGCCAGATGGGCGGGGTATTTTTTTTAAAAAAAATCTTGTGCAGAGGTGGTAAGTGCACATGAGACGTGGACGGTGGAAGGGCAGGGAGCCAAACAGCAGGTGGTGCCAAAGCAATGGCAGGCAGAGCCAGCTCATCCTAGTTTCCTCCCTTGTTGAGTTCTTTGAAAGGAACCAGGAGGAAGAGGAGGAAGGCGACAGCAACCGCCACTCCCTTGTAAGTAAAGAGGCATGCAGGTGGGGGCTGAGGGCAGACTGAGATCGCAGACTCTAACAAACCAGACCAAAACCCTCACTCTTCCACTAGAGCAGTCCAGTCTAGTCTGAGCAGTCCTGTTCTGATGTACACCTTTTCATGAGGTATGTGAACAACATGCTAGATTTCTCAAAGGAATAAAGAGATATTGGAGTTGGAGGGTGGGTGTGCTGTCTTAAAGGGGCACTCGCCCCCTTGCCCTTGTGCCACCTATGGTAGCTGGTGCCAAGCACACCTTAGAAGAAAGTTATGAAATAACATGAACCTTTGGGAGTCCAGATCTGTTTATTCATTTATTATGATTGATATTCCTCCTTTCGGTGGAATTATCTTCAAGGCCGTTTACAGCACACTGCAATAATGCAAACAAATAATACACACACATGCACAAAACCCAGCAGCCTCCCTTGGGCCAAGGGATATCTCAAGGCAACCAGAGCTGAGAGTTCTTTCCAGCAGGGAAGAGAGAAGTGAGCTCTCTGCTTCTGTTGCTCCTTCGCGGGCTGATGGATGGGGCCAGAAAGGTCTTCTCCTTGCCTTGCCATGTTGTCGTTCCTAGAAGGCAGGGGATGCAACCTCCAAGCGGCTCTTTGCTTCCCGGCACAGGCCAGAGCATGCTTGCCTTCACCTTTGCAGCCCTAGGGCAACCAGCGGTTGGGAGTTGTTTGTTCTTTCTGGTGGCAAAGCAAATTTCCCTGCAGCTGCTCCTTCTTGGCTAATAGATGGGACTCTGTTGCAAAGTTCTTCTTGGGCAGCAGGGGGCGCACTCTTTCCACACTGTTCTCATTCTTGCATAAATAAAAGTGTTGAATTATGACCATCAAACTCAAGGTTTGGGGATTATAATTCGGTTTTAGTAAGTGTGGACTTTGGTCCATATGTCTGCATTAAACTCAGATTTCCTTTTAAAACAGTTCAATTTTATTTGCTCTTTTATTTCTTAAGAGAGGCTTACCATAATTTAAATTTAGTTGCAAAGCAGTACATTTTAACTGCTACAGCAACTGGTTGTTGCTCATCCTTGTTCTGGAAATATATATATATATATATATATATATATATATATATACATATATACATATATATAGTAACGACAGACATTAGCTTTGTTTTATTGCAGACACAAAAACTGAATGTATATTTAATTAACATGCACCCTCCCCTTTCAGCCCCAAAGGGTTCTCTTAACAATTAAAAAGACAGTCATCGATATTAATATATAAAACAATGGAAGATTTAAAGCAGAGAAAGTCCTTAACAAGACACATAAACCAAGAGGCAGGAGAGTAAAACACAAAACAGGCAAAAGGCAATATCCAACTTAGCTGGATCCGACTAGCGCAAGGATTCCCACTTGCAACAATGGAATTTCTCCTCCCTCTCCTCTCCCTGCACACAGCTCCCCCTGCTGAGCGATGGGGGACAGATTTAGGGGCCGCACAAGCAAATGAGGCTGTGGGGAAGTTCCACTGCGCAGCCCAAAGCTCTTGCACAAGTGGAAGCACTTTGTTGCGATACCACACCATTTAACAACTGAAAAGCCTGGGGAGAATAGAAAGGACAGCGCTAACATGACAACAAACCCAGGGCTGTGCAAGTCTCACTGGTAAGCAAATTCCAACGACGGGGTACTGCCAAAGAGAATGCCCTCCCTCTGGCCACCAAAGACAGTGGGTGGTGGGTGGAGAAAGGCCTCTTAAGATCCAATGGTCTGGGAGCCCATGGCTGTTGAGGTGCATTGGTCCCAAGCCATTTAGCGCATAGATATCAAAAGCAGCACTTTGAATTGTACTCAGAAGTGGACAGGAAGCCAGTGTATTATAGTCAAGATGTAGCCTGGGTGCCCAATCTCAGTCCACTATCCAGCTGTGGCATTTCCATAGCAGCCGAAGCTTCCGAACAGTTGTTGGTGGCAAAGCCATTTACATATAATACAATCCAAAAGGAAACGCCAAATGAGGAGGTCGTCATTGGTTCAATTTAGATCGCAGGCGAAGCGGCTGGATGTGTGTGTGTGTCACAGGGCAAATCCAGCCCGGAGGAGTGCCGCTGGCTCTTCAGCTGCCAGCTAAGAAGAAAACGATGGCTTCCGTGGCAACGGGACTTCCTGGCAGGCCACTACAGGAGGCAAAGGTGAGGAAAGCCAGCTCATCCAGTTCTCAAGAAGGTCGACCCTCCAGGAAAACCAGTTGCTGGCCTAGTTTCCCAACACTCAGTCCTTTGAGCCAACCGCCAAGCTACGAAGAGTGAAAGAGTCCAACTTACCAGATTCGCCGCTTACGTTCTCCTCAGAGTCCTCATCTTCGTCTTCGTCCTCTTCAGAGTATCTTTTCTTGGCTGTTTTTCTCCGTAGCCGCCTGCTTTGCCTCATCGGCCTGGAGTGGTGCCGCCTGGGCCTGCGCTTTGAAAACTCTGCATCGCTGTCGTCGTTCGATGGTTGATCCTCTTCGCTTTCGTCTAAGTTCTCATCCGAGACAACGAACTCATCCTGAGATCTAAGGGGGGCAGGGGGGAGAGATTAGCTGGAAAGATCTTTGAAACGATGCCAAAGGAATAAAGCCCGCTCGACTTTGAGACCTGCATTTTAACTGAGAGACTGTAGACGTAAGAAAGGTTTAGCTAAGGTGGTTTTCATTGCTCCAGTGGAAAACGATTCAATCTCTCTGCTCAAATGGTTGTGTGTTCAAGCGACAGGCCCTTGAGGTCAGTTCAAAAATGCTATTTCTGATGCAGTAAGTCCTCACACAACTCTAACCTCAAAAATTCATCTGGGGCCTGGCCTGATTGAAAGTTTCTGTGCAAGAAGCTCGCACCTCACAGGCAGAGCTAACCCACCAGAAAAGCTTCTGACAGCATCGTTTAAAAGCCAGAGGTGGGGAACCTGTGGCCCTCCAGTTGTTGTTGGACTACTAATCCCATTGTCCATGACCATCAGCTATGCTGGCTGAGACTGATGGAAGTCTTAACAGCATCTTGAGATGCTGTTAAGGTTCCCCACCACCTGCATTTCACGGGACCGAAACAGTACAAACATACATTCTAGCTCCAGGTCCCAAAAGAGAGGGCCCAGATCTACCAGGTACTACAGTGCTCCTGGCAGAGCTCCACTTCAGAATCCAGGTATGAGATGGCATATTTCCTACCATGCCATGTAAGAGGAACAGACTAGAGCATTTTCCTCCAACATTTTAATGTATTTTTTATCTTTTGTTAGAAGCCGCCCAGAGTGGCTGGGGAAACCCAGCCAGATGGGCGGGGTAGAAAGAAAGAAAGAAAGAAAGAAAGAAAGAAAGAAAGAATAATAACAACTACCACTACTGTACTACTACCAGGGGCGTGATATACCTAACAAACGGTGTCAGCAGAAACCCTGCAAGAGAGTTTCTTGCTTGCACAATGGGGCTTTCCATTCTCTTCCCAAATTGGTTTGGTGGGTCAGGAGAACCCCTAGAAGGAGGGAATTGTTCCACTTGGCAAGCCGATATGCTTGTGCAGATGGAAGATTCATCATAGAGCGACACCCACCCTAGATTTCCAAAGGCAAAAGCAGGGCAAGCGTTCAAACCAGCGATCTTCCACCCGCAATCAGAAGCACAGGGAGGGTCGTTCCAAGTGGGAGTTCTGAGTATCAGTGTTTGGCAAGACTGCATCTCCAGAGTGCTTCTGGGATCCAAAGCTAAACACGTTTTACTGCCCCACACTTTCAAACTGAGGCTAGTACAGTGATACCTCAGGTTACATACACTTCACGTTACAGACTCCGCTAACCCAGAAATAGTACCTCGGGTTAAGAACTTTGCTTCAGGATGAGAACAGAAATTGTGCAGTGGCAGGCCCCATTAGCTAAAGTGATGTTTCAGGTTAAGAATAGTTTCAGGTTAAGAACGGACCCCCGGAATGAATTAAGTACGTAACCAGAGGTACCACTGTAAGTGCTTAGCTCAAACTGAAATTGCTGAAATAAGAACGCTCAACTTGGGACAGAGCACACCCGAAATTTGGAGCAGGCCTTACCCGTCACTGATTCTGAACTCATCCTCACTTTCTTCTTCATCCAGGTTGCTGTCGCTGTCCAGGTCGTTCAGTCGCCGCCGTTTCTTCCGGCGAACTGCAACAGCCCTCGGAGGTCGCTTGGTTTCCTTCCTTTCTTCCTCCAGGATGGTGGAAATATCCTTGCCACGATGCCCCGTGATGTTAGACATGTCTTTCCCTCTTCCACCACCTACAGTCGGGAGACCAGGACCACGGTGACTGTGAATCCACTTATTCACTTGCTGCTAGCATCAACCTTCCCTCCATAAAAAGCACCCAAACCAGGACTGAAAATTCCCATGTTTGCAGACAGATGAGGTGAGGGAGGATCATGTCTTATCTCCCCTGTGGAAAAGCTGAAAGCTTAAACAAGGCTGGGGATACAAGAATGAGACATTTATTTATTTTACCTTCCACCTCCAAGAGCATACATGGGCCCCTCCACCACCACCTTTATCCACAACAACCCTGTGAGGAAGGTCAGGCTGAGTGATAGTGAATAGCACAAGCAACGAACTTAGCAGAGCAGGGATCTACGTCCAAATAATCTTTGGACACATCCCGGCCAGCTGAGAAGTCTGACAAGAGGGAGAAAGATTTCTGTTCTTTGTAGCAGATGTGGTTTTCATGCATTTGCAGGAAGTGACAAGAGAGCACCCAAGTCCCTCGGTATAAATTTAGTGCTTGCTGTACCAAAAACCAGGATTGCCATCCACTACTGAAGTCATCCATATGTTCCTCCCCGTTAACATTGTCCAATAAGACACACCTCCTCCGTCAGCCTCCTTTATGTCATCCTCTATGGCTTCGTCAATGGCTTCGTCAAACTCATCAAACCTAGAGAAGACAAAACGTGCTGATTTCAGAGCGGAGCTCAATTATATTTTAAGAAATAAACTGGCAAGTTTGTAGTAACTGAAGAGTCCAAATATGTGAGGGGGAAAGGAGATCAATTTGTACGTCTCTCACTCTCTTGAAGAGGCTGCCCACAGAACGGACAAATAAATCCCTAATTAAAGTTCTTAGACTTACTTCAAACACTCAACCCTACATATTTAACAGAGAGAGAGAGAGAGAGAGATACCCTGTAGCGGTCCTTCCTGAAATTCAGTATCAGGCTCCAAATGTCTGAACAGTTTATAATACACACAAGCATTCTGACCTTCTTCATAGAAAGTTAAGCATAACACCAGGAACTCTTGTTTTCCTCTTAATTTTGCATGACAGTTTTTGTAAGTGGTTTTATGCAAAAGTATCTGAAATGTTACTACATAGTTAAACTAAGATGTTCCCTCCTCCCTTTACCATTTGCAAAAGGAAAACCAGCTGTTACTGCTCTTTGGATGCTACAGCAACAATCTGCAGTCTCTAAAGCAACGCATTGTTGAGCGGGTGGAGGGAAAGATCAAGGTCTTGCAAGTTTTATAGCTCAATCTTCTTCACTTAGAAGCGGCTGAAACCAACTAGGCAGGAGCACAAAGGCAGAAGCTGCAAAGGCAGGGCATTTCACAGTCCTGCTGTTGAGCATAATACATTTCGAGTGCAATTTCCACTGACGAGCGATGACCCGCTCAAACTGCTATGCTTGCAGAACGGCTTAATCCCCCTGGAGGACAGTCGGATAACCTGGGGCGAGGGAGGGGGGATTCTGCTGGGTCATCAGTTTGCCTCATCTGTCAGGGATGTGACAATTCCATCTAGGAAGCCCAGAGTACAGCCTGCCTCCTTCTTACTAACCACACGAGGTGGGGCTTTCTAGCTCAATGCGGTGTCTGGAGTTAATGACGGTCCCGTGTAGCATCACAGAAACAGTCTGGGTTTGCTTTGACTTGGATTTGATGTGTGAGGCACTGGCATACACGTCACCAGTATGATGTTTGCATGTGCTCTTAAGACGCAATTATTAAAGCAGCCCAGGAGATTGAGAGGCACATCGCAGTATCATGCAGTTGGGCCAGATTTTTATCGATTGTAGACAACAGCCACTGCAACGGTGCATACAAATGTATGAGAGGAAACCCCACGGCTCCCTTTTTAATGAAAGGCAGCCTAAGGAGCCAGTGATTCTGCGTGAAAGAGAAGCAGGGCAAGCACACTTAACCCTTTTGCCAATGACGGCTTTTTACAATCAGAGCTGCACCCACAAGCACCCTTGACCCCACCCAGGGTTCTAGATGGTGCAACTTATGAGGGTGAGCACTGTGCCTCCTCTGCTGGGAATCACGGCCCCAGGAACCTGTTTTTTAATATCATAAGACGACCCTTCAGGATGCAACCAAAGGCTCATCTAGTCCGGCATCTAGCTCATCTAGGATCTAGATGCCTATGGGGCGCCAACAAGGAGGACACGAGCCCAAAAGCACTCTCCCCACTTGTTGATTCCCAGCATGCTGTCTACAACATAGAAATAGCACACAAGAGGTTTAAACACTCGCTCAAGGCAAATCTAAAAAAATGTAGTATAAACATCGACAACTGGGAAACGCTGGCCTGCGAGCGCTCCAGTTGGAGAACAGCCTTTACCAAAGGTGTCATGGGCTTTGAAGACACTTGAACTCAGGACGCAAGGGAGAAACGGACAAAGAGGAAGCCACACTTGGCACATCCACACCGTGATCAACTTCCGCCTGGAAACCTATGTCCCCACTGTGGAAGGACGTGTGGATCCAGAATTGGCCTCCACAGTCACTTACGGACTCACTGTTAATAACGTGTTTATGGAAGACAATCTTACTCGGCTACAAGTAATCGCCAAAGAAGAAGTACATAGCCAACATGGCCAGTAGCCACTGACAGCCTTGCCCTCCATGATTTTGTCCACCCTCCATTTAAAGCCTTCCAAGTTGGTTGCCCACCACCAATCCTGTAGTAGAGAACTAAGCCATTATTGAAGAGACAACCCTGGAGCTTTGTTCTGTGTTTTGGCATGTAATGTACAGCCACTCAATGTAAGACGAAATTTAAATGCTCACTTGCTATGTTGCTGTTGCTGTTGACGTCATTATCATTATCATTATTTTAAAAGAACAATTTAATTGAACGAAATAAAATAAAAATAAAAGGTATACTATCAAAACTGGGCCTAAACCCGGTTTAGGGTCTACACAATCAGTTTCCTCCTAGAGCACCTGGATCTGGTCTGCAACTGGTCTGCCCAAGAAGGAAAGATTGGCAACTGGGTGGTTAGTTACTTAAGATTTTCAGAATCCAGGGAGGGTTTCTTGAGGAGTGGTTTTACCACTGCTTCCCTCAAGCAGGCATGGACCCTTCTCACAAGGAGGCATTGACCACCTCCCTGGCCCAGCCAGCTGTCCCCCTCACTGCTCATTTTTATCAGCCAAGAGGGTCCAGGTAATTGCCCTGACCGATCCAAGCACTTTGTCTACATCCTCAAACCTTACTAGTTGAAACTCATCCAACACAACAGGATTAAGACAGTGCTCTAGACACCCCTTGAGAGTCATCTGCTGTAACAGCAGAGTCAAGATCCCAGTGGGTGCAAGCAATTTTGCCCTCAAAACGAATTGGCTCTAAAAAACCCTTTCCCCATTGCTCAGACAGCCCTCCCTTCTTCTTCTTCTTCTTCTTCTTCTTTTTTTTTTTTGCATGTTTCCACTGTGAACTAGAAACACAGCTTCTTTTATTACATCCATTCAAAAAGGAGCAAAGCAGTTGCTTGCCTATAGCTGATGCACTTCCGTTGCCTAGTCGACCTCCTTTCAAGCAGCTTCGCCTTTGATTTTTTGGAATCTTTCTTCTTTTCATCGACAACTTCAGGTATTTCAGGCTCCTGGTTTAAAAGCAGACAATCATTAAGCACAGAAATAGCTGCAGCCAATCATACGAGGCTGTACAAACGCAGCATTAATTTGTCGCCTTTTCCATGAGAAACAATCTGCTGCACAAACAGCCACACAGTTCCTTTTGTTCAGGGTACCTAGGGTTGTTTCCAACTAAGTTCTACTCTGAGAGGATTAATAAACACACGTCAGCCATGTTCATTAACTTCAATGAGTCAACTCAGAATAACACCAGCATTGGCTACAACCCGTAGCAATTATTAAACCATGCATACCTCCGAAGTTTTCAAATGACAGGATGGGATTGATCTAACAGTACGTGCCAAGATGGAGATTCAAACAATGGCAAGTTTCTAGACCACATGGCTGTAATATGCATGTGTCACAGGCAGTAGAGAAGGAAGACACAGGGAGTGCACTGGGTTTCTAGTGGTCAGGGATCCATGGTTTAGTGCCCTGCATAGCTCCTTGACTCTTATCAGCAGCAGGAGCCGAATTTATCAGGCAAAATGAGCAGATGCATGCAAATTTGCTTGATTAAGGCAATCTATGGTTATTGCACACTCAGCTTTTCTTAAGGCAGAATTTTTAGTGTTTACAGCGCAAAGAACACACAGGTCTGACTCTATGCCAAAAGAAAGAAAAGGAGATATCAAGGGGTTCATTTCACTTACTCGTGGAGGAATGATATTCTCAATACTAATGCCCACATACACAAGGCGCTCTTTCCTTAGGGAGAAAAAACAAAACAAAAAGCTGACATTTCTTCACAGCAACGGCTTAAATTTGTCCTATACTGTATTTCACCTGCTTGCATTAATGCCAGACCTTTACCTAGCTGCACCCACAGCCAGCTCCAAACTAGAATTTGCAGTCAAAGTCATGTGGTTTTGCATGTTGGCGTGGTACTAAACCTGGTTAATAAAAATACCAGAACATGTGATGGCTACTGGGGATTGTACTGGCTGAGGCTGATGGGGGCACTGTAGTCAAGCTAGAGGGTACGAGGTTGTGGAAGGCTAGAGTAAAGTACTGACTCACTCGCTGTGTGTGATTTGTTATGTGGGGTTACAGGGGTTGCTAAGCCATTGGTCAGTGTTTCGATACCTTCGTTCTGCACGCTCTTTCTTTTTCAAGACAACATCCAGGTCCTGCAGTTGTTCTTCCAGCTTCTCGCAGAGCAATTTCTATGGGAATAAACAAAAAACAGAGCGTTACCCTGCTCCACAAACATCTCCATGCAGCTGATTTCTTAACAGGCCCCTTCCCAAGTATTCCATGTCGGTGTGAAAGCCGTCACCGCCAGAGAGTACCTAACAGTGGCCCAAACATCAGGCGGTAAGAGAAGGATTTCCAGACAGAATAAGGAAAAGCAAATTACTTTGGAAACGGTGGGTGACAATCTCAAGACTACATTTCAATCTTTCCACTGAATGGAGTTCAAATTTATTCCTAAATCTGCTCTTGCAGTTGAAGCACACAGAAATGCCACCTAGTCCATGGGCAAGGCAAAGTAGACAGGCAGAACCAAACAATTCACAATACATGGATGAGAATGTCACTAAGTCACAGGGGATTGGGATTTTGGGGGGGAGGGGTGGAAGAAGCCTGCATCAAGGGAACTGGTTCCACCTGAACTATACTGCAACTTACCTGCTAATGCTTAACAATATATAGGCTTTAATTCATCTTCACCTTCTCCCAAAACATTTTCAGCAGAGCAAATTCCTCATACTCTTAGCTATGATAAAGTGTTTTCAGCAACAATGGACTTTAAACCAGACTGGACCTCTGGTTTAGAAGGGAATTAAGTATATCTTGAGCAACAATCAATGCTTCCGTGGAGGAAACTTGCACTCCAGAATGGAGGGGTGCTGAGAAAATGCCAGCAATTTCCCCCCATTTGCTTCACAACGAGTAAGCAATCGGGAATATTACATCTGCACAAGGCCTATATGATGTGAAAATGGCAAATGCCACACAAAAAGAGACAAATGTAGGTATAGTACAGAAAACTTTAAGTCCCTTATAAATGTTGAATTGTGTGTACAGAAGAAGCACGTGCATTGTTTTTTGTGCAAATGCTAGAATACCCAAACCCCAAACAGTACTAGGAGAATATATAGCTGAGCATAATAGAAACGTTAAAAGGAATTGTGGAAAATAAGAATGATGTTACCTCAAGTATATTATCAGATGATGGAAACAAACAATGGGTGGTTTGCATTTCATTTACAGTTATGAACTAATTTGTTCATTTACGGCAAGTTGCAGAAAGTAAATTACACGCGACTGCAAACAAATATCTTTATGGTGCAATTTGTTTGCAGTGCACTGAATGTTATTCTCATGGGACTACGTAATGCCCTTGTTACACATTCACACCCACCTATTACCACATCTTACAGTTCTGTTACAATAATGGGTACCAAAGGCAAAGTAAACAGTCCCAAAAGGAATTGAGGAAACATCGAGGGAAGGCTCCTTTCCATAGCCACACCGTAACTCAGGATTTGCATGCGAGGAAGCACAAAACAAAGGCAAAGAAGACAAAGCCTACATGCTGGCAAGGTGGGCAGAACCATTCTCCATCAGGAATGATCATCAGTGGGGGTCGAAGGCAGGCCGTATGGTAGCCGCTGTCACAAGAGTCGCACAAGAGAATCTGTGAAAATGAACCAAGGAATCAGTCGGACCTTGCACTTGCACTGTGAAGCACATCAAGGCGCACCTTGCTTTCCTATGTTTGCACAAATCAGCCTTCGCCAACCGGTGCGACTCCAGACGTTGTGGACCACAACTCCCATCGGTTCCAGCCAGCATGGCCAATGGTCAGGGATGATGTGAGCTGTTGTCCCGACGGTATTCGGAAGGGGACCAGATTGACGAAGGCTGGCATAAATATTCTGAAATTGAAATGGCCAATAGATCCATAAGCAGATAAACTGTTGCTTTTGCTGGAAAGCCCAGGGGTAATATTCATTAAAGTTAAACTCTTTTAAGTCCCACTGACTTCAATGGAAGGTATTAATTCTCTCACTGACATGGATAGGATTTTAAAGGGGTTAACCAGATCAGGCTCCAGGTACACTAACATTCCCAGATTAAACCTGAATTCGCTGTTGTCATAAAGTAGAGGCAAAAACATGCTCCGTCTCTTCTCTTCTGGTGCAGCTGTAGACTCAAATGGGAAGTTGTAATTCTCTTTAAACACAATATGGGCAATTCTTAAGGGAACTGGCTATGTCAGGACTACACTGCAAGACAGCCTATTTTGATATGAAGACATTCCAGTTCATAAATGTGTATGATCCTCAGAGAGGAGAATTTTTCTGTTAAATCCTACTAGGGAGAGAAGATAGAAAAGACCAAATGGGCCTTTGGTTGTCACTGTTTCTCTAAACAGCCCTGTGGTTTTGCAAGGATTCCAAGGTTTCTGTTGAGTACCCAGCCTTCCCGCCAAACTACAGATTGCAAGTGTTCCTGGGACAAAAGCCACCGCAATTAAACCAACTGAATTTTGCCGCAAAGCTATGATCCCAAATGCAACTACTGCATGGAGTGCCACTGTGATTGGAATTTTGATCTCATCCACAGAAAAGGGACAATGCAAGCAGAGTGATTTTTTAAAGAAGACACATACATGCACAAGAATAATTTAAGGTACCGTATTTTTCGCACCATAGGACGCACTTTTTCCCCTTCAAAAATGAAGGGGAAATGTGTGTGCGTCCTATGGAGCGAAGACGCCATAGCCCCACGACCCTCTCCTGGCTGGAGAGGTGACGCGCGGCTATGGCAGCAGCCTCTCTGCTGCGCCTTTGCGCTGCTCCCTGACCTGCTCTTTGGGGCTGGTGGTGGGCTTCCCCCCGCCAGCCCCAAAGAGCAGGTCGAAAGGAGCCTGGAGAGCGAGAGGGGTCGGTGCACACCCACCCCACACGCTCTCCAGGCTTCCAAGGTAGCCGCCTGAACGCACCTTAAACGGCACCTTGTTTTAGAGCGGGAAAACAAGAGGGGGAAAATTCTCCCCCTCTCTGCGCAGCACCTCCTGCCGCTTCGCTGAAGGGGCGCTGGGCAGAGAGGGGGAGAATTTTTTTTTCTTGTTCTCCCCCCTCTAAAACAAGGTGCGTCCTATTGTCCGGTGCGTCCTATGGTGCGAAAAATACGGTACCTATTTTTTGTCAGTGTTATTGCCCCATATTTATGTAACACGTAATAGTTTAGAATCTGCTCCCAGGTCTGAACTTCCAAACGAACAACATGACTTAGAATTGCTTGTCTGTTTTTGTTTCTCATCTTCGAAGCACCCCACCACTTAAATTCATTCTGCCTTCAAGGTGCAGCAGCCTGCAGAGGTGGCTGCTCAATTCAGACATCACACTAAAACATGATTTGCACACCCAAACCTGCTTTACTGGCAAAACACAAACCATGCATTGCCAGTTCAGACAACATGCCAAGTCATACCTAAACTTCCTTTAACCATAGGATTGGTATGATGTCTGAACTGAGCCAGTATCTGTAGAATGCTTAAGAATGGCTTTTCTAAGTTTCATTGCTCTTGAAGACAAGAACCTACTAGCTCTGGGTGATTGGGGAGGCCGCATTTCTTGCACGGCTCATCGTCATCAGCAGGTGCAGGTTCTTCCTCTTCCTCCTCCTCTTCCTCCTGATCCTCAGAGTCTTCTTCACTCTCTGAATCATCGCTCTCATCATTGCTTGAGTATCTCCACCTACCACGAGTTCGAGTACCAGCCCACCGAACTTTGCTTCGCTGTGAGGCCTAGAAACCCAGTGACAAGGGAAACCTCATTGTCTCGGCACCTTGTTACAGTTCCATGCTGAATCATACATTCCCCCAGTTTACATTGCATCAAATAAAAAATAGCCACGCGCAGATTATACAATGCCTTCTGGACATGACAACAGTTGTACTGGGATTCAATGCTAAATGGTTTAGCAGTATAAGAACAAGCCGCAGGGAGCCTCAGGTTCAAATGCCCCCCTCTCCTCCAGCGCAGCTGCAAGGAAACTGTTGCTTCTATTTTAGATTAGTCACTGTTTACCATGCCCCCATAACCCTAAAGAGTGCTTGATCTTAACTATGTTCTTTTTTTAAAGAAACAAACCATAGTTAAGATTAACCATAGTTAAGATCAGGGGTCACCAACCTAGGGCCCATGGGCCAAAAGCGGCCCGCGGAGGTCGTTTGACCGGCCCACGAACCACCCCCGAACTGAGGTGCCCGCTCTCGCGCTGCGCTAAACTGGCACATCTGCGCAGACGCAGACACCGAAAATTGTGAGCGCGTGTGCTCACACGTGCGCACGATCTGGCCCACGGAGGGATCTCCGTGGGACCGATCCGGCCCAGGCAAGATAAGCCTTGCTGACCCCTTGTTAAGCTTATCCAATTTGTCTAGATGTAGATGTCACAACAAGCTGAATTTAATCTAAAATTGTAGGGAAAACTTCCAAACTTCTCCTTAAGCCTATACTGGAGGACAAAGAGGAGCATATGAGTCCAAGGCTCACCAACAGTTGTTGTCATAATGTCAACCAATGATTTAGTGTTATTTCTGAACAAGGCCAATATCACTCTTAAAAAAAAACAACCCAACTCATTTATTTCCTTCCCTTCTGAAGTTACACTACTTTATACCAGCACCCATCATCTGTTCCACACACAAATGAGCTGCAATCTGATCATATGGCCTGCTGCTGCAAATTAGGATCTAATGATACAAACGCTGCATTTGTAGAGAAAGAGAACAAGTTCTGTCCTTGCATATGAAATCTTTCTTTTTCAGTCTGGCCTTCAAACAAGGGAAAACCTTCCCTCAGGATTGATGCAGCTGATGAGACCAAACTGGGAATTCGCGTGATAGTTCACTGTGGAGACAGGAGAAAGACTTGGCTTTCACAATGAGAGATACCTCAGATTTAGCTGGAGGCCGGGCTCTCTTCTGAAAACAATTTTGCATCTTGTGGGCAGATTGCTCACACAGGACTGGACCACTAAATTGTCCAGAGCAAGGACAGTATCTCTCTGGCACAATCCTAAAACCACACATAGGGAAACATCAAAGTAGAAAGCAGTAGCTCTGTCTGACTCTTTTCTTTCAAATCAAATGGGGATAATGAGGCAAGTGAGGGCACCGCCACCAGGAATCTACTGAGAGTGCCCAGTCAGAGGACATGTAACCCAACCAAGTCTTAGCTGAAGGAGGACGAAGACACTGCCTGTCTCAAAATCTTCCTCTTTCCCTGAAGCTTCCAGCCCTCACCAGGTGTTCCCCACTCACAGTAAACCACTGGAATCATGATGAATTTTACTTTCTTGGCATTATTCTTGCCATTCTCAAACAGAAGTGCTCCTTCCAGTTGTCTTACTGGCATCCCTGATGACTCTTGTATTAACTCTGCAACTTCCTATTCCATTTCTTTCACACACAAAAATATATTCTAGACTCATTTTCTGTACCGTTTCCAGGTGTCATCAAACATGTGACTCTCAACTGCTCCAACTTTGCAGAAGGGCAAACGTTTCCCATGCAATAATCACAGTAACTAAATGCACACCGTATAGCCAGTGTAGAAAACACTAGCTAGTAATAACTGCTAAGGCACGAGATATCATTTTAGCCTACCAAAATTTTTTCAACTGATTCACTGAATCGATTAAACATCTAAATGCTGCAGCCTTACATCAAGCTTTCTTCCATTCACCAATAGCTTCTGCTACATCAGTGTAACATAACATGAACAGTTTCCTGCATCATTTTATTTTTTGAAAAGCTATTGAACTATCTACACCCTACTTCTGAGCCAGCTAGTAACTGTGTGGATCACATGATCACACCTTCTCTGCGGCCATCATTTTTCAGGAGACAGGGAGCTCTATCCAATGCTCACACAGTTGGGACTCCCGCTTCCTCTCCTCTTGTGTGCCCCCAAAAATCTACTCCAGAGAATCCCTCAAGTCTCTGGTGCAGATTTTGAGGGTGCACAGGGGAAAAGGGAACAGTTCCACTGCTTTAGTGGGACCCTGACAGGCAAGCAGAAGCTCTCTATACTGTGTTCTATCACTCCTGCTTCCAGGCATAATGCCTTGTGCTAAAAATGTCAAAACAGAGTAAAAATTAGAATACTGGGTGCAGAGCAAGGCCTGACAATTGAGCAAAACTGTTCCAAACTGTACAGATTAGTATAATGGGGGTGGGGTGGGGGTGGATGGGCAGAAACCAAAATGTCTTAGCATAGGTTTGGGTTTCTAAACAACATTAGTGGCCAGCAAAATTCAGAAGACTCAAGGCACACAGCTCTCATGTGAATATTTTACCTTGCTAGCCTTAGAATTTATTTCCTTCTCTTGCTTTTTTGAGTCCTCTTTCTTCTCCGGCTTTTGCACCGCAGCTGGTTTTTCTTCCTCCTCCTCACTCCGTTTTTTCTCGGGCTTCTGATCTCGGGTCTCCGCTATTTTGGGAGTGGGCTTAGATATCCGGGGAGACCTCCTTAAAATGCGACCGACACCAACAGCCGCCTCCTCCTCCTTTTCAGAGGCTGCATTCTGAGTCTTGGGAGGAGGGTCGGTTTTCTTTCTACTCGAGATCCTGATTGTGAGCTTGATCCCATCTTTCTGCCTCTCAGAGGTGATTTCCCTATTCTCCGTTAGAGAACCTTCGTCTTCAGAAATCAGCTTGTATTTACACTTGCTTTTCACAGGCTCTTTTTTAGCCTCAGGAGGTTCCTCGGCAGAACTTTGGGCATTGCCTAATTTGGGCGTTTCTTTCCCTTCAGCTTCAGAGTCCTTCTGCGGCTTAGAATCCTGCCCTGCCTGGACTTTGCATTTATCAGGAAGTGTGCTTTTAGAGACAGATTCCTCCTTCTCAGCAACTGATTTCTCCAAGGGAAGGGCTGGAGCAGGCAATGGAGTCACAGCCGCTGTTAGCAACTCTGCCTTCTCCCCGGGTTGACCCTTACTTTTCAGATCCTCTTCAACTGCTGGAGTAACCTGCTCCTTTGGGGAAGATGCAGTTAAGGATTTATCTGGACATTCCTTGGGAGGTGCCAAGCCGTCTTTTGCTTTCACAGGTTCCACTGACTTCTTGAGACAATCATCCGTTTTTGAAGGTGCTTCTACGACAGACTCTGAAGTCTTACTGTCAAGCAAGTTTTCTTTTCCTTTCGGGCTGGTCTCCTCCTTTAAAGGCACTTTCTGAGAAGAAACCTCAGCTACCACACTAGCTACCTCCTTCCCTGTATGCAAAATATTTCTTTCGACATCAGCTGTTCTTATTATTGTGCTAACGGTCTCTAGTATTTTCTCGCCGCTTACACCATTTTCCTCCTTAGGCAGGCTGGAGGTGTCTTCCTTTGTGCCTGGGGAACGTTCCAGCTTGTTATTTGGCATGATTTTCTCGCTACTAACCTCCCCATTAACAAGACATTTCCCATCGGTGATTGTAGGGACTCTCTTAAACGTCTCTTCCTCTTGTTTCCCTTCCTCCTTCAAAACATCCTTCGTTGGGGTAATACATTTTCGCAAGGGCCCTTTTAAGGGACTGTCGTAATCATCAGTCAGCTTAATCTCTCGCTTTTTCAGTGGAATCTTTGCCTGCTGGTCATTTTTTAGTTTCTCGCTTTCTTCCACACTTCGCTCCACCACTTCCTGGGGAGCTTTGACATTGACACAGAACTCTATCCTCTCGGGCTCATGAACAGTTGCCTCTGCATTGCTATTTACATCTTTCAAGTCTTTTGGCTCTAGCTTATTTTCCTTCACCTCCACTTTAACGGGCTTAACGTTTTCTTTAAAAGAGTCCCTTTCTTCTTTGGTAATCTGCATTTCCCCATTGTTTTCCAAAGGTTTATCTAACTTCACTATAACTGGCAGCTTTATGATTTCTCTCTCTTGCACTTTTTCTAATTTTATCTTGTTTTCCTCTTCCGAAACTGCTGGAGGTGGAAGGCTTTCCAACTGTTTTGGCAGCTCCTCTTTTATCTCTTCTTTTTCTTCTTTGACCTTCAAGTCACTTTCTGTTTCATTTAAAAGAAAAAAGAGCAAAGTAAAGCAATTTTACAATCATCACCAAATGATTCTCCCCACCCTCAGTACGACACAACTTTTGAAGCATTTAGTTTTTCCAGGCACTGAACACATAAATGCTAAATATCAGCTCACGTCCAAAGAAAAACAGTTCCAATGGTACTTTACTCTGAGTGAACGTTTCGGTACAGCAAAAATCACCGGGCAAATCTATGTAACAAATATATGCTGGTTTCATTCCAATTTAACCGTCCTGGCTATCCCCTCAAGAAAACCCTGAAAACTATGGTTTTGTGCTATTCTGAGAAATCTCTATTACTAGCTCACTTCCCCTGTATGGAATTACAATTCTCAAGGCCCTCCAGGAAGAGCTTTACTATTTGAAGTCTGCAGAAGCGAGCTAGGAAGGGCCAAAAGGCATGCAATCAGCACCTCCTTAGAGGAAAGCTCTCTCCAGAGAGGCTCGCCTGGTACCCATCCTAATGTCACTTTAATAGCAGCAATACTTAAAAAAAAAAATCTCCTCAAGCTTTTTTAGGTTAAATGGCTTCCAATTTTGAATCGCGCCCACATTTGCAGTGCATAAATCCCTCAAAATAGTCAACACTGAGAATGATTAATGCAAAATATCCCTTGCAAGGTAAGAATAGCAGCAAACCTTGGGTTGATGTTTCTTCGCCCTTTTTGGCCTCTTCACCTTCAATACTAGGGCTCTCCCGTGACGAATTATCCTGTTGCTGTTTTTTTAATAGTTCCGGATCAATTTGTGCTTTGAGGAGTTCCAGAGTTTCAGCCAGCTCATTTCGGCTTCTGGATAAACAAAAAACAAAAAACCGCATCAAGCCCCATAACCTTGCCAGCCTTGTGTAATATCCCACACTTGTGCAAACCAGACTGCATGCATTCTGCTTTGCCAGCACCCACAGGAAAATGAAGAGTAAGTAAACGGTAAAGACTATGTCTGGAAAACCCCCACAACTACCCCTTCCCCCTAAGGAATTTCACAGACACCTATCACTGCTATAGGGAACCATTTGACTTTCGTACTCTCAGCAGTCAGTACACCAGTTCCCACCCTCCTCTCACACCTACCTGCATGCATAGCAGAACCAAGGAATAGCCACACATAGCAAGCCTGGAACAAAAGGAACATAGGCATACAAAAAGGAGCAATGGCCAGCACTCCAGCACATATTCACCACAGCCCATATTCAGGGCCAGATCTCCAGACCTGAGAATAGTCTGCTAGATCAGGCCAAAGGCCCACTTAGCTAGTCCAGCATCTTGTTCTCACAGTGGCTAACCAGATGCCTGTGGGAAACCAGGGAGCAGAACAAGAGCACAAGAGCCCTTCTCTCCTCTAGTAGTTTCCAGCAACTTGTATTAGCATTACTGCCTGTGGAAGTAGAGCGTAGCCATCTTGGCTGGCAGCCGTCAATTTCCTAAACCTTTTATTAAAGTCTCCCAAGTTGGTGGCTATCGCTGCCTCCTGGGGGAGCAGTTCCTTGGTTTGACATCGTGCTGCGTGAAGAAGTACTTTCTCTTATCTGTCCTAACGTTCATCTTCACTGGGTGCCCATGAGTTCCAATGTTATGAGAGAGCTCTAATGTTATGTTATGCCATGCCTAATTTTATAAACTTCTATAATGTTACATTAGGGACGCAGGTGGTGCTGTGGGTTAAACCACAGAGCCAAGGACTTGCTGATCAGGAGGTTGGCGGTTCGAATCCCCGCGACGGGGTGAGCTCCCGTTGCTGGGCCCCTGCTCCTGCCAACCTAGCAGGTCAAAAGCACATCAAAGTGCAAGTAGATAAATACCGTATTTTTCGCACCATAGGACGCACCGGACAATAGGACGCACTTTGTTTTAGAGGGGGGAGAACAAGAAAAAAAAATTTTCCCCTCTCTGCCCAGCGCCCCTTCAGTGAAGCAGCAGGAGGCGCTGCACAGAGAGGGGGAGAACTTTCCCCCTCTTGTTTTCCCGCTCTAAAACAAGGTGCCGTTTAAGGTGCGTTCAGGCGGCTGCCTTGGAAGCCTGGAGAGCGAGAGGGGTCGGTGTGCACTGACCCTCTCGCTCTCCAGGCTTCAGGTTCCTTCGACCTGCTCTTTGGGGCTGGCGGGGAAGCCCACCACCAGCCCCAAAGAGCAGGTCAGGGAGCAGCGGAAAGGCGCAGCGGAGAGGCTCCTGCCATAGCCGCGCGTCACCTCTCCAGCCGGGAGAGGGTCGCAGGGCTATGGCTTCTTTAGCCCCGCACGCGCTCTCCCGGCTGCAGAGGTGACACGGGGCTGTAGAGGCTCCTGCCATAGCCGCGCGTCACCTCTCCAGCCGGGAGAGGGTCGCGGGGGGGCTGCTTGAGCCCCGCGCGCGCACTCTTCCGGCTGGAGAGGTGACACGGGGCTGTAGAGATTCCTGCCATAGCCGCGCGTCACCTCTCCAGCCGGGAGAGGGTCGCGGGGCTATGGCATCTTCGCTCCATAGGACACACACACATTTCCCCTTCATTGTTGAAGGGGAAAAAGTGTGTCCTATAGAGCGAAAAATACGGTAGGTACCGCTCCAGCGGGAAGGTAAACGGCGTTTCCATGTGCTGCTCTGGTTCGCCAGAAGCGGCTTAGTAATGCTGGTCACATGACCCAGAAGCAGTACGCCGGCTCCCTCGGCCAATAAAGCGAGATGGGCGCTACAACCCCAGAGTCGGTCATGACTGGACCTAATGGTCAGGAGTCCCTTTACCTTTATAATGTTACATCTTACTCACCTCTTCTCCCCCCCATTTATTAATTAAAACAAGTCATAGCAATATATTTCAAACAGAATATTTAAAAAATCATACAACTCTGTCCGCTGCCAAAATGTTATAATATGATCATAATAAGCTGCAGCTTTTTCCTCTAAACTAAAAGTCCCAAGCACTGCAACTTTTCTTCATAGGGAAATTGCTCTAATCTCTTGGATCATTTTGGCGGCCCTTTTCTGTACCACCACTTTGTAAGCGTTTGGCTTTGTTTCAGGTGCAGCACTAAACCATCGCAAAGATGTACGTGTAGCTGTAAATATTTCTTTATGCACAGTGAGTTAGAGAGAACATTTAAAAAATCCTATCCAATAAATGAACCTGAGAGAGGCGTTTCTTCTAAAGTCTAAAGTCTGGAAAACCGAGGGTAAAAAGAACAATACCTGACAATGCACTTCCACGAAGACCCATCTTGATCATCTTGCTCTTCGACATACACCCTAACATTATGATCTTGATCCAGCTGGTACCAGTAGGTCAGCCCATCTTTGTCTCTGCCAATCGGCTGAAGGCGCATAGCATCTGCATCTTCCTCATTAATGATATTCTTAAATTTGAGATTGTCATCAAACTGGCACTCACAAAGGTACTAAAGAAAAAGGGGGGGGGAGAGAAAAAGAGCACATCAAACTAATGTTGGAAACACCAAAGGAACACTCTCTGCTGATGCACCAGCAAGAGACTAATTTGCAAAAACAGTACTTGAAGGGCTTGATTTAAGAAATTGTTGGGGAGGAGCCATAGCTCAGATGGCAGGGCCCTTGCTCTGTATTCAGAAGGACTCAGATTTAATCTCTAGCACTGCTATAAATGAGAGAGGGCTGAGAAAGGCTTGTACTTGAGACTTTGGAGACCTGCTACGAAGTAGGTACTGAAGCAAGCAGTCTTCAGTGGTTCCGCCTTACCATCTCTTTTTAAAAGGGACATTTTGAATCCCCCACTGCATTTTCTATAGGTCTGGAGTAGCGTATAAAGGTAGCTTTTTAAATGAATGACACTCACCCACCATGTAGCCATGGTTTGGAGTTAGGTCAACCCAGAAACAGTGCAGGAAATTGGAAAATGCAAGGGAATTGGGAAGGTGGAGGATGCATAAGCCCATGATAAACTCATGATGCTATAAATGGTGTTTGGAGGATTATCAGGTATCATCACAGGTATTCCAGAAAACTATCACATGAGTTGAAGACAATAGTACCTTCAATATTCCCAACTTGCATTCCATGCTCATTTCAAAGTATCCTTTTTTCTCCATTTCCCATGCCCAGGTGCTGTTGAATTCTTGACACATCTGAAAGGAAAATGGTTTAAATTAAGTACGAAGTGATCTCCCATCATGGCACCCATACTCAATGAAGTGTTACCTAAAGTTTCAGTTTTTGTAGGAATAAAACAGGAACTGGAAAAAGCAGAGGGATGTGGATCGCTGTTAAACTAACAATATGGGGACCTAGGATGGGTATTTAGTTATTTATTTATTTGACTTATAGTCTGCTTTTTAAGAACACGCACTACAAAGCAGTTCACAGCATATATAAAAATACAAATTCAAACACAAAAAAACACTTTAGAATCCATTCAGAAACAATACTAAAATCTAAACGCCAGTATAGAGATGAAACAGAAACAATAAAATTCAGCCGGATACAGACAGCAAGAGCCCTATTAATCAGAGGAAATAACAATCATAGAATCATAGTACTGTAAACTGGAAGGGACCCCAAGGCTCACCGAGTCCAACCCGCTGCAATGCCGGAATCACAACTAAAGAATCCCTGACAGATGGTCATCCAACCTGTGCTTAGTCCCATTTAAAGGATGTGATGGATGAGACCTGCCCAACCTTAGAAAGAACTGACTACCATAATTGCGGGGCCGCCACCAAGAAGACCCTATTAAAGGTTCCCACCTGCCTGCTAGGCTTTACCACCAGGCACTGGCAGGGGTGGGAACATAAACACGCTGTCCCAGAGACCAAATATGAAAAACTGGAAGACCCAGAAGTCTTTCATAACAATCATTTAAATGAATTGTATTACAGGGACGTTGATTTTTGTGTGCTCTGGAAATTCCTTAAAATTATTTCTGGATGGTAGTGATTACATCTGCGCACTATGTTGTTGTTTAGTCGTTTAGTCGTGTCCGACTCTTCGTGACCCCATGGACCAGAGCACCCCCTGTCTTCCACTGCCTCCCGCAGCTTGGTCAGACTCATGTTTATAGCTTCGAGAACACTGTCCAACCATCTCGTCCTCTGTCGTCCCCTTCTCCTTGTGCCCTCCATCTTTCCCAGCATCAGGGTCTTTTCCAGGGAGTCTTCTCTTCTCATGAGGTGGCCAAAGTCTTGGAGCCTCAGCTTCAGGATCTGTTCTTCTAGTGAGCACTCAGGGCTGATTTCCTTCAGAATGGATACGTTTGATCTTCTTGCAGTCCATGGGACTCTCAAGAGTCTCCTCCAGCACCATAATTCAAAAGCATCAATTCTTCGGAGTTCTGCCTTCTTTGTGGTCCAGCTCTCACTTCCATACATCACTACTGGGAAAACCATACCTTTTACTATACGGACCTTTGTTGGTAAGGTGATGTCTCTGCTTTTTAAGATGCTGTCTAGGTTTGCCATCGCCTTTCTCCCAAGGAGCAGGCGTCTTTTAATTTCGTGACTGCACACTATATCTAATATTAAACAATAGAAAACCCAAATTGGCACAGACCCCTCCTATTTCTGGCCATGGTATTGGGGATTCTCAACATCATATATCACCCAGCAGTAGAGTTTCAAAGCATCCAATGTAAGAACAACTTACCTTGATCAAGTATTTTTCCCAGCGATCTGCTGTGACGGATTTCCCGATCTTCCTCATCAGTTTCAGGTGAAGTTCTACCAGCTCTCTGGGAACTACAAACAAGAAGGGGAGGGAGTTTAAAAACAAATAAGCAACTAGGTTCTAAATGCTAGACGTAAGTGCAAATTCAAGAGAAAGACGAACTTTAAGTGTTAACTAATCCACAGAGAGCCAAAATATTAAAATAGGATGCTCACGCTCATACACACAGGAAAAACTGCATGGTCTGAACATCGTAATAGATCAAGGTGTAACAAAAGGCATACTATAATCCCAACAGTGGACTACCAACCAATTTCCTGTCAACCACCTTGCACCTGCAGGCTGACTAGGATTCTTACAAAGAATGTGAAACAAGGTGAGCTGTTGCACCAGCGCACTTCTTATCAAGGCGCTTGTTATATTCTTACTTGGAAAAGCTTAACAAAGATTACTTATGCCTTAACTTTTAAGAGGCAATCTTACTATTTCTCCATTTGCACTACTAGACCAGGTAGATTATAGAAAAAGAAGGCCGCGCAGGTTCTCATCTACCTTAGAATCTAGGTAGCTCAGCCTTCCAGCACTAAAATCAGACATGCTAAAATGTGATTTTACACCTTAGGTGGGGTTAATTAGTAAGGATTTATAAAAGAAATTAACATCTTTTCCTTTGTTCATAGAGTCTCTCTCTTTCTCTCAATTGACATATGAACCAGGAGCAAACTACAGCGGCACCTAGTGGCAGAACGGAGCAATACCCACGCAGGCAGATCTGAAAAGGTGCTGAGATGGACAGCCTGATAAAGACCTGGAAAAATATCACAGCTGCCCTATCCTTTGGAAAGTCAGCCTTGCACAGGAGCTATTTATCCCTCATGTTTTAATTTTCGAAAAACGGCATAAGCATTTTTATAACATTTTAGAACTGCTTTCAAACTAGAATGCTACACGCTTGTGTTCTCCCACCCTGGAGGGTAGGACTCGAGGCAATGGCTTCAAGTTACGACTAAACATTTGGTAAAACTTTCTGATAATAAGAGCTGTCTGGCAGTAGAACAGACTGCCACGAGAGGTGGTGGGCTCTCCTTCCTTGGAGGTTTTTAAGCAGAGGTTGGATGGCCATCTGTCATGGATGCTTGAGCTGGAATTCCTTCACTGCAGGGGGCTGGACTCCCTCGGGTCCCTTCCAGCTCTAAGATTCTATAATCTTAAAGAGGTTCACACATTGCTTCATGAAATTTGTGCTGGAGCAACCAAAATTCTTTGGGCTACTGCAATGCGCTCTATGTGGGGCTACCTTTGAAGGTGACACAGAAACTGCAATTAATCCAGAATGCGGCAGCTAGACTGGTGACTGGGAGCGGCCCCCAAGACCATATAATACTGGTCCTGAAAGATCTTTATTGGCTCCCAGTACGTTTCCGAGCACAATTCAGAGTGTTGGTGCTGACCTTTAAATCCCTAAACGGCCTGGGTCCTGTATACCTGAAGGAGCATCTCCACCCCCATCATCCAGCCCGGACACTGAGGTCCAGCCCCAAGGACCTTCTGGCGGTTCCCTCGCTGCGAGAAGTGAGGTTACAGGGAACCAGGCAGAGGGCCTTCTCGGTAGCGGTGCCTGCCCTGTGGAACGCCCTCTCAGCAGATGTCAAGGCAATAAACAACTATTTTACTTTTAAAAGACAACTGAAGGCGGCCCTGTTTAGGAAGGTTTTTAAGGTCTGACACTGTATTGTTTTTAATATTTTGTTGGAAGCCGCCCAGAGTGGCTGGGGAAACCCAGCCAGATGGGTGGGGTATAAATAAATTATTATTATTATTATTATTATTATTATTATTAGCTTGGAAGTCTTTGCTTAGAAAGTCAACCAAAGAACAGCCTGGAATGCTGCACACTAGTCAAAATACATTCTTTGCTGGTGTTTCAGTAAGCTAGTGGTTTAGTTGATCTTGTATTTACTTGTCAGAGAGGGTGGGAATGCAGGTAACAACAGCCAGTTAGACAATTGGGAGGAGGGAAGAAAGGGAGGCATTTGGGGGAAGTGGTCAAATAGCTGGCTTCAGAGAATAATAAGAGCAAGAAAAATGGGGGGGGGGCCAAATAGGTGAGGAAGGGGGAATATTGGGTCCACTATGTTTAGTGAGCCCTATTTAAGAGGATAATTGGAAGGAATTAAAAAGAAAGGAAACAAGACTAGAAGAGACAGCACAAGTGCCTGGCACAGATCCCAAAGAAGGAAAGCCAGGGAGGAGAAATGAGGGGTAAATAGCAACAAAGCAGCAGAGGCAACATTCAAAGCTTGCTCATCCATTATTATTATTTTTCCAAGGCACACCAACACTGAAGACAATGCAGAATGCAAAAGCCTCACTAGGGCAATGCCCACATCGGAAAGTAGTAAGAAAGTTACAGAATTTTCCAGAACTGTTCTTCAGGTGAGATGTTCAGCAAACAGAAAAGGGGGCAGGTGAGAAAATGGAGACTGGAATGAAAGTCCCAAAGTAAGCAATTTATCACAGTCTTAAAATGGAGAGAAGGAAGAATTAAGGGAGGCTCTGGTCCATGGGGTCACGAAGAGTCGGACACGACTAAACGACAACAACAATAGTCTGGTCTGCTAGGTGCAAAACAGATTTCAGGTTGCAACAAAACCAACTGGGACAAATAATCAGCAGTGGCTGTCCAGACAAGATAGAATCATTTTAAATATGCAATCTCAGTGGCCTTCTTATCCACAGTCAAAATAAGAAGCACAAGGCAGGCTCAAACACCCCTTCTGAACAAATTCTCTTTTCCTTTTTCAGTGTTCAACACACCAAGGTTGTCTTTATCTTCAATTTGCAACCAACTGGTGCTGGCAGAATTAATGCTGAAAACGGGGGGGGGGGGGGGATTTTATGCCGGTGAAAGAGAGCAAAGCAAAAGTAGGGAAACTTTTCGGCCCGGTGGGCTGGATCTTCATCTCCCCTCAACATCTGACAGGCCAATTGGACAAGCTGGCAAAGCAGGATTAAACACTCTGCTCACCAGCTGATGAGTGGAGGACTGAATTTTGGTCTACTTCATCGGTGCACCCCACATGGGAACACTGGTAAGGCAAATCCCAGCAGGACTGAACCTTCCCCTGCCCATCAACTGACATCACTCGGTGGCAGCAGCTGACTGACAATTGGGTGTGGTTTTGGAGAAATGGCCTTGTGGGCAAAATTGGACTACCCGGCAGGTGAAGACTTGTCTGCGGGCCAGAGGTCCCCTACCCCTAGAGTAAAGGGAGGAAACAAGTGTGCTCACCACAAACTCCTTCTCTCTTGTACGTAGTGAAGAGAGTGGGAAATGATAGCTCTTTAGCAGGCCCGAGTTTCTATATTTAAAATGACTTGAGAGCAACATACAATAGGTAACGTTCTCTGAAGTGTTACAGTCTGTTTTCCAAAGATGAAACTACTGGTAAAATCAGAGCACAGAAGAAGTGAAGTGGAATACTACAAATCAAAGAGTTGTCAAGTGCTGGTGATGGTTACAGGGAAGCCAAGCGGGCATCTGCTAAGAAAGTCAGAATTGTGCTGGCGCTTCAGAAGCAGGTGAATGGCATAACACAGTAAGCTCAGAACGCAAATATACGGCAAAATTTATTGCAAATATACACTCATCCAAATGAAACGAGGTAAGGTAGAATGATGTAATTCTCACCGATTACTATTGTAAACACACAACTCAATTCTATACTTCTGTGCTCTGCATAAGAAACATCAACTACATCTTGAATTTCACAGCCTTTTCAAACCACTGTTTACAATTGTTTATGGGTGTACATATGTGTGTTTCTTATGACTCTTGGTCATTTTGGTTGCCTTTCATGGCCTCTTTTCCAGTTCTAAAATATCCTACAACGGGTTATTGACCAAATCACTGAGGCTCTTAAAATTTCCCACAACCGTCTCAGTTTCCCCTAGACAGATGGAAAATATTTATTTGTTTTATTTAAATGTATTGTCATGCCACTTACCACTGCAAAAATTATCAGGTAGTTTACAAAACAGAAATAAAACATCAACACTGCTCATCTACAAATGAAAAGAAAGAAACCAAATGAAAAACAGCACAGCTGCACTAAAAAGGGCTTACATGGCTGGTATACATAAGGAGAAGGAACTTCCATGCTCCTTACAATTTGCTTCAGAATTACTTTCAGCCCATTCAGCCTGGCACCCACAAGTGGGTCATTTACAGAGTCATGTGCAAAATTGGATCACACTACAAATATCTTCATTCAGGAGGGAGAGTCGGCACTTAACTAACATTAATAGCAACTGGGAAGCTACTGGGAAAACACAAGAGAGACAGTGTTTGTTTGGTTGTGTTGTCTTCCAAAAAACATGATACTTTAGGTAGAGATTACATGTGAGTCCTTCCTTACAGCGTGCTGCCCCCATGCTGCAAATGGAGGACCTGCTGGGAGGCCGTACACATGCGATGCATGCAATCACAAGCTCAAACTCTGCACAGTATTACTTTTGCAAATTACCCACAGTCCCTCACTTTGTGCCTGATATTTTTCTATAAAGCCTGCACAGTGAATGAATATAGTTTTCTAGGAAATTTTAAACCCAAGACAAAATGATTGTTGGGGAACCCAAAATACTGCAAACCTTTTAACAGCCTGCTCAAAAATCTCCTTTGTCCACGGGGCTACCAAGGTACTAACTAAGAGGGATGGACAAATCTCTCAATGTTGGTTTCTCATTTTACCAATCTTAATTAAGTTTTAATTTACCCTATTCTGACATCTGTTCATACAGTTCATCTGTCCTCATGAAAATGTATCACCATTTTAGTGTGCATTTCCCTAATATACACAGTTTTAATCTCTAAGCAATTTACAATACATTTCCACACATAGATTCCCCTAACATACTGTATTTCACTGAGTAGTCATCAACATTGCTTAATAGCCGCACTCCCATTTTTTGACCCCTAAAATCGGTCCCAAAGCACTCATCACATAATATGAAAATGCAACAATTAACAATCCAATCTACTCTTTTCACCTTAGATATCACTGACTAATGAATCATCTGTGAGAGGTAAAGATTTTTAAATTTAACTTTTAAGAATTAAATTTATTTATTTATTTATTGAATTCCTATGCCGCCCCTTCATTCAAGGATCACAGGGTGGTTTACAATATAAAACCAGAAAAATGCATGACATAGTAACATCACTAAATCATCTACCTTCATTACAGCTGGAGTAAAAAAAAATCCTACTAAACATTATATGCTTCATTCTCTCCATGGTGTGCAAAAAATTATAAGGGGCTTCCCTAACTGAATTTGTGCCTGTTCAAATCCTCCACAAAATTTGAGGACCAGAAAAAGAACATTAGTCTGTGCTTTTTACCAGCATACTATTCTCCAAAAGGACTACACTTTGAGGTATGGAAAAGCAAATAATCCAACGAGACTTTGCCTGCAGCCTGAAGCAGCTCAGTGCAAGTCATCAGTTTACTACTACAGCAAGTTGAGCCAAACTCTACTTAACACAGAACTATAGAGCTAGAAGGAACCTTAGACGCTCCTCTGTATTCCTGCAGGATTCCCCCCGCCCCTCCTTTGCTAAAGGGCAAAGCAAAGAAAGATCAGCACCATGACCCAATGGGTAGTGGTTTCTTTCCTTTCCTCCTTGCAGCAGATGCCCCACCCACAACATCACAAAGAGTTGGCAAAGGCAAAAAAGTGAGGCTGCTGTTTGGAAGAGGGTGTGTATGTGTGTGTTAGAGAGAGAGAGAGAGAGAGAGAGAGAGAGAGAGAGAGAGAGAGACATGAATATCCAACCAGTTCAATCTGCACATCTTGGCTGAATTCCCCCAGCTTTCCACACTGTGAGTGCACCACACTAAAATACTAAACAAATGGAGACTGTGTTAGAAATTAGCCAGGCGCGTTTTGCTACTGGCGTAGGTCCAATTGCGACCACATGGAGATCTCTGGATGCCAGGTTGGCAATGGACATCTCCATCTGGCTGGCCCCTTAAGCTTCCTTAAGCAGGTCAGCAGAAGAGCTTATTTATTGCATTTATATCTCACATACATGCATTTATATCTCACATACATGGTTCTCCCTCCTCCTCAGTTAATCCCTATAATGATCCTGTTAAGAAGCTGTGACTGTTCCAAGGTCACCCAATGAGCTTCTTTACAGAGTGGGGATTTGAACCCTGTTCTCCCAGGTCCTAGTCCAACACTCTAACCACTACACCACACGGGCTTCCTAGAATGCTTCTGCTATGGGGCAGGTATATAAATTAAGTAGGTAAATAAATACTGGAAAAGCAAAATGTCACTTAAGAGAAGGATCTGAAATATTTTCCTTGGAGCTTGAATTTGTTTTATTCTGGATTGTTTTACAGTGGTACCTCGGGTTAAGTACTTAATTTGTTCTGGAGGTCCGTACTTAACCTGAAACTGTTCTTACAGCACCACTTTAGCTAATGGGGCCTCTTGCTGCCGCCACGCCGCCGGAACACGATTTCTGTTCTCAACCTGAAGCAAAGTTCTTAACCTGAAGCACTATTTCAGGGTTAGCGGAGTCTGTAACCTAAAGTGTATGTAACCTGAAGCGTATGTAACCCAAGGTACCACTGTATTTGATGTATCAATGTGCTTTAAACCCATGAGAGATTCCCCCCCCTTAAAATATAAAGCAGTATAGGAAGGAAATAATAATGATAATGATAATAAATTCCACCGCAAAAAGGTGCCTAGACATTGTTGTGGCGACTGTAACCCAGGTATAAGGAGTCATTTGGCGATTAGCTTATATATCTGAGTTTCTAACACTGAATGGAGAGACAGGCTGGCCATGCAGCAGGATGAAGCAATCTACTTCAGATGACACCACAAACAGGGGATAAAGTATCTGAATGGGGCTGCAAGGCTTTTTAAAGTGTTGGTCCTTGCTGCGAGGGGGAAAGACATCATTTATTCTTCACCTCAAGGAGCAAAATATATAGGGCTGATAGTGAATGAAGGTTACATTCTCCAGCTGAAAAGAGGTATTTGTGGAAACAGGTCTCCTAGTAGCAGCAACAGGAGGACCTTGGTTTGTTCAAATCAGAAAACGATACAGTAAGATTAAACAATTGTCAAATGATGTGAATCAAGAATACAATAGTAAAATACTAAAAATCCAGCTGAGCCTACAATATGGCCATTGTGAAAATTTCCACAGCATTCCACTACTAGCAACACAAATGTATCATTATTAAAATTGTGAGATGCCTTTACCAGCACTCAAGGTGCCAGATAGTAACAAATCTGAAGGAGTGTCTCTTCCCGTTCAAGCCCGTCCATGTCCTAAGATCTTCTGTCAAGGCCCGGGATCAAGTGTCTTCCACATTAGAAGAATCACATGTAAGAACGTTAAGAACAGCCTGCTAGATCAGGCCAATGGGCCCACCTAGTCCAGCTTTATTTTCACAGTGGCTGAACAGTTGCCTCTGGGAAACCAGCAAGCAGGATTTGAGCGCAAGAGCTACTCTCCTCTCCTGCAGCTTCCGGCAGCCCACTCCTCCATGAATTTGGCTAATACTCTTTTAAAGCTATCCAAGCTGGTGACCATCGCTGCCTTTGGTGGGAGCTAGTTCCATAGTACAGTGGTACCTCGGGTTAAGAACTTAATTTGTTCCAGAGGTCCGTTCTTAACCTGAAACTGTTCTTAACCTGAAGCACCACTTTAGCTAATGGGGCCTCCTGCTGCTGCCGCCACACCGCCACTGTGCGATTTCTGTTCTCATCCTGAAGCAAAGTTCCTAACTCGAGGTACTATTTCTAGGTTAGCAGAGTCTGTAACCTGAAGCACCTGTAACTTGAAGCGTCTGTAACCCAAGGTACCACTGTATAACTCTGCAGCTACAGAGGAGAGGGCTTTTTCAGAGGTGGGGCCCTGGCTTTGGCTTTGGAACATCCTCCCTGAAGCGTTGTGCCTAGACGCTGGGGTCAGCAAACTTTTTCAGCAGGGGGCCGGTCTGCTGTCCCTCAGACCTTGTGGTGGGCCGGACTATTTTTTTTTGGGGGGGGGGGGGAACGACGACGAATTCCTATGCCCCACAAATAACCCAGAGATGCATTTTAAATAAAAGCACACCTTCTACTCATGTAAAAACACCAGGCAGGCCCCACAAATAACCCAGAGATGCATTTTAAATAAAAGGACACATTCTACTCATGTAAAAACACGCTGATTCCCGGACTGTCCGCAGGTTGGATTTAGAAGGCGATTGGGCCGGATCCGGCCCCCGGGCCTTAGTTTGCCTACCCGTGGCCTACAGCCTATACACTCAACAACCAACACAGACAGACAGCACCAAGAACAAACAAACAGAACCACCCCTTTCAGGGGTCAGTATAAAAGAGTATAAAAGAGAAGCACTTCTGAGGCTATGTTCTGTGTGAGCTCCACTTCTATACAATCTGGGCACACCACCACGCAACAAGGCCTGATCTCACAGGCCTGATCACCTTTTGGGAGGGATGAAGGAATAGGTCTATACACACTGTAACAGATTACCAGTATTATCACAACACACACTTTCTATTCAGCAATGGATTGGGGCCCATAGGGTTTTGTTTCACAGCTTCAACTTTTGTATGTGAACGCTGAAAAATACAATGGAACTACATTCATCATTTATATTAATCTCAAAAACGTGAGTGTTTTCATATTTTTAGGTTTGCTTATTTATTATTTATTTATTAAAACGATTTAAAACAGGTTTTTGGTTACGAAAAGAAACGCCCCACAATTTTAAAAAAGCCATAACAATATCCTATCCAATGTAAACAATCAACAATAAAATCAAGAGTAAAATATCATCAAGTGACCAAGAAAAATCGGAACTAGAAGCAATGGTGTATTCAACTGCTGGTGCAAATACCCCATAGTTCATGTCCGAAGAAAGAACAATCCACATGGTTGGTGCCGCTAGAAAAGGTCACAGCACAATCAGGATTGCCTTATCCACAGACTGAAGAAACAAATATTAAATATTTACTACAGTCATACCTCAGGTTACGAACGCTGCAGGTTGCATGTTTTCGGGTTTTGGCGCTCGTGCATGTGCCAAAGCACAAAATGATGTCACGTGCATGCGCAGAATTGCGTCACATGCGTGCGAAGACACGGTGCTTCAGGCTGCGAACTCTGCAGGTTGCGAACATGCCTCCTGCAAAGATCACATTCGCAACCCGAGGTATGACTGTATTACGCACAGTTTGCAAACGAAATCACATAAGCAACAATTACAAGACTGTCACGGTACAAAAAATGCCACTTAGATACTTTTGCTTCTCAGAGCTTTAAAAAAAATACTTTTATTAATTTAAAATTATGTATATATCACTGTTTATAAAATATACTTAGCCTAGGCCTGCACAGTGTAAGGACTGCAGGTTAACTGTGGTCCAATCCCTGCCCATTTGCAATCATTTGGGTAAATTCCCAATAACCATTCTTGGTGGGAACAATTAAAGGCCAGTATGGCAAAATCATTTGCATGGCATGTCAGATGACGAATTAAAAGGCCTGAGTTCAATGCTCACTCAGTCATAAACTTCCCGGGGTGACAATGGGTCAGTTACCATTGTTTTGAACTACTTCACTGGATTGTTGTGAAGATAAAATGGGGGAGATTCACATATGCCCCAGGGCTCATAGGAGAGAGGGTGGGATAAGCAATTTAATAATATAAAAGTGAGTGTGTAACTGCAGCTTCTCTTTGGGTTTTGAGGCATATGGCAAAGTTGGCACCAGTTTTTCCAGTCTGCTTCAACTATCCATCCACTTAGCATGGACCACTTGCAGCAAATACTGTTTAGTGTGTGTGTAAACCTTGTATGCTGTTAGCAAAAACAGTGAAAAGTAGGCAGCCATGAAGAAAGGATAGCCAAAGTGGTGCACTTCAGGAGGTGTGCATGTGTTAATGGGCTAGAAAACAGAACATAGAAAGCTGTCCTATACAGAGACTGGTCCATCTAGCTCAGTATTGTCTATGCAGGCTGTCGCCAACCTAGCACCACCCAGATGTTCTGAACTACAACTCTCAACAGCCTCAGGCAACATGGCCAATGGTCAGGGATAATAGGAGCTGTGGTCAAAAACAGTATATTGGCTACCCCCGGCACAAAAGGAGTGCAGCGGCTAATAGATAATGTGTTTATCACCCTTGACTTAGTAAAAGCAAGGCGTATGCAGTGATTTGCATTCTGGATTCCTGGCTTAGCTAGTTCTTAAAACACAAAAGTTATTAAGAAGGGGGGGGGAGAGAGAACACCCACTAGATTTCTTCCTGCTCAGGGGAGCACATCAGAATTACCACAAGCAGTGGAACGAAAGGCTTGGGGAAATTGCAACACTTCCTCCATTGGTGAAGAGCTTAGAAAGCCATCCTACAGAATAATCAAGGCATTGGCAAACTCGGCCCTCCAGATGTTTTGGGACTACAACTCCCATCATCCCTGACCACTGGTCCTGTTAGCTAGGGATGGTGGGAATTGTAGTCCCAAAACATCTGGAGGGCCGAGTTTGGCCATGCCTGGAATAAATCCTACTACACAAGTGCAATAAATTTGACTATCAAGGAATTTTTTTAAAACAGAGAGAGAGAGAGAATGCCCTGTGACAACACCATAAAGACAAAGTATTACAGCATATGCTTTCATGAAGTAAAGTCCACTTCATCAGATGTGTATATACTGGCTACAATTGGTAGAGTTTTAGAAACACACAGCTGTCAAGAAACACTTGTCCAAAAGGCCTTATGCATATGTCCAAAAGTGCAATATGTATATCTTTGGCCTTTCAATATAAAACTCAAAATGTTTACATAGCAAGTCCAGTGGCCATTCACTACTGCAATAACTGGCAATCATTTTTAATACGTTCTCACACACTTCTGCTGTTTCCAGTGTGTTGTTATGTAGATCAGAGTTCTTCGATCTTGGACCCCAGATGTGGTTGGACTACAACTCCCATAATCCATCACCACTGGCAAAGTTGGCTATAGATGAGAAAGGTGCTTTTCAACTTATCCATAAATGATCTAGAACATGGGTAGGCAAACTAAGGCCTGGGGGCTGGATCTGGCCCAATCGCCTTCTAAATCCGGCCCGCAGATGGTCCAGTAGAATGTGTCCCTTTATTTAAAATGCATCTCTGGGTTATTTGTGGGGCCTGTTTGGTGTTTTTACATGAGTAGAAGGTGTGCTTTTATTTAAAAAGCATCTCTGGGTTATTTGTGGGGCATAGGAATTCATTCATTTCTCCCCCCCAAAATATTGTCCAGCCCCCCACAAGGCCTGAGGGACACTTGACCAGCCCTCTGCTGAAAAAGTTTGCTGACCCCTGATCTAGAGTTATGAGTGAGCAGTGAGGTACTGCTGACAATATTGTTCAGGGTTGTTAAAACAAAATGAGATTGTGGGGAGGTCCGAAGGGATATTTCCAAACTAAGTGAATGGGTGGTAAATGGTAAAAGAAATTCAGTGTAAACAAATATAAAGTGATGCATGGCTGTGGGGAAAAAGAAAAACAAAAACACCCACTCATAATTTCACAGATATGCTCATGGGGTCTGGACTGGTGGTGACAGACTAGAAAAGAGACCTTGGGGTCATAGGGTGTAGCTTGATGAGTATGTTGACGCAGTGTGCGACAGCTGTGAAATAAGACAAATTCCATGCCATGGCTCATTAGGAAAGGAATTGAAAATAAATCTGCTATTATAATAATGCTGTTTCACAAATCTATGGTGAAATCACAATGGGAATCCTCTCTACACTTCTGGTCACATCACCTCAAAAAAGTTATTGTAGGATTGGGAATGGTTCAGAAAAGGGCAGCCAAAATGATCACAGGGATGGAACAATTCTAAAAATCTATGAGGAAAGATTGGAGCATTGGGGGTTTTTTAGAGAAAAGGTAAGAGAAACTTATAAAGTTCTGCACGGCATGGAGAAAGGAGACAGAGAAAAGCTTTTCTCCCTCTGCCGTTACACTAGAACTTGTGAATATTCAAAGAAGCTGAATGTTAAAAGATTCAGAAGAGAGAAAATAAAGTACTTCTTTGTGCAGCGCATTGTTAGACTGTGGAACTTGCTCCCACAGAAGGCAATGATGGTCACTGGCTTGGATGGCTTTAAAAGAGGATTAGACAAATTCATGGAGGAGATGGCTATCAGTGGCAACTAGGCATGGAGGCTGTGCTCTACCTCCACAATTGGAGGCAGCAATGCTTCTGAATGCCAATTGCTGGAAACCACAGGAGGGGAGAGTTGCACTTGCTGGTTCCACACAGGCATCTCATTGTGAGAACAGGATGCTGGACTAGATGGGCCATTGACCTGATCCAGCAGGGCTCTTCTTATGATGAGAGTTGTAGTCCAACCACATCTGGAGACTCAACACTGAAGCACATCCATCCTTTGTAAAACATATCTACCTCAGAGGTAAGGAATCATGCGCACCCCTTCCAGATGTTTCTGGTGAATCATTTTTGCTTACTACTGGCCAAGACTGATGGGGATGAAGGAAACTGGAGTCCAACATTTGAAGGACCAGTTTCACTATTCCTGATCTATAGAAGCAACCTGCTTTTCATTACAGAATAATCAATCCATTTCTAATTCCGTAAAGGGCAATAAACTAGACTAAACTGCATACTTTCAGATTAGATAGGCTGAAATCTCTAAATGAAAGCTCCGAGTGGACATCTACTTAAGAGTTCATTGTTAAAATGAGATTTGAACTGGAAAGCACCTAGGTCCCATTCTAGAACGTAATCCCTTCCAGCACCCTAACCCTTCACTAAATGAAGATCCCACTATGCTTCTTGAAAGATATTCCACTTCAGATTTTGGCGCACCACTGGAAGACAGAATATAGATAGCACTTCTACTCCCGAAAGTAAAACTGAGTTCAGTTTAACATGCTAATACAACCACAAAATTTTATAGCCTTATTCTTTTTTAGAATTTTTTGTATAAAGGAATGAATAAATGACATGATATTGTCACAAAAATGCCTGCAAGAAGGTTATATATAGTCCCATCAGCATTTAGATGAACTCAGTCCAACATATTCCCATAGGACTTTTTTAGAAGTGTGCATAAGGCTGCAGCCTGAGTGACAAGTTAATATTTCTTTATATAACTGCAATGACTTCCTCCAAAGAGTCCTGGGAACTGTAGTTTGGTGAGGTACTCATAGTTCTGTATTACACATGTCTGTCTACTCTAGCCTCTCTCACAAAACTACAATTTGCAGAATTCTCTAGAGGAAGGAGTGGACTATTAAATCAATGAAAGTCTGTACTGTAAATACATCATTAGCATACCGGAGAAAAATCACTTGTGTCCACTTGGACAGAGACAGCAGGGTAACATAGTCATTTGTTCCTGACACCTGACAAAAATGTTTCAAAGCAAAATGGAATAAACAATACTTTTAACTCCACAACAAAGTGCAAATGGAAGAAGAGAAAGAAAATAGGACCCTTTCCAAAATAAAGGTTCAGGTAAACAGCAAAGATGCTATACAATTAACACAAAACTGCATGTACAATTTTCAAAAAAATCAGCTACTAAATAGAAATCTAATGGACAACACATACACAGCCCATCATGTAAACCCATTTTGTGTTCACTGTTTAAACTAACATTTTAAAAATATACATAACCACATAAGAAAATACTAGTAATGAAGACTATAGAAGCAATGAAAAGCTATTTACACTGCTACTGGAAATTAGATCTGTGTGCCAGACAACTTATTCAGGGGGGAAAAAGAGCTGCTTTAAGATTTGAATTGTTTTGATTACCCATTCCAAAAGCACTATCGACAAAGAAACTGGCCACTAAGAATTTTCAATCTTGCAGAACATATCTGCAAAATCTTGGCTGAGAATAGCAGTGCCCTGCAAATCAGCCTATAAACAAGTCCACAAACTTACTAGCCAGCAAGACTTTTTAGTAGACCACTGAAGGCTGGCTGATAAAGGGTGGAGCTGATGGCAAAGAAATCAGGAAGAAATATTGAGGACAGGAAATGGAGTGGGGGGGAGCCACAGTTCCCCACATGCCACATCCAGTATCTCTCTGAAAACACCTCTCCGTTTGAAAGACTTGCCCCTTCCTGTATTGGTCATTTTTCTCTCTCACTTAACACACAATAAGTTCTCCTGGGCAGCTTCACCCGTAGTGATGTGTGACTTCCATTTCAGGACTAGTTTGTCCCTAGGCTTGTCACTATCAAGCTATTCAGAGGTTATTCTGCAAATTATCTAGGGTCAGCACAGAACATGCAAGGCTCCCTTTAAGATCAGACAACACACTTCCCAGATCCAAAGGAAAATTGGCCTTTATTCTCTTTTCCCAAACCAAACGAACCCTATCCCACATCACTCATGCACACACATAGTATCACTACTACTACCACTACTATGTATACCGCCCTTCACCTGCAGATCTCTGGGCAACATAAAAATACGAGATAAAAAAGGTAACAAAAACAAGATTAAATCCAATAACGCCCCCCTCTTTTTCATTTCCTCACCGTCCCACCCCCTTCCATCCCACCCAGCCCCCTCTCCTCCATCCCGCCCCACATTCCCTCTGCATGAATCTTAACTGCAAGCCCCTCGCGGGCAGAGACCTCCCTTTCTTTCTTTCTTTCTTTTTTTTTTGCTTCTGCTTATGCACGGCGCTGCACAAACGACTCTCGCGCGAGGTGAGGAAAGAGAAGGGGCAGGAATAAGAAGGGCGGCCGCCGCCCCCCGCAAACACACACATGACGCAAAACCTGGGAACTGGGGTGGGGGGGCCGTATCCCTCCTACCCCCCTTCCCCTCCAAATAACATCCCAAATTGGGGGAGGAGGAGAGGGAGATTCCCATTGCGAGTGGGAGGGGCCTGATTAGGAATAGGAGGGGGGGTTAATGGAGAAGAGAGATGCCGCCTCTCCCCCCCAAGATAGGGGGCCGCCCCCTCCCTAAGGAAAGGGAGAAGCCTCCCCCTGTTGTGGGGATGGACGGGGTCGGGCCCTGCTTTGTGGTGGAAGGGGAGGGGGCGGAAAATAAAGGCCTCCCGGGGCAGTTTGTTGAGGGGGGGGGACAGGGACCCGAAGCCCCGCCCCCACCGAGGTTCCCTGCGAGCGCTCCCCCCCCCCCCCGCGGCGCGGCCCTGAGGAGAAAGGGGAGGCCCTCACCCTGCTCGCCGGGCTCCTGCGGCGCCTGCAGGACCCGCTCCAGCTCCGGGAAGGGCAGCTCGGGCAAGTCGAGGAGGGCTCCGTATCTCTCCAGGAAGGAGCACACGACGGCGAAGTTGGGCCACGAGCCGGGGCAGGACGGGCCCTCCGTCGGCGCGGCGGCAGGGGGAGGAGGAGGCGGAGGAGGAGGGGATGGGGGAGCCGCCGCCGCCGCCGCCGCCATCTTGGAACCTGAGAGGATGGATGGAGAAGGAGAAGGGAGGGGGGACAGAGAGAGGGGAGGAGCGAAGGAGGCCGGCAGGGGGCACTGCGGGCGGAGCGCGCCATCCCGGCATGCGCCGCGCGGAGGAGACGAGACGGTGCGCTCCAAGAGAAGGAGGACGCTGGGGGAAAGAGCGGCCCGGGCCCCTTCTAGGAAACCCCGCGCTTGTTGTTTTCCCTGTGGCTGAGGGAACGCAGGAACCAAAACGAGGCTGCGGAGGGGGCGGGCTGCCGGGGTTGGAGAAGGAGGGCGGGCGACAGAGGAGCGGGGGCGGGGATAGAACGCCGCCCCGGCCAATCGCGGCGGAGGCTTGGGAAAGGTGTGTGGCGGCCATAATAATAATAAAAGGAGGGGGGGGGGGAGGAAAGCGGCTGCAGCGCCTCAGAAAAGGGGGGCGTGGCCGAAGGGGAGAAGTGGGCGTGAGGAAGCTTTTCAGTGGCCGTGTCTGTATAGCGGCTGCGTCCAATGACGGGCAGCAAGGGACGCGTCACGCCAGGGTAAGGCGGGGAGGGGAGGAAAGGCAGGTTGTTGGTCAGCGCAGGTAAGGTTTGGAGGGGAGCGGACTGGACCACTGTGTGCGGGGGGTGGGGGGTGAAATTACCGCTGGCGCTGCAGTGAGAGTGGTTCTGCGGGAGGATAAATGGGACGGCTCATTTCCATGCACCCCTGTGGTGTTCGGAGGGAGGATTTAATGGGATATTTACCTGAGATCTCGCGGGGGGCGGGGCGTGGAGAAACCTCTCGATTCATAACTTCGCTTAATTCTTTGTAAAGTGCTTTGTGGCACCTCAGAGACAAACATGAATAAGACTTAGAGAGTTAGTCTATAGTGCTGCTATTATTATTATTATTATTTTCTTGAATTTTTCTGCGAGTTTTTCTTGATTTTGTCTGTTTTCTCTTTTGTAAACCACTCTGAAGTGGTTTTTTTTTAAAGGCGGCGTATACATTTTGTGAATGAACAAATAAATATTTGTTTAAATTTAAATCTAGATAAATAAATATTTATACACTGCCTTTCCCCGCCCCCCCCCCCACAACAGGGAACCAAAGCAGCTTAGAGAAAAATAAGAAATGCTACAAATGTAGGCAAAAAACAATCTTAACATTGATAGGACTAGTGATGTTAAATTCTCGACGATATTCTCAGTTAATGAGGTGTGTACATTTAAAGCTGCTGTGTAGACGACACAGAATTTACAGTTTGTGGAGAATATTCTCAAGATAGGACTAAAACCATAAATACACATAAAACCTATCAAAACCATTCAAACAGTCACAGCAAAAACAGCATGGCACAAGCCCTTTCTTTAAAAGCATTCAGTTTCCCAAAGCCTTTTGGGACAAGAGATTCTCCACCTGCCAGCAGAAGTATAGCAAGGAGGGAGCCAGTCTTATCATCTCTTAAGGAAGAAGCTCCAAAGTCTGGGAGCAGCCACAGAGAAGGCCCTTTCCCCCCTCCACAACTGCTGAAACCCATCTTTCTTTTATACATGGAAAAGAAAATGGCAAAGAGGCTTGCATCACTAACAAACTTCAAAATGAAATACAGATTATCTGAAGAAGTGTGCATGCACACGAAAGCTCATACCAATAACAAACTTAGTTGGTCTCTAAGGTGCTACTGGAAGGATTTTTTTTATTTTGTTTCGACTATGGCAGACCAACACAGCTACCTACCTGTAACAAACTTCAAGCTACACTTCAGGAAATAGATAACCATGGAGTAAGTCTTGCTGAACTTCTGAGTAAACACATTCAGGGTTACGCTATGTGTCTTCATGGTAAGCTTTGTGGCACCTCTTAAAGGTTAACACATTTTATTGTGGGGTATAAGCTTTCACCGGCCAGAGTCCACTTCAATAGAAGTGTTATCCTCGATAGGTGCATATATGTAAACTGCACTCTGTGCATCCGAAGCTTCTACCACCATAATGGTTAATCTGTAAAAGCTTTTCAAATCTCAGCGGCCCATAGAACTGAACTACCTGAAAAAAGGTGAGCTTTCATTCATTTAATTTTAAAACTCTAATTTGAGTCTGGCAATTTTATCTGTTTAAATATAATAATAATAATTTATTATTTCTACCCCGCCCATCTGGCTGGGTTTCCCCAGCCACTGGGTGGCTTCCAACAGAAGGTAAAAAGACATTAAAGCATTAGTCATTAAAAACTTTCTTAAACAGGGCTTCCTTCCCTAAACCTCGCAGAAACCTCAGTTGGTCCAAAATGCAGCAATCAGATCACTGGCTGGGGTTCCGTTTGGATCTTATGTAACCTCAGTTTTAAAACAGCTATACTGGTTGCTAATTCATTTCCGGGCCCAATTTAAGGTGCTCAGGTTTGTGTTTAAAGCCCCAAATGACTCAAGCCCTAAATCATTAAAAGGCCACCTCCTTCCCTACAGTCCCTCATGGGTGCTAAAAGCGGCAGAGGGGTCCCTCTTGGTAGTCCCTCTACCCTCGGAGGCATTGGGGGATAGTGCTCTGGGTGAGGGCCTTCTCTGTGGTGGCCCCTAAGCTGTGGAACTCCCCATTGAGGTGTGTCTGGCACCCTCATAATGCAGCTTCCAGCGAATGCTGAGATGCACCTCCTTACCCTGTTTTTTGACACTTGAGGTGTATATTTTTAAGACCCGCCTTATTCTACGGGTTATAGGGCGGCATATAAATTTAATAAATAAATAAAATATAAAATAAATTCTTATGATTGTAAGTTATTTAACCCAACCTGGAACCTTAGGGTGAAGGATGGGTAATTATTGATAATAATAATAGGGATATTGGCGTTCTTATATTCATATTTTGTGCACCAATTGTACTACGAAATGTGTATGTTCTAATTGCATTTGGTGGTTTTATCCGTGTAGTTGTGTTTATGCATGTTTCAGGGGTGCCATCTCGCCCTCAGGGTTATGGGTGCCTGCTGCCACAATGCAGACATGCAACATCACACACACACGCCTACACGTAGAGAGACTGCCTCTGCATGTGAACCACACACCCCAGAAAAGGGTGCTTCGCTGGCTGGCTGCAGAGGGTGGAACTGAATTGCTTCTCTCTCAGAGGCAGTGCTGTTGCCGCCTGTCGGCTTTTCTTATTGACTCTGTGGGTGCCTGGCCCCCACAATTACCGTATTTTTTTGCTCTATAAGACTCACTTTTTCCCCCCTAAAAAGTAAGGGGAAATGTGTGTGCGTCTTATGGAGCGAATGCAGGCTGCGCAGCTATCACAGAAGCCAGAACAGCAAGAGGGATCGCTGCTTTCCCTGCACAGTGATCCCTCTTGCTGTTCTGGCTTCTGAGATTCAAATTTTTTTTTTCTTGTTTTCCTCTTCCAAAAACTAGGTGCGTCTTGTGGTCTGGTGCGTCTTATAGAGCAAAAAATACGGTATGTTATTTTGGGTGAACAAGCATCCGCAGACCCCTGGAGTTGGCTCATATGGCATGTTTGTGTATGATACTCAAGTTGCAAAGGCCCAGGTCTGATGTAAATAAATATCTATCTAGAACTGGTCCTTAAGAAAGGCCCCTTCAGTCTGTTTGATTAAAAGGAGGGTAGAATGCTCTTGCACTGCTTCTGATACTCTGTGCAAAGGGCGCGCAGCAGTGATGCCAAAGGTGTGGACTATTTGCCAGCCTTACTTATTTTAATTTATATCCTATCTCTTGGTTATGGACATGGTTTTCCCGTTCTCAGTCTACAGGAAGTGACAGTTTGTTACTTTGTGAGTGACCTGCAATGAACCTTGGGCGGGTGGCGCTGTGGGTTAAACCACAGAGCCTAGGGCTTGCCGATCAGAAGGTCGGCGGTTTGAATCCCCGCGGCGGGGTGAGCTCCCATTGCTCGGTTCCTGCTCCTGCCAACCTAGCAGTTCAAAAGCACGTAAAAGTGCAAGTAGATAAATAGGTAGCGCTCTGGTGGGAAGGTAAACGGTGTTTCCGTGCGCTGCTCTGGTTCGCCAGAAGCGGCTTAGTCATGCTGGCCACCTGACCTGGAAGCTGTACACCGGCTCCCTCGGCCAGTAAAGCGAGATGAGCGCCGCAACCCCAGAGTCCGCCACGACTGGATCTAACGGTCAGGGGTCCCTTTACCTTTATTCTCCTTCTCTTCTTTCGCACATTGGATGTGAGAGACCAGAAATACCCTATTCTGGTTTTAATCAAATCACAGTTGCCCATGACAAGGCAGCTCAGCCCAGCGGTTCCATGGACCAAAGCATTGGTTGGATCCCCTAATCGCTTCCAGCGGTTTGAGACCCACGGGCGCTGCCTGACTTTTTAAAAAAAAACACACACAATAATTGCCCATGACACCCAAACACAGGAAACTTTGCTTTGTATAAAGCTGATTTGGTTAGAACAAATCACATTTGATTGGTGCTTTCAGGTCTTGGTTTGTAAACAACCCAGAGTTTCCTGAGTTTGGATGTCACAGGAAACTGTGGTTAGTTTGACCTCGCAAGCAGAAACCTTCAATCTCTTCCTTGCTGCTGTGCAATGGGGAACACATGATCCTAGGCTTGAAACGACTTGTTCACAGAGCAGGAAACTACTACACTAAACCACAACAGAATGTTAAAACAGCAGCTAAAAACCCTGCGTGAATTTAAAAGTCTTTACCTGGCTCCAGAAAGGTGATAAAGAGTGAACCAACGGAGCTGGAACCCAAAAGCTCCCTTCTTCATAGCAGCACTCTTCATTACACAGGAGCAACATTTGAAACAGTTCCTCCAAGGAGGATCTTAAGGTTCAGGTAGACATAAGCAGAAAGAGGAACCATTTCAGATAACTTGGTCCTTAGCCGTTTAAGGCCTTCCAGGGTGAATAGGAAGCCTTCAGCAATGAGGGCTGCATTTCTTTCTGAGCAGCCTTGCAGAGGCTAAAGTGAGGTTAAAGTGGGTGGCGCAATGAATGTAAATTTTGCTTTGCTTCTGAAATGGATAGTTGAGAAGCAGGCCTTTCAACTGGGTCAAGAAATGGACTTCTAATACTCTTCCACTCCTAGTTTGAACCAGCAGCAGTTTCTGGACCTTTTCCAATACTAAACCATAGTTTCCAGTTGCACCTCTACTAAAAAAGTGTGCTGCCTTTGTTTTAAATTAAAGCTTAGCTGTTATCCGCGCTCTTTTGCCACCAAACATGTGTATTTTTTTAAAAATGATTGTTACATACTGCTTTTGTGTCCACAGGATTAAGCATGCCGTACACCCTAAAGGGGGCACTGATGGTTCTTGCTCATTAATTTGGCAGCATGGGGGGAAGAGAGAGCGAAAATACACTTTTCTCATGCTGGGTGGGCAGACAATCTTTGATGCGTCCAGACCCTTAGCGCTGATTCTTCTTGGCTTGGCATTTTGAAGCAGCGTGTTGGAGTCTTCTCTTGGCGATAAGGCGGGGAGCGAGGTTAAAAGGTTAGCCTTGCGTTATTTGATCCTTTGTGCCCCTGTCAGCAGGCATTCCTGCTGGGGGGGGGGAAATATCTGTTAATCCAAGACTTCACTCATATATGAAGGAAGAGAGGGAGGTGAGTTGTTGTTTTTTTAACGGCGGCAGTGATCTCCTTGCAAAGGATTTATCGGGAGAAAAACCTGAACAATTTAAAGAACCGTAGGGGTGTGTAGTAAGACGAATCTTGGATTGAGACTCTGGATTTAGCTAAAGCAAGAGCACTGAGCTGCTTTGAGCAGTGGGGTTTGGCTGCTTTTCCTGTCGCTTGGCATGGAATAGAAATCGCTTTTATTTATGTGAGCATTGCGGAAGAGCAAGTAGCGATGCTTCGAGCAAATACTAACATTCAGCGGAAGTCGGTTCCAGAGATATTGGCAAGGTCCTACACATACAGTTATGCCGCGCTTGGAAGAGTTGGGCCCCATCTGCGCTTAAAGCAGTATCGTACCACTTTAAAAGTAATGGCTTCCCCTCAAAGAATCCTGGGAACTGTACTTTGTTAAGGATGCTGAGAGTTCCAAGGTGACCCCTATTCCCCTCACAGGGCTACAGTTCCCCAAGTGGTTTAACAATCAATCTGTTTTCCCAAACTACTCTGGAAATTGTAGCTCTTGTTGTTGTTTAGTCGTTTAGTCGTGTCCGACTCTTTGTGACCCCCTGGACCAGAGCACGCCAGGCACTCCTGTCTTCCACTGCCTCCCGCAGTTTGGTCAAACTCATGCTGGTAGCTTCGAGAACACTGTCCAACCATCTCATCCTCTGTCGTCCCCTTCTCCTTGTGCCCTCAGTCTTTCTCAGCATCAGGGTCTTTTCCAGGGAGTCTTCTCTTCTCATGAGGTGGCCAAAGTATTGGAGCCTCAGCTCCAGGATCTGTCCTTCCAGTGAGCACTCAGGGTTTATTTCCTTCAGAATGTAGAGGTTTGATCTTGCAGTCCATGGGACTCTCAAGAGTCTCCTCCAGCACCATAATTCAAAAGCATCAATTCTTCGGCGATCAGCCTTCTTTATGGTCCAGCTCTCACTTCCATACATCACTACTGGGAAAACCATAGCTTTAACTATACGGACCTTTGTTGGCAAGGTGATGTCTCTTAGCACCCTTTAAAGGTAAAGGGACCCCTGGCCATTAAGTCCAGTTGCGGACGACTCTGGGGTTGCGGCGCTCATCTCGCTTTACTGGCCGCTGGAGCCAGCGTTTGTCCCCAAACAGCTTCCGGGTCATGTGGCCAGCAGGACTAAGCCACTTCTGGTGAACCAGAGCAGCGCACGGAAACGCCGTTTACCTTCCCGCCGGAATGGTACCTATTTATCTACTTGCACTCTGACGTGCTTTCGAAATGCTAGGTTGGCAGGAGCTGGGACAGACCAACGGGAGCTCAACCCGTCGCGGGGATTCGAACCACCAACCTTCTGATCGGCAAGCCATAGGCTCAGTGGTTTAGACCACAGTGCCACCCGCTTCCCCTTAGCACACCACATCTCTCAAAATTCTTTGGGGAAAGCCATGACTATTTAAGGTTGTAGGATACTTATTGGTCAGACTTGGAGGAACAAAACGAAGGGAGATCAGAGGCCTGCAACCCCAAGACAGGGGTGTGTGAGAGAGAAACAGAAAATTCCAATATGTGAGATTCTTCTTTCTTTAGCGATCACTCTTAGCCGAGTAAGATTGCCTTCCGTGAACATAGTCTAAACAGTGTCTCCGTAGGTGACTGTGGAGGCCAATTCTGGAGCCACACGTCCTTCCACAGTGGGGACACAGGTTTCTGGGCAGGAGTTGATCACGGTGAGGGTTTGCCAAACGTGCCTTCCTCTTGGCACATTTCTCCTTTTCAGCCTGACTTTGAGCATCTTCAAAGCCCATGGCACCTTTGGCAAAGGCTGTTCACCAATTGGAGCACTCGCAGGCCAGTGTTTCCCAGCTCACTGGCAGAAGAAGAGGAGGCTGCGTCCCCAGCAGTGCGATCCCGGTGGGGTGCCATCGCGGCTGCCCCACCCACCCACACTGGGTGCCACGCCCCCACAGGTGTTGCACCACACCCCCAGGACGCGCGCCAGCCACACCCACGCCTGCTCTCTGCCTCCGCCCCCCCCCCCCCGGTGCCGGAGCATGAAGCCCCGCCACTGTCCCAGCTATCGGTGTTTATGCTACATTTTTTTAGGTTTGCCTTGAGAGCGTCTTTAAACCTCTTTTGTTGTCCACCAGTATTACGCTTTCCATTCTTAAGTTGGGAATAGAGTAGTTGCTTTGGAAGGCGATCATCGGGCATCCGAACAACATGACCAAGTCAATGAAGTTGATTCTGAAGAATCATTGCTTCGACACTCAACGTCTCCCTTCTGCCACTCATTACTCTTGCAGATACTTCTGTCCTTTGCATAGGATGCTAGTTTCTGTACACACACTCCTGGCAAGTGAGAAGCCTCATCAAAGTTTGAGGACACAGTCCAACCAGGCAAAAACACTCTTCTGGAGGGGAAACGGAGCTATGTGGCTTAAGGAGAGCTACCAAGTTCAGAGAGAGAGAACTGGCGAGGCTGCATTTTGTCCTTGAGCCAGAGGCTTCCCATCCCAGCTTTAGCGTAATAAGAAGAACACCCACGTCTTCACAGGTGTGGATTGATTAGACCAGGCACGTCCAACAGTAGATCATGATCTATCAGTAGATCATTGGACGCCTGTGGTAGATCACTGATAGATCACGGGCTCCCCCCAAAGAAGCTCAACATTTACAGCCTGCACCCTCAAAAAACGGGGCTTTCCTCTTCCCTAAAAAAAGCTTAATGGCAAGAGCAGTTAGACAATGGAATATAGAGGGTACATAGGAAGTGGAGGGATACGAGATTAGACAATTGGTTCAACCATATCATAGGGACACGGGTGGCACAGTGGTCTAAACCACTGAGCCTTGTGGGCTTGCCGATCGGAAGGTTGAGGGTTCGAATCCCTGCAGCGGGGTGAGGTCCTGTTGCTCTGTCCCAGCTCCTGCCAACCTAGCAGTTCAAAAGCACAACAGCGCAAGTAGATAAATAGGTACTGCTGTGGCAGGAAGGTAAACAGCATTTCCATGCACTCTGGTTTCCGTCAACGGTGTTCCATTGCGCCAGAAGCAATTTAGTCCTGCTGGCCACACAACCCAGAAAGCTGTCTGTAGACAAACGCCGGTTCCCTCAGCCTGAAAGCAAGATGAGCGCCGCACCCCATAGTCACCTTTGACTGGACATAACCATCCAGGGGTCCTTTACCTTTTACCTTTTACCCCAGTGCTTTTTTTCTGGGGGGGACGCTTACCCCTAAACATTTTGTGGATCTAAGATCTACTGTTAGATCCCCGGGAGGTTTTGGTAGATCGTGGTTGATCGCTGGGTCCCTTTCCATTATTGAATTAGAATCCTGTCCCGCCCCCATGGCCCACCCTCCACGATCTGCAGAATGGAAGGCGGAGTATACTGATCTGTTGGTGAGTGCCTGTTCCCCTTCTTCCCTAAAAAAAAGATCAACAACTTTGCCTTTAACTCACAAAAAACGGGGCTTTCCTCCTTCCTAAAACAAGCTCAACAACTTTGACCTGAACCCCCCAAAAGGGGGTCGACCACTGCCAGTTTATAACACTGTGTGTAAATCGCAGTCTCTTGGTAGTTGGCCACTCCTGGATTAGACTATATCCCATAATGATTTTGGGGTGAAACCCTTTACCCGAAAATAGGGATCCTCCAATAGGGAATGGCTCCCTCGCTCAGACACCCTCAGAAGAGTCTCCTACCTTTTCTTGATGGTTTTTAAAACCACAGTTAGGTTGGGAAGTGATCCGTAATGAATTGAAAAAAAATGTTAAAGTGCTTTCTCCCTCTCAAAACAGAGTCCTTTCTGATCGGGGATAATTCAGACGGAAATTCCCAGGTGTCGAAAAAGGTTATTTATGTATGCTGCTACTGCAGCCCGTGTTTTGTTAGCCCCAAAATGGAAAACTAACGAGGTCCCAGCCAAAGAAGGATGGCAGCTGAAGTTGACAGAATATGCCCAACTCGCAGACTTAACATGCAGAATAAGAGAACAAGAAGAACATACGTGCAGAGAAGATTGGGAAACGTTTATTGAATATATGGGAAATAATTGTGTACAGCTGAAAACCCTGGCAGCATTAAGATAAATTCAACGGTGTAAATACGTTTTGATGGATGCAATAATGGAATACTGAATGGTATAGTTTTTGTAAAATATGCAGGGATTTGTGATATGTAAAATGAACCATGGAACGAGAAGGGAAGATATCCTTAAGATATCTATATCTTAAGTATGCAAAATGAATACTTTAAATTGTAAAGCAGAAATACACACACACACACACACACACACACACAGTGGTACCTCGAGTTAAGTACTTAATTCGTTCCGGAGGTCCGTACTTAACCTGAACCTGTTCTTAACCTGAAGCGCCACTTTAGCTAATGGGACCTCCCGCTGCCGCTGCACTGCCACTGCAAGATTTCCGTTCTCATCCTGAAACAAAGTTCTTAACCTGAAGCACTATTTCTGGGTTAGCGGAGTCTGTAACCTGAAGCGTATGTAACCCGAGGTACCACTGCGTATTTATATACAGTACACACACACACATACCTAAAACCACTGTTAGAGCACTAGGCTGTTCTCATGTTCACTCTCTTATCTTTCAGACAGTCAAAATCCATCTGAAGATGTCCTCTCCTGAAATCGCTTCTCTCTCTTGGGGCCGGATGACTGTCAAAGGCTGTTCCACGACTTACAAGGACTGTAAAGTCTGGCCTGGGGGCAGTCGGACTTGGGACTGGAGAGAGACGGGAACTGACGTACGTGCCTTTGCTCACCCTCTTCTTAGTTATCTGGGGGCCACTTGAGTATTGTAGACTTGGGATGCAGCTACACAGCTATAAAAAACGCTCTGAAAACGCTCTGAAAAAACCCTGTTTTCATAGAGTTCCAATTTCAGCTCTACAGCACCATCTGGTGTCGCAGTGTTGTGACACGTTTATAACGCTTTATTTTTGCTAATGTAGCCAAGTCTTTGGAAGAGGTTCAGAAAAGGGCAGCCAAAGCGATCGAAGCGGGTGGAGTGACTCCCTACTGAGAAAAGGTTGAGGCATTTGGGGCTTTGAGTTTAGAGAAAAGGCAGGTATTTGTCGACCTGGCTGGAATTTATGAAATTGCAACATGGCATGGAGAAAGTGGGAAGAGAAGGTTTTTCCCCTCTTTGTGCTAGAAATTGTGAATATCCAATGAAGCTGAATGTTGGAAGATTCAGGATAGAGAAAAAAAATTCTTCTTTGTGCAGCACCTTGTTAGACTGCGGAACTCTCTTCCACAGGAGGCAGCGGTGGTCACAAACTTGGATGGTTTTAAAAGGGGACTGGACAGATTCATGGCTTTCAGACATTAAGAGCTGTTTGGTGGTGGGGGGCGGTCTCACTTGGAGGGGGGGCTCTACTTCATTCCATTTCCCGCCTCAGTTTCCTTCCTCCCAAAAATCTCCCTTTCTAATTCTCAGGGCCTACATAGCTATTGAATATTGCATGCTGGGAGCGAAGAAATCTGCTCTATGTGCTGTAGGGTGTTTCATAAAAAAACTCCCCCCCCCCCCCAAATGCCTGCTCCAAAAGTCTTATCTTACAACACTATGGATTATATAGCTATACAGTGGTGCCTCGCAAGACGAAATTAATCCGTTCCGCGAGTCTCTTCGTCTTGCGGTTTTTTCGTCTTGCGAAGCACGGCTATTAGCGGCTTAGCGGCTATTAACGGCTTAGCGGCTTTAAGAAAAAGGAAACAAACTCACAAGAACTCGCAAGACATTTCGTCTTGCGAAGCAAGCCCATAGGGAAATTCGTCTTGCGGAACTACTCAAAAACGGAAAACTCTTTCGTCTTGCGCGTTTTTTGTCTTGCGAGGCATTCGTCTTGCGAGGTACCACTGTATCTGAAATTCCATGCGTATCCGTTAATATCTCGACCCTCCTCCAAGAAAATAATGATAATATAATAAAAAAAAATGTTATACCCCACCCTTCCCGGTTCAGAAAACCGGACTCAGGGCGGCTAACAACAAATTTAAAGCAATTGATGCAACAAAAACAGCTTAAATTACAGTATAAAACGTGAATAACAATAAATTCAGAATTCAACAATCAATTTAGGGGGGAAATCCATCCAATAAGCATTAGATGATCACCAGGGCTAGCTGGCTAAATTAGTCCTATTTGGGCCAGCGAGGAGACCAGGGGAGAATTAGCTGTGGGATCCCAGAGCGGGTAATCTTCATAAAAAGAGGAGAGGGAGGGAAGGAAGGGGAATAAAAGATCAGGCTAAGTTCAAATTGAAAGCCAGGCGAAAATAGCTGTTTACTTGGGCGTTTTCCTATGTCGTGAAGGCTGAAATTTCCATTCAGTGGAGCAGGGTCAAGATATTAACTGATATGCATGAAATTTCAGATATAGCTATATATTCTCTAGTTTAGTAAGATAAGACCTTTGGAGCAGGCATTTTTTTAAAAAAAAGTTTTTTATGAACCGCCCTAATGTGCTGTGGGTTTCATCTAAAACAATAGACCTTTGCAGCGGTGGGGGTGAAGGATAGAGGAAGGGAATTTTCTCCCTGTTTTCACAGCAGCTACTATTTTTACTTTAAATAATTTTAAAAAAAAGAAGCCTCAGCTGCCGCAGCTCTCATAAACCCAATTATCTTCTTCTGCCCCTTCACTCTACACTAATCAGTTCCAACTTGAGGTGCCCACTACAGCTCACCTCAAGGTCCTATTTTCTAAAAGACTTGGATGATATCTGGGTTCTTCCCCACCCCTTTCTCCCTGTAAAAGAAAATAAAAATACTGTTTTGTTAAAACATCACACACACACGCACCCCACATACACACAAACATCAGTTCTTTTGTGCTGCCTGGAAATAAAATCCTCTTTTTCTTCCTCTTTCATGGCACCGCTGTTTCCAAAGTGCTCCTTGCTGGCAGCAGAACCTTTCAACCAGCCAATTATTGTAATTACAGTAAACCCAGATCTCCTTTTTCTTTTGTTGAGGTTGTCATGTGACCAACCATTAAAAATGTTCCAGAGTGTTTGGGGCTGGGCTTTTTTTTTTTTAAAGCTACGGGGAAGAAAAACCTCTCTCCCCCTCCTTCCGTCTGCCAGGCAAATCACAATCTGAATTATCCTGCATGCCTGTCTTCTTCCATGTTGCCCGTTGCAAAGATAATCTGTCCCCAGCTGGGTTAAACCAAGTGAATTTACCGCTTTCACAACTGCGGTCCAGCCTTAGCAGGTTAGGGGGAAATACTGGACCGCAAAAAGGCCTTATATGGGAGGCGGATAAATTGTCAATGATGCCTACCTGTACCTTGCATGAAACCGCCCATTTGGACAGAAGCCAGACGTTCTTAGGCTGCGGGGCAGTTACGAAACAAAAAACACTGCGAAGCTTCTGTCGGAAGCTAAAAATAGACTGGCAAATGCTCGGAAGTCTATTTGGAACAGCTGTGCATTGTGTGCAAACGTCTTGTCTGCAAACTTCACAGACCGTGGATGGCTGCCAGCCGTCCACTTATTATGCAGATTTAAGTTACGAATTGCAACTTCAAGTTTATCAGAAGTAACAACTGAAATGAAAAGGACATGTCTGTCTGCCTTTGTTGCTGTCGTTTAGTCGTGTCCGACTCTTCGTGTCCCCATGGGCCAGAGCACGCCAGGCATTCCTGTCTTCCACTGCCTCCCGCAGTTTGGTCAAACTCATGTTCGTAGCTTCGAGAACACTGTCCAACCATCTCATCCTCTGTCGTCCCCTTCTCCTTGTGCCCTCCGTCTTTCCCAGCATCAGGGTCTTTTCCAGGGAGTCTTCTCTTCTCATGAGGGGGCCAAAGTATTGGAGTCTCAGCTTCAGGATCTGTCCTTCCAGTGAGCACTCAGGGCTGATTTCCTTCAGAATGGAGAGGTTTGATCTTCTTGCAGACCATGGGACTCTCAAGAGTCTCCTTCAGCCCCATAATTCAAAAGCATCAATTCTTTGGCGATCAGCCTTCTTTAGGGTCCAGCTCTCACTTCCATACATCGCTACTGGGAAAACCATAGCTTTAACTATACGAACCTTTGTCGGCAAGGGGGTGTCTCTGCTTTTTAAGATGATGTCTAGGTTTGTCATCGATTCTCCCAAGAATCAGGTGTCTTGTCATTTTGTGACTGCTGTCACCATCTGCAGTGATCAGATGTCTGCCTTAGTATACCAAAACATCTCTTACCCTCATAAAGTTCTTAATGTTGAGTAAAAAAATCTCCTTTCTTATAACTTCCCTCCAGGGCAGAAAATAAGCTTGCTCCATCTTCCACGTGACAGTTATTTAGATATTTGAAGAAGGCTAATAATAATAATAATAATTTATTTATACCCTGCCCATCTGGCTGGGTTTCCCCAGCCATTCTGGGCGGCTTTCAACAGAATATTAAAATACAATAATCTATTAAACATTAAAAGCTTCCCTAAACAGGGCTGCCTTCGGATATCTTCTAACAGTCTGGTAGTTGTTTTTCTCTTTGACATCTGGTGGGAGGGCGTTCCACAGGGCGGGCACCACCACCGAGAAAGCCCTCTGCCTGGTTTCCTGTAACTTGGCTTCTCACAGGGAGGAAACTGCCAGAAGGCCCTTGGCGCTGGACCTCAGTGTCTGGGCTTAACGATGGGGGTGGAGACGCTCCTTCAGGTATACTGGACTGAGGCCGTTTAGGGCTTTCAAGGTCAGCACCAACACCTTGAATTGTGCTCGGAAAAGTACTGGGTGCCAGGTCTTTCAAGACCGGTGTTATGTGGTCTTGGCGGCCGCTCCCAATCACCAGTCTAGCTGCCGCATTCTGGATTAGTTGTAGTTTCTGGGCCACCTTCAAAGGTAGCCCCACATAGAGCGCATTGCAGTAGTCCAAGCGAGAGATAACCAGAGTATGCGCCACTCTTCATACCCAACTCCTTCAACCGTTCCTCCCAAGGCTTGGTTTCCAAATCCTTCATCATCTTGGTTGCCCTCCTCTGCACACGTTCCAGCTTGTCAACATCCTTCTTAAATTGTGGCGCCCAGAACTGGACACAGGGCTCCAGTTGGGGTTTAACCAAGGCGGAACAGAGCCTTATTATTTAACGCCTTTCCCTTTACTTCCAAACGCAGCATGTTCCAGGCGTGCAGCCCGCAGATGTGGAAGAAGTTGTTCGGAAGGGCGCCGAGACGTTAGTGATTGGCCGTGGCATGAGCGAAGCCTTGCAGGTACTTTTGCTAGGCTTGGTGGGACTGGGAGTCTGGTTGCAAAATTCAGAATCCAGTGGGGGGTCTGGTGGCATTCCAGCACCTATTATTGGAGGTCCTGCATAGCATTCTATTGCCAGCCAATTGACACTAGCTGAGTATTATTTAGGGACGCGGGTGGCGCTGTGGTCTAAACCAGAGCCTAGGACTTGCCAATCACAAAGTTGGCGGTTCGAATCCCCGTGACAGGGTGAGCTCCTGTTGCTCGTTCTGCTCCTGCCAACCTGACAGTTCGAAAGCACGTCAAAGTGCAAGTAGATAAATAGGTACTGTTCCAGCGGGAAGGTAAACGGCATTTTCGTGCGCTGCTCTGGTTCGCCAGAAGCGGCTTAGTCATGCTGGCCACATGACCCGGAAGCTGTACGCCGGCTCCCTTGGCCAATAAAGCGAGATGAGCGCCGCAACCCCAGAGTTGGCCACGACTGGACCTAATGGTCAGGGGTCCCTTTACCTTTACGTATTATTCTAGATTTATTCATGAATAATACAGGGAACCCCTGATTATGTTCCAGGTCTCCCTGTAACTGAAATTGCATATATTGAGAGCACCCTGGAGGGGCAGCAGGACTTGCATAGCTGACATGCAGGGAAACTTCTTCCCTGAACACCAGCTAAGATGGTCAACGAAGACCAGGCAGCAGGATTTATGATTTTATTGTTTGGCCTTATGCTTTAATATTGTTGTAAGTCACTGCAATATATTTTTATGATACAGTGGTATATAAAAAAAAAATTATAGGTAAATAAAACTAAGAGTTTTCAGGAGGTGTTTAATACCGGTGCAGGGACGCGGGTGGAGCTGTGGGTTAAACCACAGAGCCTAGGGCTTGCTGATCAGAAGGTCAGCGGTTCGAATCCCCGCGATGGGATGGGCTCCTGTTGCTCGGTCCCTGCTCCTGCCAACCTAGCAGTTCGAAAGCACATCAAGTGCAAGTAGATAAATAGGTACCGCTCCGGCGGGAAGGTAAACGGCGTTTCCGTGCACTGCTCTGGTTCGCCAGAAGCGGCTTAGTCATGCTGGCCACATGACCTGGAAGCTGTACGCCGGCTCCCTCGGCCAATAAAGTAAGATGAGCGCCGCAACCCCAGAGTCAGCCACGACTGGACCTAATGGTCAGGGGTCCCTTTACCTTTTACCTTAATACCGGTGCAGCTAACTGACAGCTAGCCTGGGTTCAAAACGATGCCCAGGTTCCAGCTATGTGGGAATGGCTACGGGAATGTCTTGAACTAGCTGAAACTGACAAGAGACTGGACAGATTTGATTCCTAAGAGGAACGGCATGTTTTATGGCACAAAGTATGTTGAAAGTAATGTGGTTGTTTTTTTGCAAATTTTGGAAACATTAGACTTGAAAGTCATTTATTTATGTGAAGTGTGACTTATGCATACATGTGGCAACCATTTCGGTCGACAGGGGTTCTGCCCCACTCCAGGTCCAAAGAAACTAGGGGATGGGCACTATCTGGTTTTCAGCATCGCAATATATCATCAGCTAAACATCGCAGTATACTGATACAACCCAAAAGTGTTTCTCCGCGCACGCATGCGCAGAAGCGGTCTACTGCTTCTCCTCCGGTTGCGAAAACCTCGGGATCCAGCCGGACCTCTGGAAAGGATCCCATTCACAAGTGGAGGTACCACTGTACGTACAGTCGTGCCTTGGCTCCTGAACGCCTTGGGAGTCGAACGTTCCAGCTCCCGGACGATCGAAACCCGGAAGTGAGTGTTCCAGTTTTTGAATGTTCTTTTGGAAGCCGAACATCCAACGGGGCTTCCGATTGGCTGCAGGAGCTTCCTGCAGCCAATCAGAATCCGCGTTTTGGTTTTTTAACATTTCGGAAGTCAAACGGACTTCCGGAACAGATTCTGTTTGACTTCCAAGGTACGACTGTATATCACGATGTCTGAAATTAGGATGGCACTATGCAGAGGCATTGGCTGGCTTCATGGTTTTTTCTGCATCGTGATTTCAGTCAACACCTGCTCTTGTGATTCGTGCTCCCTGCAGGAGGCAGGGGGAGAGCCGAGTCGGCATTTCACAGGGGCTGCAGGAATCGAGAGAAGCATCGGCTTGGGTTCACGGTTTTTCCCACATTGTGATTTTTGCATAGCACACACACACATCATGATACACGATACAGTGGTACCTCGGGTTACATACGCTTCAGGTTACAGACTCCACTAACCTAGAAATATTACCTCGGGTTAAGAACTTTGCTTCAGGATGAGAACAGAAATCGTGCTCCGGCGGCGTGGCGGTAGCGGGAGGCCCCATTAGCTAAAGTGGTGCTTCAGGTTAAGAACAGACCTCCAGAACGAATTAAGTTCTTAACCAGAGATACCACTGTATATTGCCAGGCCCAAAATTATGAAACTGATATTACGATAGGGACTTCAGGCTGGTTTGGGACAATGTATTGATATATTGCCCAGCCCTAAAAAGGACTTGCACATTGGCAGTTGTGAATCAATTGGATGAGCGCAAAACGGTCGCTGCGTGTATTTCAAAGTATAAAAAAGAGAAAGGGAGCCGCTAACTGGGTTTTATGCATGTTAGCAATGAAGTCACAGCTTGTGTGCAAGAAGAGACTCCTCTCTGACTCTTTTCTCTTCCCGATTTCTCAAGGTGCCGTCATCCACCGTGGACTACCTGAAGAGCCATGGGATCGATGTGCTGGTCCTGCAGACGGAAAAAGCTGTGAAAGAGTACAACGCTTTGGCCAGCAAAGGGGCCAAAGTGGGTGGGGTCTTCCATTCCACCTGCTAGAGCAAACTTCCCCAACTTGGTGTCCCCCAGATGATTTGGGTTCCAGCTCCCATGAGCCCCTGTGAGGCTGTCTGCGGGCACCAGGTTGGCAAAGCCTGCTTAGAGAGATGAAGCCACCTCTCCCTTTCAACCGTCTTGTGCCTTCATGTGAATAAAAGAGAGCACTTTTGGGTCAGCAGGCAGTCTGTATGCATCGCTGTGTGCCAAGTCTTGAAAGCTTTCAAAATGAAACCACGAATGCTGAATTTCACTAGCCTACGGTTTAAAAGTGGGCAGCAGTTGTGAAGCCAAACGGCCAAGAGTGCCTTGCAATTTCAGTTCAGGATTCCTGAACATTAAAGAGTCCTGCAGGATCAGGCCAACAGCCTGTCTAGAAACCCGCAAACATGGCATTGCCACCTTTGGTCGGGCAAAATAAGGGACAGGATTGGGGGGGGGCTAAAATTTGCTTTACCTGGTGCAGAAATGACTTCAAAGCAATCCATTACAATGGGCTGTTTCCAATGCTGGTCATAACTCAGAGGACACCCAATGAAGTTTGTGGATCTAAGTTAGCAATGGACATCAATTTCAATGACTCGCATCCTCCCCACCTGCTGAATTTCCGCCTGTTAGACAAATGGTCTAGAATCTTGGAGCTCTGGGCAGACAGGCAAGATCAGGAGGCTAATCAAGCCATAGGCAAGATGCCTTTGGCCGCCCATTGTGAGGTTTCTTTAATGCAGAGCTGTGCAGGACTGCGGTATTGGGGATATTTGGCTTCGGGCAACGTCACACATTCGCTCCAAGTTTTTTAAGGACATGTTTTTTGTCACAGTGTAGTAGCACATGCAGTTGACCAGCAGGGGAAGTTTTAAGTCTGTCTGTCTCAAATTTGTAGTCCAACTACAGCTGGGGATCCAACTCCCATCATCCCTAGCTGGCAAGACCAGTGGTCAGGGATGATGGGAGTTGTAGTCCAACAGCCTCTGGGGACCCAAGTTTGAGAAACACTGTTTTAAGTTAATGGTAGAGTGGGAGTCTGCTCTGGGGATGTGGGAATAACATGTCCATTTATGCCTTCAGATGTCGGGGTCAACCTGCTTGACCAGAGGCCCCCACTATTTAAACTGCTAGTCCGTTCCATACCTGGATAACTGGGTGCAGATGTTTATTATTACTTAAATGCATTTATAAAATAACCAAAATTGCACGGCTAAAGGGATGTGGCTTGCAGCAGGCACCAGCTACCATATTTTTCGCTCTATAGGACGCACTTTTCCCCCTCCAAAAATTAAGGGGAAATGTGTGTGCGTCCTATGGAGCGAATGCAGGCTCCTTGGCTTCAGCGATAGCAACGCGAAGCCTCCGGAACGCGGAAGGAGCGCTCCGTCTGCGCTTCGGTGGCTTTGCGTTGCTTTCGCTGAAGCCTGGAGAGCAAGAGGGATTGGTGCGCACCGACCCCTCTTGCTCTCCAGGCTTCAGGGATAGCTGCCTGAAGCCTTTGGAGCGCAGCGGGAACTCGCGCTGCGCTCCGAAGGCTTCGGGTTCCTTTTGCTGAAGCCGGGAGAGCAAGACTCCTGGCTTCAGCAGAGAGGGAGAGCTGCGCAGCGCCCCTTCAGCGAAGCGGGAGGAGAAATGGAAGGGGCTCCGTTTCTCCTGCCGCTTTGCTGAAGGGGTGATGAGCAGAGATGGGAAGAATTTTTTTTTCTTGTTCTCCCCCTCTAAAACAAGGTGCGTCCTATGGAGCAAAAAATACAGTACATTGCGAGGCACAGTGGCATATATTAAAAAATCGGAGAGCCTTGAATAAATTAATGGTGGTCCCAACGGCAGGAGAGGCTATGAACCACACTTTTAAGATAAGGGAGTTGTTCTCAAGGACGACTGCTGTAGACAGTTATCAGCTCATAGGAAAAGAAATGCCCCGTCCAATTTAATATATATATATACAGCAGGCACAGAGAAATAATCAGCTCCGGGACTTTTCTCAATGGAGGATGCCAGGAGCCCTTGGCTGTTGCTGAACCACTGCCCACAACATCCTGCCAGCCATGTGTTTCCTCCTCAATCGGAGGCCAGCCTGTGGCCTCTGTGAGTTTTGGAAAGTGTGGAAGAGTCCTTGGCATGGCTGAGGACGCTTCTCACGAACCCCTTAGCAGCACCGGGGCACCCAGAAAGCCTTCTGTGTATTCGCAGCAGCTCTGACGATCAGTCAGATGGGAAGCCGGTTTGGTGGTCGATTCAATCCGGGGGCGTCTCAATTTCTGCCAGCCAGGAAACATTTCGAAGACAAAACCGCTCAATTTTAAGGGTGATTTCCAGCCCTTGCACTGCAGTCCCACCTTGATCTTCCGTGTGCATGTGCCAACCGAGCTAGAAAGGTCTCAGATCTCCCGCAGGAATCGTATCAATAAAAAAAGGGTGCCTTCAAAGGCAGCCATCACCGCCTGGCTGGCTTGGGCATGATGTAAACTTTGACAGGCTTGCTGAAAGGGATGGTTCCCTCGATGCCATTCTCGGCCTGGGGGGGCAGATCCAGACTGTCTCCCCAGGTGGTGCGCGAGAGCCTCGCGGATGTTTTGTTTCGATCCGAACCATACGCCAGCAGCAGCCGCACTTCGATCTGACAGGGCTCTGGGGGTGTAAAAAGGGAGCGAGTTATAAGAAGCTAAGTAGCGTCCTGCCAGGTTAGACTACCTAGTCCGGCATCCTGCTTTCACAGTGGCCAACTAGGTGCTTGAGGAAAGCCCGCAAGCAGGGCCTGAGAGCAACAGCGCTCTCCCGCTCCTGTGGTTTCTGGCAGCTGATCTCCAGTGCAGACAGACTTAAGGTCAAAAGCAAAAGTTAGGTGCCCCGGCCTTAAACTACAGATTGTCTTTGGGTGCAACAAGCAGTATGGCAGGGGTGGGGGAACCTGTGGAACCTGAAGGAGCGTCTCTATCCCCATCGATCAGTTCCACTGAGGTCCAGCTCCGAGGGCCTTCTGGCAGTTCCCTCACTGCGAGAAGTGAGGTTACAGGGAACCAGGCAGAGGGCCTTCTCGGTGGTGGCGCCTGCCCTATGGAACGCCCGCCCTTCAGATGTCAAGGAAATAAACAACTACAGTGATACCTCTGGTTACATACTTAATTCGTTCCAGAGGTCCGTTCTTAACCTGAAACTGTTCTTAACCTGAAGCACCACTTTAGCTAATGGGGCCTCCAGCTGCCGCTGCGCCGCCACCACGCGATTTCTGTTCTCATCCTGAAGCAAAGTTCTTAACCTGAGGTACTATTTCTGGGTTAGTGGAGTCTTTAACCTGAAGCATATGTAACCCGAGGCACCACTATACCTGACTTTTAGAAGACATCTGAAGGCAGCCCTGTTTAGGGAAGTTTTTCATATTTGATCTTTTATCATGTTTTTAATATTCTGTTGGGAGCTGCCCAGAGTGGCTGGGGAAACCCAGACAGATGGGCAGGGTATAAATTGTTGTTGTTATCCACCTCCCATCATTCCTGTTTAGGCCATGCTCTCTGAGGCTGCTGGGAACTGGGAGTGCAATAATATCTGAAAGACTGTAGCTTCTCCATATATGAAGTACTGCATCACAAACTTTAAATTATGCTAGTCTGGTTTGTTTTTTAACAAGCAATTGTCTATTGTTCTATATAACCTGTTGAGCCAACAAGAGCGAGCTCCTATAGCTTGAACCACGATGAAATCTTTCTCTACCACTGAATGCAGGGCATTTTCTGGGAGACGGGCGGTTGATTCAACCAATCACATATCATGTGCCTTTTCTGGCGACTTGCTGCATTGGTTTCCGCCCAATGCCAGCAGTAGAAAGAAGCCACAGAACCCCTAAGTGCTCAAGCGAAACCTTCACGGTAAAGACTTCCCCATGCAGAATCTACTGGATCCAGCATCCTCCTTACCTGTCCAGGCAGTGTGAGAGAGGTAAACCTGAGTAATTAACCGGTGCCTTCCAGGAGCGGGGTTTCGAAAGTCTGCTGGTTTAGGATGGATGAGCTGTGCCTGCCCGTCAGGGTATACAACCTATAAGGGAAGAGTGGGATTTGTCAGTGCTGAGGCACAGGGAGTCAGGAACACAGAAGCCCCATGCAAACGTTACTCGCATTATGTAGGGCATAATTGTGTGCACACTGAAAGGGGGATGACGGCACAGTTTCAGCCCAGTCTCCCCAAGGTCAGGGACTTTTCCTTCAACAATGCATCATGAGCTGCTTCGTGGCTGCCTGGAGTTTTTGCATTCAGTTTTCTTTGCAGATAAAGGTAAAGGGTAAAGGGACCCCTGACCGCTAGGGTCCAGTCGTGGCCGACTCTCGGGTTGCGGCGTTCATCTCGCTTTATTGGCCGAGGGAGCCGGTGTACAGCTTCCAGGTCATGTGGCCAGCATGACTAAGCCGCTTCTGGTGAACCAGAGCAGCGCACGGGAATGCCATTTACCTTCCCGCTGGAGCGGTACCTATTTATCTACTTGCACTTTGACGTGCTTTCGAACTGCTAGGTTGGCAGGAGCAGGGACCGAGCAACGGGAGCTCACCCCGTCGTGGGGATTCAAACCGCCAACCTTCTGATCAGCAAGTCCTAGGCTCTGTGATTTAACCCACAACAATGTGCAAAAAAGAGTTGCTGAAGCGAGAAGACCCCTCCCCCCCAAACACACACCCGACACACACATCTAGCGATGGGCAAATCTGTCCATTTTGGTTTCTCTCGTTTCCTTCTTTTTCCCGTCTTAAGTACACTCCTCCACATTTCTACATCAGTTTGCCATTATTGTTTTTAAAGTCCTCGTGAAAATTAACCAGCATTTCAGGGTGCATTTCTGCTAATGAACACATTTCTGTGTGCAATTTTGCCCAAGATACACATTTCTGCAAAGCTGTATACCTGAAGGAGCGTCTCCACCTCCATCGTTCTGCCCGGACACTGAGGTCCAGCACCAAGGGCCTTCGGCGGTTCCTTCCCTGAGAGAAGCCAAGTTACAGGGAACCAGGCAGAGGGCCTTCTCGGTAGTGGCACCTGCCGTGTGGAACGCCCTCCCACCAGATGGCAAAGAGAAAAACAACTACCAGACTTTTGGAAGACATCTGAAGGCAGCCTTGTTTAGGGAAGCTTTTAATGTTTAATACACTATTGTATTTTAATATTCTGTTGGAAACCACCCAGAGTGGCTGGGGAAACCCAGCCAGATGGGCGGGGTATAAATAATAAATTATTATTATTATTATTATTATTATTAGTATTAGTATTAGTATTAGTATTGCTTTCTCCATTATACTGAATTTGCGTATGTTATTTTTCACTAGCATTTGAATTTTTAAGGCACGCTTTATCCCAGTACACGTTACTTGGCTGCGGAACTGCACTGCAAAATCTGGAGAAGTACAAATGTTTTGGTCCCTTTACTGTGTCAGAAAAAGCGAATTACCGTATTTTTTGCACCATAACACTCACTTTTTTTCCTCCTAGAAAGTAAGGGGAAATGTCTGTGCGTGTTATGGAGCGAATGCCTACGGGCGGCGGGAGGATCTGCTGCAGTCGTGAGCAGAGGATCCATGGTTCCCCTTCCTTCCCTCCTCCGTGGCTCGCTTTGAAACAGCAAAGCGGGAGAAGAGCCGCTGAGTGGGGAGGAGAGAGGGACAGAGAGCCTGCTTGCTTTAAAGGAGCAAAGCGGGAGAGGGGAGGAGCCGCTTACACGAGTGTAAGCGGGTCCTGTCCGGATGGTTCCTTTAAAGCAAGCAGGCTCTCTGTCCCTCTTTCCTCCCCACTCAGCTCGCTACATAGCAGCAAAGTTTTTCAGCTCGCTAAGCCGGGGATGAGCGGTGAGGAGGGAGAAAAGCAGAGCCTGCTTGCGTTAATGGAGCAAAGTGGGAGAGGAGAGGAGCCTTCTCCCCTTATACCCTCTTCTTCATTATTAGCAGCATCCTTCTCCACACACCCACGCGTGTTCCTTCTCCCCTTAAACCCCTCTCCTGCATTATTAGCAGCATCCTTCTCCACACACCCCACACGTGCTCCTTGTCCCTTGAGTGCTTTTCCTTCCCTCCCCACTTAAAACGTGGTTACAAAGCACGGGTCCACATGGATCCTCAGGATTTTTGCACTGGGTCACCCCAAATTCACCATCAGATCACATGGCATGTCCATGGCTACATCTTGCACCAAAAAAATCACGCACCCACTGTTGCCTGGGGCCGCAGTGGTGCAAAAACGTGGTTGCAAAGCATGGATCCACATGGATCCTCAGGATCTTTGCATTGGGCTACCCCAAACTAACCGTCAGATCACATGTCTGTGGCCACAGCATGAACCACAAAAATCATACATCCACTGTTTCGTTTAGAATATTTTTTTTCTTGTTTTCCTCCTCTAAAAACTACGTGCGTGTTATGGTCTGGTGCGTGTTATAGAGTGAAAAATACGGTAAATGCCTTTAAATGCAGACAGAAGCAGTTTTTTCTCCTATTCCCACCCACCTAAAAGCGTAGCGCTGCTTCAGTCTCTACTTCATCATACTCCACGCGAAGGCATAGGACTAAGGCAGCCTTCCCCAATCTGCTGCCTTCCAGATGTTTCGGACTACAGTTCCCATCATCCCTGACCAAAGGCCATGATGGCTGGGGCTGATGGGAGTTGGAGTCCCAAACAGCTGGAGGGCGCCCAGGTTGATAAAAGCTGGTTCCAACCATTGGGGCGATCCTTAATGCTTTTATTCCCCTTACCTGAACTTTAACAGTGCCTTGAGGATCCTGCACATGTTCCAGAGTTGCATCAATGTCGAGCGCAACCACTAATCCCGACGTGAAGCGCAAGGGGTTGTCCGATTCTCCTGCCGGCTCAATGATGGTGGCAGTCGCTCGGTGGATCTGCAGAAGGAAGATGCCAAATCACACACACACACTGCCACACATACTTCTCAAAATTCCTGTTTGTTACCCCCTCCGCTTTTTTATTTGGGCTTGGAAAAATGTATTCAGCAGTTTTGTCAATTTACAGAGGCGGCAACGGAGGAGCTGCAGTGTGCATGCGGTTGGCCAAAGCAAAACAGCTGCAGGAGCCCAGGAGCCTAAACGATTCCAACTTCTTCAACGGACTCTAGAAATGTAGTACAATGTAGTTCAAATGATTATCACCGCTTAGTATACTGAGATATGAGCAAGCCTTCCTCCATAAACGATAGTCTCTGCAACTTCAAAGCACATCTTAATATCCTGCTTTGTTTTGTAGCTGGGAACCATGGTTTTCTGGTTTGGATGAAGTAGGAAACCATGGTTAGAACCTTCCTAGTTTGATTGCTCAGTTGGGAAGGGAGGAGGAAAGAAGTGTTCTGCACAGGCACCCCCCCCTTTCATATTTTGGCTTACAGTGGTACCTTGGTTTTCAAACGCCTTGGTACTCAAACAACTTGGAACCCAAACACTGCAAACCCAGAAGTAAGTGTTCCGGTTTGTGAACTTTTTTCGGAAGCCGAACATGCTCTGTTTTGAGTGCCACACTTCCGTTTTGAGTGTCACACTGAGGTCTGGCTGTTTCTGCTATTTATTTTGCAGTTTTGTTTTTGTGACTGCGTGGAACCCAGTTCAGCTACTGATTGACTGACTGTGTGACCGCAGCACATTGTTTATTGCTTTCATTTTATGGATCAATGGTCTCGTTACATAGTAAAATCCATGTTGAATTGCTGTTTTACAGATTGTTTTTAAAAGCCTGGAACGGATTAATCCATTTTGCATTACTTTCTATGTGAAAGTGCGCCTTGGTTTTGGAACGCTTTGGTTTTGGAATAGACTTCCGGAATGGATTAAGTTTGAGAACCAAGGTACCACTGTATTAGGAATACATATGATCATACATAGCTAAAACAATGCTCAAGGCAGCTTACACTATGAAAAGATTTATATAATTACAAGCATAACAAAGCAGTCATAAAAATAAATAAGACACATCAGAAAGTACATTACCGAGGGTCATTCCATCGCATCCATTATGAATAAATTTATAAAGTATGCTTATATGGCGATTCATATAAGAAACATGTAAATACCATTAAACGGCTGCTTTTAAAATTACTTCAAGTAGTTGTTTAGGGAAGCTTTTAATGTTTAACAGGTTATTGTATTTTAGTGTTTTGCTGGAAGCCGCCCAGAGTGGCTGGGAAAACCCAGCCAGATGAGCAGGGTATAAATAAATTATTATTATTATTATTATTGTTATTATTAAGAGTTGGCTGCCCAGCTGCCAACCAGATACTCACCTTCTCAGGGAGAGGAAGGCAAAGGAAGCAACTCTGCCGCAACGTTGCCTGTAGGATCTTGACGACTTCAGAAGGCTTTGACGTTACTAGTCTGGGCATCAGGTCCAGGAGTTTGTCCACAAAACTGTCTTGCATATGAGGGAGCTCCGCAATGAAACATCTGTGAAAAAGGGAGAGTGTGGGGGAAAGTTTGGGAGCGAAGGCAAAGCAGATCCTGATCTACCCTCTGCTCAGAGAGGACCCTCCCCAAGGAATCCCTAGACTCGTATTTGGGGCAACCTTAGTCTCACCCACAAGAAAATCCGATACGGTTTGCCTGGGCCTTTCAAAGTAAAAACTTGGAAAGAACCCATGGTGAAAAAGGTTGGCCTTTGATTGCTTGCTGCGCAGCTGTAGGAAAAAAGCAACCATGCTTGTTTGGATGAAGGCTCCGCAGCTGCCAATAAGGAGCTGAATGGGGGCTTTAAATCTATTTTTTATAGATGAGCACGGAGTCCTTTTGAGTTCCCACCTGCAGTCTGACATGATAGAGCCTAGGTATACAGTGATACCTCGGGTTACATACGCTTCAGGTTACATACGCTTCAGGTTACAGACTCTGCTAACCCAGAAATAGTACCTCGAGTTAAGAACTTTGCTTCAGGATGAGAACAGAAATGGTGCTCCGGCAGTGCAGCGGCAGCAGGAGGCCCCATTAGCTAAAGTGGTGCTTCAGGTTAAGAACAGTTTCAGGTTAAGAACGGACCTCCAGAACGAATTAAGTACTTAACTCGAGGTACCACTGTAGAGCCTGAGTCCCCTAAACAAGAAAACATACCTCTGAAAAGAGTCCACCTCCTGCAAAAACTTCTCGCACATTCCAAAGAGAGGTTCCACTCTGGAAATGAACAACAAAAATTTTATTATTTATGTGCCGCCCATCTGATTGGGTTGCCCCAGCCACTCTGGGCAGCTTCCAACAAAATATTAAAAACACAAAAAAAGATAAATAGGTTGGCAGAAGCTGGGACGGAGCAACGGGAGCTCACCCTGTCGCAGGAATTCGAACTGCTGACCTTCCGATTGGCAAGCCGAAGAGGCTCAGTGGTTTAGACCACAGTGCCACCCGCATCCCTATGTCATTCAAATAGCATAGCAGAGATCCTAGAATCATGCCATCATAGAATTGTAGAGTTGGAAGGGCTCCAAGGGTCATCTTGCCCCTTGCAATGAAGGGCATCTCTTTTTTTTTTTTTAAAGAATATTTATTCCAGTTTTAAAGTTACAAAAAATATAGAAAAAACAAACCACACACATCTTACAAAAAACAAACAATAAAAAAGAAATAAGAAAGACAAAAAATCACAGTAAAAAACAACAAAATTCAAATTAGACCATTACAACCTTTTTCCCTTTTACTTGTTTCCATGACTTCCTCTCACCTCCCTGCTTTGTATTCTAGTTTAAATCGTATCTCCAGCAAATCCTTCTAACCTTCTTTTCTTTTACTTATTTTAACATTCAAAAGTATTTAATTCTCCTCTATCCTCATTTTACACTTCATATTTACTTATTCCATTATACCCTGTCTGCCAATACGGTCTAATATTCTTCTCCAACCTTTTTCTAACATTCTTGCAATGAAGGGCATCTCAACTAAAGCATCTACAGTTCTACTGTTAGAACAGCTCTTACTATCTGAGAGTTCTTCGTGAATTTGAGTCATGCTAGGGATGCGGGTGGCGTTGTGGGTTAAACCACAGAGCCTAAGGCTTGCCGATCAGGAGGTCGGCAGTTCGAATCCCCACGACGGGGTGAGCTCCCGTTGCTCAGTCCCTGCTCCTGCCAACCTAGCAGTTTGAAAGCACATCAAAGTGCAAGTAGATAAATAGGTACCGCTCCGGCGGGAAGGTAAATGGCATTTCCGTGCGCTGCTCTGGTTCACCAGAAGCGGCTTAGTCATGCTGGCCACATGACCCGGAAGCTGTACGCCAGCTCTCTCGGCCAATAAAGCGAGATGAGCGCCGCAACCCCAGAGTCGTCTGCGACTGGACCAAACGGTCAGAGGTCCCTTTACCTTTGAACTAGGATCTAATCCCAACATCACTGCTATTTTACCCCACTAGCTGCTCAGTATCCAACATTTTCTGAACCTTCCGCAGCCAACCACATCATTTGCCTCCAGCTATTTAAATCTTGCAGTTCAAGTCCAGAACATCCCAAAGCTCAGAGATTTCCCTTACCCTCTCGTAGTCCGCACCGTGACTATCAACTGCAAGGCTTTCGCCTGCAGCCGCATGTGGTGGATGATGACCACTTGCTTGTGTTCAACGCCGCTGTACATGAACTCCATCTTGTACGTTTCTTCCATAATCTAGACAAGGAAACAGCACTTTTCTCAATTCTGGACAGATTTACCACCGGGGTGCTGGCACAGACAGATGGGAATCTGCAGAACTAGTTCAAGACAGACTGAGGCAAAAATACTAGCATTTCTGTGCTACTACAGTGGTACCTCGGGTTACATACGCTTCAGGTTACATACGCTTCAGGTTACAGACTCCGCTAACCCAGAAATAGTGCTTCAGGTTAAGAACTTTGCCTCAGGATGAGAACAGAAATCGTGCTCCGGCAGCACAGCGGCAGAAGGAGGCCCCATTAGCTAAAGTGGTGCTTCAGGTTAAGAACATTTACAGGTTAAGTACAGACCTCCAGAACGAATTAAGTACTTAACCCGAGGTACCACTGTATAAGCATCAGGTTTTTATTTTTATTTTTTTTAAAGGAAGCTCTCTACAGGGCCGCTCGCTTTCCTGGAATCTGCAAGCCAATAGCACATAATTAAGTAAAAGAAAACCACACACACACGCAAGGAGCCTACAAATGCTCAGCGATTTCTGCCTCTGTGAAATGCGTGTTTGTTTTTTCCACCCTGCCTTACCTGTTTTGCAGCGGTTGCTGCCAGGGCGTTCTGCTTCACGTACAGTGGGGCTGCGACATTCCACAGTTTCTCCTGGAGAGCCTGAAAGAGACGTCCAGGAATTAACTGTGATATGGCCTGTGCAACCCAGGAGTTGAAACCTAAGCTGGGCTCTTTGGGCTGGAGGGCGAACAGAGGAAAGGATGCAATTTCGCCTTCCTTCTGAGGAAGCTGTAAGGGCATCCTCCTGCTGGATCAAGTCAAAAGGCCTTTCAAGGAAGAGCAAGTTGCTTCTCATAGGAGCCCGAAGGAAGCTCCCAAGCAAGAAGGGAACGCCAGCAGCCCTCTCTCGTGGTTGGCTTGTCCAGCAAGTGGCATTGAGTGGTACACTGCCCCGAACATGGAGGCCCTTGCAAGTCATCAGACCCTTCCCTAGCCCTGCTTTGCATCCTCCCGAGCTGTTTCTGCCTGGCTGGACTATGTCTTTGAGCTCTGACAATGCTTCTTGCTTGCCTGGAGAAAGGATAGACAAGGGGCGTGAGCGTGTGCATAGAAAATCTACTGCTCAAAAGGCAAAATGGATATTCATTGCTCCAGCCACTTTTGCCTCTGTCTCTACCCAACACTGGCACATGCCCCCCCCCCCCAAAAAGAGGTTGTCACTAAGGGGATGTGGGCCTTGGGGTGGAAAAAAGTGTTCTTGCTCCTGATCTAGAGCACGGTAACTTCCGTCTGCTGCTGGCTATAAATCTTGGCCGCTGTTTCATTAAATTTTATTTTAACGCTGACCACTTCGTGTTAAATGCTTGCTTCTAAAATCTTTTGCCACCCACCCTGTGATCCTCTGAATGGTCTAAAGGTTTAACGAAGAAGCAAACACAGAAAATGACATTCAGCTAAGCCCAAAACTCAGCTTACAGCTTGGTAAGCTTCTAGCTTCCCATGGGGCTTGTCTCGTGCTTACTGAACAGAAGAGAGTTCACCTACACTAAGCAGCTGCAAACAACTCACTGGCTATAGCAGCTTCTGCTGGACGCAGACCCTCTAAGGGTCCCTATTTTCCAGGGACAGTCCTGAATTTACAAGAGCCATCCTGGTTTCTGATTTGATCCTGGAATGTCCCACTTTTCCTTAGGACATCCCTATTTCCACTGCAGAAATGCTAGAAGGTATGGAGTACGCGACCTGCCCCCCCCCCCTCCGAGCCAAAGATATAACTAACATCTGAAGGCAGTCCTGTATAGGGAAGTTTTAAAATGTTCAAATGCTTAATGTCTTATAATGGTTTTTATGTATGTTGGAAGCTGCCCTGAGTGGCTGGGGCAACCCAGTCAGATGGGCAGGGAATGAATGAATAAAACAAAAATAAAATAAAATATCATTATTATGCAGTAAGGTAAAGGTAAAGGGACCCCTGAGCATTAGGTCCAGTCGTGGCCGACTCTGGGGTTGCGGCGCTCATCTCGCTTTGTTGGCCGAGGGAGCCGGCGTACAGCTTCTGGGTCATGTGGCCAGCATGACTAAGCCGCTTCTGGCGAACCAGAGCAGCGCACAGAAACGCCATTTACCTTCCCGCCACAGCGGTACCTATCTATCTACTTGCACTTCGACGTGCTTTCGAACTGCTAGGTTGGCAGGAGCAGGGACCGAGCAATGGGAGCTCACCCCGTGGCGGGGATTCGAACCGCCGACCTTCTGATTGGCAAGTCCTAGGCGCTGTGGTTTAACCCACAGCACCACCCGCGTCCCCTATTATGCAGTAGGATTTTCCTATTTTCATCATGGAATGTTGGAGGGTATGTTGACCGTCTCACACCAAGCAGTCTCCATCCACTTACCAACTATTTCTGCATCTTAACAGATCGTGTACCCAGTTTACAGGATTGGGGGTTGGGGAGTGCTGAAGGAAGCTAGAATTTTTTTTCCTGCAAAGCCAGCAAATTGCCATAGCTCCAAAGGCTGCCGAGTCAGCTCCTAGCTAATGTGCTGAATTCCAGTTCTGTTTACCTAATACATCTTCCGTGATATCCCGGACTTCCTCTGCTGTCGTTTGGAAGTACAAATTGGCAATTTCACACTGAGCAAAGCAGGGGGTCTCTGCGCTTTGGGCAGGAAATAACACATGAACACACACACACACCGGGTTTGACTGGCTTTGAACTGCCTGCGTGTTGTTCGCTGTCTGCTAGATTTTGAAGCGGCATGGGCATCACCCCACAACATACTGGAAAAGTTCAGAATAGAGGACCAGGTGTTGCCCAAGAGGAAGCCCTACCTTAATGAGAAGCAGCTGGCATCGAAGGTAAGTGGCCGAGAAGTCAGCCACCCCAGCCAAGTCGGACTGGAGCTCTCCAAACCTCTGAAGATCCCTAGAGCAAAGAGGAAGAGGGTTAAAAACATGATTGGTTTAATGGGGTGATGGCGAGGAGCCCGCTTTGTTTACCGTATTTTTCGCTCTATAAGACGCACCAGACCACCACAAGACACACCTAGTTTTTGGAGGAGGAAAACAAGGAAAAAAATATTCTGAATCTCAGAAGCCAGAACAGTGAGAAGGATCGGTGCACAGTGAAAGCAGCAATCCCTCTTGCTGTTCTGGCTTCTGGGATAGCTGCGCAGCCTGCATTCGCTCCATAAGACGCACACACATTTCCCCTTACTTTTTAGGAGGGAAAAAGTGAGTCTTGTAGAGCAAAAAATACGGTACTTAAAAGTAGTTAACACAAAGTGCTTTTGTGAGTTAACGACCTCCGACATCTCTTTTGCTTATAGGCTCCCAGGAATAAATGGAGGAGAATAAAAAGCGAGTCAACAAGGGCTGCAAGGATGTCACGGGGCGTGGCCAACATTGCAGAATTGTAGACTTGGGACCCCGAGGGTCATCTAGCCCAACCCCCTTTAATGCAGAAATCTCCACTAGATCATCACAACAGATGGCCACCCAACCTCAGCTTAAAAACCTCCAAGGAAGGAGAGTCCACCGCCTCTTGTGGCAGTCTGTTCTGCTGTCAAACACGGTGGTTTTTGCTTACTTCTGCAACGTACCTGTTTGCAGCCGGATAATATTGCTTAATTTTTAAAAGGATTTAAAACGAGCATCTGCAACTGCCTCTTGAGCTCACTGTGGGTTTTATTGCAGCATGGTTTTACCGTTACAAGCTTGTATTCTTTCTATCTGCATGCTGCGCCCGGAGAATTTATTTGACGAGGCATCCCATAAACACAACAACCAAATAAATAAGTCTGAAGAAGTCAGGTCTGCATCTGCATTGGAATTGTTTTTAAGAGGCTTCGATGCTTTTACTGCTTGCTGTTTGCTGCCCTGGGCTCCGTTGTGAGGAGGGGCAGGATATAAATTTAAATACAGTGGTACCTCAGGTTACATACGCTTCAGGTTACATATGCTTCAGGTTACAGACTCCGCTAACCCAGAAATAGTGCTTCAGGTTAAGAACTTTGCTTCAGGATGAGAACAGAAATCGTGCTCCGGCAGCGCGGCAGCAGGAGGAGGCCCCATTAGCTAAAGTGGTGCTTCAGGTTAAGAACAGTTTCAGTTTAAGAACGGGCCTCCAGAACGAAACGAATTAAGTACTTAACCTGAGGTACCACTGTACAGTTATACCTCATGTTACGTCCGCTTCATGTTACGTTCTTTCAGGTTACGTCCCGTGGCGACCCGGAAGTACCGGAAAGATACTTCAGGGTTTCGCCGCTCGCGCATGCGCAGAAGTGCAAAATGACACCATGCGCAGAAATGGCGAATCGCAACCCATGTGTGCGCAGACGCGCCACTGTGGGTTGCGCTCTTTTCACGTTGCGAGCGGGCCTCCAGAACAGATCCCGTTCGCAACCAGAGGTACCACTGTAGAATAAATAATAGATACCACAACCCATGTTGGGGAAACAGAACCCTCGATGACCCAGCAGAATCAAGGGGTCCCTGCCGCCAAAGTTTCCTTCCACTCTCAGGCCCTGCGCCAGAGTTAACATTTATGCAATGCAAAGAGAAAGAGTTGTACCAGAGGACTAAGGATATCTGCACAGGTTTGCTGTTCAACATTTTAAGGAACCAGTGAAACCCAGAAACTGAAAAGCACACACACAGCATCACTGAAGGCTCCTCAAATCGGCAAAGGGTCAACGCAACCTCCTGGTTTTTCAGAAACTATTACCGAATTGTGAATTCAAGCAGCTCCTGGGTCCCCTGTGGGTCTAGGTGCTGAAGGTTGAAAACTCTTTCGAGGCTCTGCTGCAGGAATTCCTGGGAAGGGTCTTCCTGGAGGGCGAGGCCAGCAGACACAGGTGAGGACGCCAGCTTTTTCCCAGGCAACTAAGCAAAGAGAGAAAGAGGAGCCAAGTTCAGCAGATCACGTTCCACTTTGGAATTTTCTGTCTCCCCTCTGCACTTTTGCTATCCATCTTCAGTGATGGCATTTCAGTGACTGCTCCCCAGGGAGCAATCAGAGATGGAGACCACCTTCAAGACATGCCATTGTTCTTCCGAAAGGACTGCTGCAGAGCAAGAGCCAGAAGACCCATGAAAATGAGTGCCTGAAGTAGAATTTGCCCCTTCAAGCAGGCCCTGACATGTGGAAGCTCACCGATAGAAAGCGGATGGCACCCAGTCACTGGCCAATCTGTCCTGTCCCCTTTATAAAGATCTGAGGAATGAGATCATTACCCCACTCTTACTTACCATCCTAGGCCGCCCATCTGAGGCCACATGGTTCTTTCTTTTATCAGATCAAAATGATCAGACAACAGCAAAGGTTGCTAGGTTTATCAAGAGTGCAATGAGATTAAGCGCCACTATCTGAATGATAACCTTGGTCATTTGAATGCCGTTTTTACCCATTGTTGTCTTTTTATTTGTATATATTGCTTGTTTTATGTTGCCATGGCCGTTGGCTAATGCGAATAATAATAATAATAATAATTTTTATTTATACCCCGCCCTCCCCAGCTGAGGCAGGGCTCAGGGCGGCTAACAAGCAATAATAAAAATAAGCTGAATAAATACTTAAAAACAAAATTAAAATACAACATTAAAATAAAGTTTATCTATCTATCTACCCAATCACTGGCAGAAGGATGATGCAGCCCGGTGCGCTTACCAAACTCACCAGGAAAGCAAAAGCCCTCTCTCATCACTGCTCTAGGTATTCAGCTACATTTTACTCAGACACACCGAAATCAATGGGCCTAACGTAGTCATGTTCATTCACTTCAACAGGTCTCCTCTGAGTAAAACACAGCTGAATGCTGCTCTATGAGTGCAGCCTCCAGTGGTACAGTTCACTCCCCATCTCAGGACTCTACCATCTCACAGTTGTACAGATGCATCTTAGAATTCACCCACGGTGGCGTCGGAGGGGAGCCAGCAGCAAATCACACCGAGCCAGTCGGAGCTAACCTTTTATTAGCAAAAACATGACCTGCCTGGGAGTGTCAGGCCGAATGAGCACAGCAACTCATCTCCGATAGGTCTTGCCCCCAGGAAGCAGGTCCCTGCCACCCCACAAAAGTCCCTGCCTCTCCAGGGTGGCCAACGCTCTATGAACCCAGAGCAAGGCCTAACCGCGAGCTCAAAGCATGGCTGCTGGTGGGAGTTGTAGTTCAAAACATTTGAAGGGCATCAGGCAATGGAAGGTGTTCTACTAGGACCCTCGTACCTACGGGACCGCCTCTCCCGGTATGCCCCACGGAGAGCCTCAAGGTCCATAAACAGCAGCACCCTAGTGGTCCCGGGCCCTAAGGAAGTTAGATTAGCTTCAACAAGAGCGAGGGCCTTTTCAACTCTGGCTCCGACCTGATGGAACGCTCTGCCTCATGAGACCAGGGCCCTGCAGGATCTGATTTCTTTCCACAGGGCCCGTAAGACAGAGTTGTTCCGCCTGGCCTTTGGCTTGGAGCCAATTTGATTCCCTCTTTCTTTTTTCTTTTCCTTTCTCCTCCTGCGATGAGGCTACATTTTAATATTTTAATGTTTCAATATTTTAATGTTGTATTTTAATTTTGTTTTTAAGTTGTATTCATTCAACTTATTTTTATTATTGCTTGTTAGCCGCCCTGAGCCCAGCCTTGGCTGGGGAGGGCAGGGTATAAATAAAATTTATTATTATTATTATTATTATTATTATTATTATTATTACTACTACTACACAGCGTATTGTAGCTGTCTGGACCCGGAGTGGCAGCCTGCTTTGTCTTCCTACGAGCGTTAATTCTCCGAAAGCGGAACAGAAACAAACAAAACAAAACAGGAGACGCATTAACACCATTGACTGGCTTACCCGCAAGGGAGGGACGAGGTGAGAGAGACTGTCCCGAAGGTAAGCGTAGTGCCGAAAGGTGTGATCTGAAAAGAGCGCTGGCATGGTTGGGCACGATTTGGCAGCGTTGAAAATGAGAACCAGGACCGCAATGTCTGTTTGCATCACAGGTTAAGGGAAAAGAAGGATTCCAAAGCAACTGGACGCACAAGGGGGAACTTTGGAGAGAAGCTGCAAAGAGAACGCTCACAGGTAATAAAGCAAGGGTTGCGGAGCATGGGGCGGTGATCAGCAGGGGCCCATAATAATAATAATAAAATAATAATTTATTATTTATACCCCGCCCATCTGGCTGAGTTTCCCCAGCCCCTCTGGGCGGCTCCCAATCAGTGTTAAAAACAGTACAGCGTTACATATTAAAAACTTCCCTGAGCCACCAATCCAGTGTTAGGATATTGATGTTCCATTTCACCTAAGAGGAACAGATATGTGGATTGTTGCATGTCACATGTCTGTTTACATTCCAGCACAGCTCACTAGGAACTTCCGTTTGTGTATAGTTTTTGCTTAGTGCTTCCTGCTCTTAGACATGAAGGAGAGCAGACATGTTTTCTTTGTCTTGATCGACGCTGAATAAGGGACGCGGGTGGCGCTGTGGGTTAAACCACAGAGCCTAGGACTTTGCCGATCAGAAGGTCGGCAGTTCGAAGAATCCCCACGACGGGGTGAGCTCCCGTTGCTCGGTCCCTGCTCCTGCCCACCTAGCAGTTCGAAAGCACGTCAAAGTGCAAGTAGATAAATAGGTACCGCTCCGGCGGGAAGGTAAACGGCATTTTCGTGCGCTGCTCTGGTTCGCCAGAAGCGGCTTAGTCATGCTGGCCACATGACCCAGAAGCTATACACTGGCTCCCTCGGCCAGTAAAGCGAGATGAGCACCACAACCCCAGAGTCGGCCACGAATGGACCTAATGGTCAGAGGTCCCTTTAACTTTTTAACTGTTGAAAGGGCAAGCTCTCCAATTCAGATATAATGAAATATCACTCATACTTAATATAAGCACAACCACAAGGTTCCTGATTAGGCGTTTGGCTTTGCAATGTTAAATGTTAAGCCTGCTCCATCCCGTTTCTCCTTTTTGTTTAAATCAAGTCACGAGCCAAGATCTTACACGCTGACCACTAACTGTGAACCGTACATTGTAGATATTACTGCTATGTTTGTGATATACAAAGGATGTGAGAATACTTGGTCCGTTTGTATCATTTATTATTCCTATTATCCTTGTTTATAAAACCCAATCAAAATATTGTTCAAATTCTGATGTCATGGATAACCATGGTTAGTTTCTGCTTCTTGTTTGCAGCAAACCATACCGTGCTCCAAAATCAAGATCCCAAACTATAATTTAAGATATCAGACCAAAACATAGCACAAACCATAGTTTACAAGCCTATTTCAACCCACGGTTTCCAGTTCTGGTTTGTCAGTCAAGTGACAACCATGGTTCTTTAACAACGGCTCGGTGTGGTCTGGTCAGCCAAGCATTATTCAGAGGGAAGGAGAGGGGGTAGCAAAAAAAGAGGATACAAGCTGGGTCATCCATGTCAGGCTCTGGGGTGTCGAAGAAAGGATGGGTCCCTAGAAGTTCAGGAACAAGTGGAAGCACCAAAGTAGGATGTCTGCCTCCCAGGAACTTCAAGCACCTATAACACAGAGATTCAAACTGGTGAACATCTAAAAGATACAGAGGTTCCCTTTCACAATAACCCCAACACAAAGATGGTTGAGAATTTTAAGGAAACTTACTAGTCACTTGTCACCAGAAGGTGCCTGTGGTGTTTGCCCTCCTAGGGCAAGAGCGTCTCCACCCCCATCGTTCTGCCCGGACACTGAGGTCCAGCGCCGAGGGCCTTCTGGCGGTTCCCTCATTGCGAGAAGCCAAGTTACAGGGAACCAGGCAGAGGGCCTTCTTGGTGGTGGCGCCCGCCCTGTGGAACGCCCTCCCATCAGATGTCAAAGAGATAAACAACTATCTAACATTCAGAAGACATCTTAAGGCAGCCCTGTTCAGGGAAGTTTTTAATGTGTGACATCTTAGTGTATTTTTGGTCTTTGTGGAAGCCGCCCAGAGTGGCTGGGGGATGGGCGGGGTACAAATAATAAATTATTATTATTATTATTATTATTATTATTATTATTATTATTGCTGTGTGACATCATACTGGGTTCATAAGGAAAGGGTTAACTAAGTGTAAAATGACTAACCAATGGGAACCCAGGGGGCAGAGTTAACTGTGTACAGTATAAGGTTTAAGCACAGAGGTTTTTGGGAGGAGTTTTTAGGGTGGTTGAGAAGACAGTCTGGAGTTAGAAGAGACAGAGAAGATAAGTCTGTGGGTTGGGCTAGTCTGGTGTGAGAGAGTGAAAGAATTGGTTAAGAGGAGTCAGTCAAACAGTTGAGATAATCAGTCAGAAGGTATTAGGAAGGTATAGGCCGGTAAAGAAACCAAAGTTAAGATACTAGCAGGAATATTATCTGAGAAACCATAAACTTGTTAATGTTTGTAAAATAAACTTGTTTATTTGGTTCACTTTTAACAACTGTCTGGACTCAGTGTTTTACCAGAGAGTAACGGGTTGGTGGCAGCAGGGAAGAGAGCACAGTGGTGGCACAGGGATCAAGAGACCGTTAAACATCCAGGGACCCTGTGTAATCGCCACAGTGCCCAAGTGATTTAGAGCGATACACACACACACTATCATAAGGGAAGAAAAAAAGGGGGGATCATGCGATCAATATATCGTCTAATATAACATTTATGGGGAGGAAACCAAAAGCAGGACACCCGCCATATAAATAATAACGAACAGCATTATCTATACTCAAACCACAAACAAGTAAGGAAGTGGGCAAACCCCAGCTGTTTGGATATCTGAATCAGTTGCGCATGTAGTGAGCTTTGGGTATAATTCTTTGTGTTTGGAAAAGTGAATTTTTGGATAACGAGCAGGACCTGCGTACATGTGCTGTTTTTTCTAAGTTGCTTTGAGCTCCTTTTTGTAAAGAAAAAAGAAAAAGTGGCTAGCAAGTTCAGTGAATGAATGAATGAATGTGGCCCCCAGAAGAGGAGTTCACTGGTCTAAGGAAGCGGCACTTACTTCCAGATGGAATCCCTATCGGTAGGATACTTGGTGAGGTTTTTCAGGAGCTCCACCAGGGCAAGATGGATGCCTTCTTTCGTCGAGACGTTGGTGCAACACAGCAGCTCGTGGAGAGCCTCCCGGATGTCTCGGGAAGAATCCTAAAAGCAGCACAAAAAGGCACAGAATATTACAGGTGGTCTTGGGGGCACTTGCTTGTGGGTTCTACGCATAACGCCCAGAGTGGTGGGCTGCTTTGAGCGAGTATAAGGCCGCATCTTAGGTGCTAAAACCCTGGAGAGCTACTGCGTGTCTGGGCAGGCAGTATTGAGCCCAGGTGGACCAGAAGCCTGATTTGGTTTTTTATTACAGTGGTACCTCGGGTTACGGATGCAGGTGGCGCGTGGGTTAAACCACAGAGCCTAGGACTTGCCGATCAGAAGGTCGGCGGTTCAAATCCCCGTGACGGGGTGAGCTCCCGTTGCTCGGTCCCAGCTCCTGCCAACCTAACAGCTCAAAAGCACGTCAAGTAGATAAGTGCAAGTAGATAAATAGGTACCGCTCCGGCGGGAAGGTAAATGGTGTTTCCGTGCGCTGCTCTGGTTCGCCAGAAGCAGCTTAGTCATGCTGGCCACATGACCCGGAAGCTGTACGCCGGCTCCCTCGGCCAATAAAGCGAGAAGAGCGCTGCAACCCCAGAGTCGGTCACGACTGGACCTAATGGTCCTTTACCTTTACCTTTTTACCTCGGGTTACAGACACTTCAGGTTACAGACGCTTCAGGTTACAGACTCTGCTAACCCAGAAATAGTACCTCAGATTAAGAACTTTGCTCCAGGATGAGAACAGAAATCGCGCGGCAGCGGGAGGCCCCATTAGCTAAAGTGGTACCTCAGGTTAAGAACAGTTTCAGCTTAAGAACGGACCTCCAGAACAAATTAAGTTCTTAACCAGAGGTACCACTGTATTTTGTTTATTAACTTTATATACCGCCCTTCATTCAAGATCTCAGGGCAGTTCACAGAATAAAACAAAAGATTAAAACACAAGCAATAATTAAAACCAAATCAAACAATTCCACCCCCTCCCAAAAAAAAACACATTTAAAAGGCTGTGAACAATGAATCAGCCAAAGGCCTGGCTGAAGAGGAATGTTTTGCCTGGCGCCTAAAGGAGTATAATGAAGGCACCAGGCGAACCTCCCTGGGAAAGCATTCTACAAACAGGGAGCTGCCGCAGAAAAGGCCCGTTCTTGTATTGCAACCCTCCGGACCTCACACGGAGGAGGCACATGAAGAAGGGCCTTAGATGATGAATGCAGAGTGTGGTTCGGCTGCCAAAACCATATAACACCGGTCCTGAAAGACCTACGCTGGCTCCCAGTATGTTTCCGAGCACAATTCAAAGTGTTGGTGCTGACCTTTAAAGCCCTAAACGGCATCAGCAGTAGACCTGAAGAAGCGTCTCCACCCCCATCATCCAGCCCGGACACTGAGGTCCAGTGCTGAGGGTCTTCTGGCGGTTCCCTCATTGCGAGAAGCCAAGTTACAGGGAACCAGGCAGAGGGCTTCTCGGTAGTGGCACCCACCCTGTGGAACGCCCACCAGATGTCAAAGAGAAAAACAACTACCAGACTTTTAGAAGATATCTGAAGGCAGCCTTGTTTAGGGAAGCTTTTAATGTTTAATAGGTTAGTTATTGTATTTTAATATTGTGTTGGAAGCCACCCAGATGATAATGATGATGATGATGATTATATGGGGAGAGGAGGTCCTTGAGTTATTGTGGCCCTGAGCCATTTCAGGCTTTATAGGTCAAAACCAACCGTTTGAATTGGGCCCGGAAGCTAATTTGCAGCTTTCTACGTCGCTGGGAATCATGCACTTAGAAGTTAGGGTTGGCCGCAATTTGGCAGGACAGCAGAATCAGACAACCCATAAGTGGGGGGGGGGGGGAGAACTGACGCATGAGAAGAGCGAAGGGTGAGCACAAGCCCATGGCTCACTCCCAAATCCTCCAACAGTTATGGGAAGGATAGCTGCCCCTATCAGCAAGTGATGGAAAAACATGAACCCGGAGCAACCGAGGGAGAAAAAACCCCACAGCTAGGTTGAGAACAACTCGAAAAGCGGACCAAATAAAGCTCTGTCGGCAAGGGAGGAGGAACACTTGCCTCCAAGACCCCGAGGACGGTGTCCAGCTGGTCCTCCCGGAGAGTGATGTTGTTGGAGATCTTCCTCATGGTATGGATCGACTGGAGCCTCACCTCCTCGATCTCGTCGTTGAACATGTCAACCAGGAAATCGAGGCACTTCTCTGCAAAAGAGGGCGAGGACTGGGCCAGCATGCAGAGGGCCTCCACCGCAGCAATGCGGACCTCTGAGAAATGCAGAGCGAGAGAAAAAAAAGGTCAGAGCATCCGGTGTGGGCTGCCCCTATGTATTTTTGCTGGGGTTGGGGAGGACCAGGTCCTCTTTAAGGACTCCACACACACACACACACACACACACACACACACACACCCTTCTAACTGTTTTAGTCAGCAAGGATCTTTTTAAGGGGCGATATCAGCGGCAAAGCCTTCACGCACCGTACATCTCATCTTCCAGCCCGTGGACAAACGCCCCACAGGCACCCGACTCAATTAGGTTCACAGCTCCGGTGTCTACTTCTTCTTTGGGAGCGTCGTCACCCCATTTTCTGCCACTTGAGAACTCCCCGGAGCTGAAAAGCTCTTTGGCTCGTTCGTGGGCTGTGCGTTTCCGCTGCAGATGCAAAAAGCGTAAACGTCACATGCCGGAAATGGTATGCAGAGACAATTTCTTATACAGCAGTACCTCGGTTTTCGAGTGCCTCAGAAGCCGAACATTTTGGTTTTCGAACACCGAAAACCCAGAAGTAAACGCTTCCGTTTTCGAACGCACCTTGGAAGTCGAACGGCTTTCGCTGCGTGTTTTTCAATTTTCTCAACTGAACTTGCAGCCAGCTCCTTTACCTCGGTTGTTGAATATTTTGGAAGGCGAACGGTCTTCCGGAATGGATTACGTTCGACAATAACGTAAAGGTAAAGGACCCCTGGACGGTTAAATCCAGTCAAAGGCGACTATGGGGTTGCAGCACTCATCTTGCTTTCAGGCCAAGGGAGCCGGCGTTTATCTGCTGACAGCTTTCCGGTTCATGTGGCCAGCATGACTAAACCGCTTTTGGCACAACGGGACACAGTGACGGAAACCAGAGTGCACGGAAATGCCATTTACCTTCCCACCACAGTGGTACCTATTTATCCACTTGCACTGGCAGGTTTTCGAACTGCTAGGTTGGCAGGAGCTGGGACAAAGCAATGGGAGCTCACTCCGTCACGGGGATTTGAACCGCCAACCTTCTGATCAGCAAGTCGAAGAGGCTCGGTGATTTAGACCACAGCGCCACTCGCTGTTTAGGGAAGCTTTTAATGTTCTGTTGGAAGTCGCCCAGAGTGGCTGGGGAAACCCAGCCAGATGGGCAGGGTATAAATAATAAATTATTATTGTTATATTATTATTATATATGATATGCATTAACTGTCTAGATGCCCAACTAGAGCCAGCACATTCAAATGCCAAGCTATCAGGAAGCTTTTAATGTGTGATGTTCTGTTGTGCTTTTGTATATTCTGTTGGAAGCTGCCCAGAGTGGCCGGGGCAACCGAATCAGAGGGCACGGAACAAAAAAATTAAATTTGTTGTTGTTGGTTATATGAATGGTAACATAAAGTGCACACCCAAGGCCATTAACAAAACTCCACAGCAGAAGCAAGAGCAACACACAAGGCACCCAGAATCTTCAGTGCCTTCTTGTGGCGCTCATTTGAAACAGCTGCCAAAGTTCTGCAAATATCGAAAGCCATTAGTTCAGCGTTCAGTTTCTGCATGCCAAATTGCTGTGACTTAAGATGTGCGGGGAACCCTTCACCAAAGAAACCAGAATGGCCTGGGGGAGATTTACTGCAAGCTGACAAAGACTGAGCAAATGCAGCCGAGGCTCAAATTTCACTGGCTTCAACCTGCCAGAAAGCCAGCTTCTGATCTCCTGCAGACAGAGAAAAGGATCCGAGGACCATCAGGAAGGAACCTGTCGTGCAACTTTCCGGCATGCCAAGGTTAGGACACGGGATGCACAGCAGAAAGGATCAAAAATAAAATAAAAGAAGTTTCTGTACCCTCAGGTCTGACATCAGCTTCTTGTCCAGGGTCTGTTCTAAGAAGTGAGAACTAACTTGCTGCATAGAGCCCTGGGACAAAGGAGGGGAAAGAGGCAAGTTAGCAACAGGGTGATTTTGAACAAAGCACAGGTGAGATAAAAATCCTGGCTGTTAGTCCTCAGCATAAGAGATACATTGCTTCCGAACAAGGAGGGTCTATGTATCTTATTTTTTGCTCTATAAGACTCACTTTTTCCCTCCCAAAAAGGGGAAATGTGTGTGCGTCTTATGGAGCGAATGCAGCCTGCGCATCTATCACAGAAGCCAGAACATTAAAAGGGATTGCTGCTTTCACTGCGCAGCGATCCCTCTTGCTGTTCCGGCTCCTGAAATTCAGAAATTTTTTTTTCTTGTTTTCCTCCTCCAAAAACTAGGTGCGTCTTGTGGTCTGGTGCATCTTATAGAGTGAAAAATACGGTAGCTATCGGGCTAATGGCTGTTAAAAGACCTCTCCTTCTCCTTCTCCAATCTGTTTTGTCACCTTCCAAGCCAGTGGCTGTCACCACATCTCGTGGCAAAGAAATTTTTCACGTCTGTTCCGCTTTGTTCTGCCTGTCCATCCCAAGTCGACTGGCAATCAGGTTCACTTTTTAGCCATGGCACGGAGGAAAGACCGTGTGACACACAGCCCCACTTTCTTATTCCCTGTTGCCATTTGATTGGCAGCCTTGTTTCGGAAAGCTTTTAAGGTTTCATACTTCTTTTCTTTCTCTCTGCATTTTGTTGGAAGCCACACAGAGCGGCTGGGGTAACCCAGTCATACTGGCAGGGTATAAGAAATAAATTGTTGTTATTGTTTTGGGAAGGGAAACTCTCTGCTTCCCATCTCTATGTTCTTTTCACTTTTTTGAATTTTTCTTTTTTACTCCAATATATTTCCTGGCATTAGCCACCCCTCAAAATGACCCAAAAACTGCCACTCAAGCTATACCAGAATCAGGACCTCTTTCCTTCATCAAGGCAGGTTTGGGTGGGGGAGTGTTGTAGCCAATGCAGACTCCACCCAACTGAGCTTTAGGGAGAGGCTATATCAATCCATTCACAGGAGGCGGCCCAAGCTAAATCTAGAGCAGCCTTTCCCAACCTGGTGCCCTCCAGATGTTTCAGACTCCCACCAGCCCCAGGCAGCACAGCCTTAAAACAGCTGGCTAGTGGGAGTTGTAGTCCAAAAAGTGGAGGGCACCGTGTTGGCAATGGCTGCTATTACTGGGGGGGTGGTATGCCTCTGAAGGCCTGATCCTGCAGGCTCTCCTTATTCTCTTAAAGGCATTCAGACAAATTCGTGGAAGATTACTACAGTGGTACCTCAGGTTAAGAACTTAATTCATTCTGGAAGTCCGTTCTTAACCTGAAACTGTTCTTAACCTGAAGCACCACTTTAGCTAATGGGGCCTCCCGCTGCCGCCGCGCCACCAGAGCACGATTTCTGTTCTCATCCTGAAGCAAAGTTCTTAACCCGAGGTACTATTTCTGGGTTACCGGAGTCTGTAACCTGAAGCATCTGTAACCTGAAGCGTCTGTAACCCGAGGTACCACTGTACTACAGTGGTACCTCGGGTTAAGAACTTAATTCATTCTAGAGGTCCGTTTTTAACTTGAGGTACCACTTTTGCTAATGGGGCCTCCCGCTGCTGCCACGTCGCTGGCGCGTGATTTCTGTTCTCATCCTGAGTTAAAGTTCTTAACCTGAGGTACTATTTCTGGGTTAGCAGAGTCTGTAACCTGAAGCGTCTGCAACCCGAGGTACCACTGTACCGTGGGTTACAGTGGTACCTTGGGTTAAGTACTTAATTCGTTCCGGAGGTCCGTACTTAACCTGAAACTGCTCTTAACCTGAAGCACCACTTTAGCTATTGGGGCCTCCTGCTGCCGCTGCCGTGCCACCGGAGCACGATTTCTGTTCTCATCCTGAAGCAAAGTTCTTAACCCGAGGTAATATTTCTGGGTTAGCGGAGCCTGTAACCTGAAGCATATGTAATCCGAGGTACCACTATAGTAATGTCTAGCAGTCACGATGGCTATGCTCTACACCAGGGTTTCCCAAGCTTGGGTCTCCACCTGTTGTTGGACTACAATTCCCATCATCCCTGACCACTGTCCCTACTAGCTAGGGATGATGGGAGTTGTAGTCCAAAAACAGCTGGAGACCCAAGCTGGGGAAACCCTGCTACACAGTCAGAGACAGAATGCCTCTGAATACCAGTGGCTAGGAATTTCACGAGTGCAGAGTGTGCTGTTGTGGTCAGGTTTTGCTGGCGGGCTTCCCTAACTGGTTGGTCACTGTGAGGATAGGATGCTAGATCAGACAGGACTTTGGCCTGATCCAGAAGCCAGTCTCTTCTTATGTTCCAGAGGTTTCACAAACCTCTTGCATTTCATGTTCCGACGGACAGCTTGCTCTCTTTTCCGGGAAGAATGGCAGATGAAGCTGATGGATTATATGGAATTGGCGGAAATGACTGGTAGAATCCGAGACCAGGGAGAAGAGTCGGTGGAAGAAGATTGGAAGAAATTTAAAGCTTATCTACAGAAATATTCTAAAATTAATGAATGTTAGAAAGATGCTGGAAAGAAGTTATATGACTTTAGTAGAAATATTATAAAGAATTAAGTATGAATAGCTGACATTGGGCAAAGATGTAAATTTAAGTTCAAAATTTTGTTAAATTAAATTATGGAACTAAATTTGTGAAAGAGGGAAAGGACCTGCTAGAACATTTAATTGAACTAGAATACAAAAAAGGAGGTGTGAGGAAGTCGAGGAAATAAGCTAATGAAAGATAAGGATATGAAAATATGGGGCTCTTTTGTATGTTTGTCTGTTCTCTTTTGGGTTTTTTTTAATGCTTTTCTTTTCTTTTCTTTTCTTTTCTTTTCTTTTTTCTTGGTATTGTTGCTGTTTTGTATATTTCTCTCTTGTTTTTCTTTTCTTTTTTTTGTCATGTTTAAATTTTAATAAATATTTTATTTTTTTAAAAAAAAAGCTTGCTCTCTTTTCCAACAGCGTAAGGAGATGACAGGGGCAAAGGCACTTACCAAGAGTTTAGCAGCTTGTACTCGTACCACCCAGGAGCCATCACTGACCATGTGACAAATCTTCCCAAATGCATCATCCACTAGGCGGATTTCTTCGTTGGAGGAAGGGATTGGGACAATGCTGAAGGGGTGGGGAGGAAGAGAAAGAGAGACAAGGTGCTGTACCAATGTTTCATACCTAGGTTTGTTCTCAACTGCTGAACCAGGGTTGGCTGAGAGTTAAATCTTCTATACCATTCCCTACAAATGTTGTGAATGGAGAGAGGGATGGGGAATCCGACCCAACACACTTGCCCAATTCAGCTTGCGTAAATAAAAGGCATGTTTCATTAAGTGAACACCAAGTAACCAGGGCTCCATGCTGGGGAAAAACCCACAGCCAATGTACTTTTAAAATAAAGCTTTTGAACAAACCATGGTTTCCATAACATTTAGTTAAGCTTCATATACCATATGTCTGGTTTATACATTATGCTTGGCCAGTTTATTAAATCATCATTTGAGCGTCCTCATTCTGCCCAGTGGTTTAACTATGGTTTGTTTACTGCCAACAAACCACAACCTGACGCTATGAGTTGGGGCTGGATTACAAACCTTGGTTTCTTTCAACTGTGGTTTGACATCACACGCAACCCCAGAACACTCCCTTAACCATGGTTTGTTTTGCTACCTTACGCGAGATGCCGACTGAAAATGCTTAAAAGGGGCTTGAGGCAAAGAACAGCAGGAAAACAAAACAGACCGTGGAGAAATAAGTCACGGTTTGTTTGATTAACTGCAGGACGACTCTCTCTCTCGTTCTCTGACGCATGCCCACACAGCATGGAAACTCAGGAAAAAGAAAACTTTGCAGTCTTTTAACTTTACAAGACTGGTCATTACTGAACCCCACCCCTTCGTTTAGGACTGCTAGGTATTCCATGCATACCTTTCTGGATAAAGCTGACTGAGGACCCAAGTAAGCTGAACCGCAGCACTGCGAACCTGTTCGTAGTCGTCAGTTAAGAGTTTGCATGCCTGAAAAGGAAGATCTCCAGTCAGCTACCATCAACCCTAAGTCCTTCCACCAATATTTATATTGCATGCTTTATAAGAAGTTTAGTAATCTGCAGAGGTTTAATCTTCTTGCAGTCCCATGGACTGCAAGAAGATCAAACCTCTCCATTCTGAAGGAAATCAGCCCTGAGTGCTCACTGGAAGGACAGATCCTGAAGCTGAGGCTCCAAGACTTTGGCCACCTCATGAGAAGAGAAGTCTCCCTGGAAAAGACCCTGATGTTGGGAAAGATGGAGGGCACAAGGAGAAGGGGACGACAGAGGACGAGATGGCTGGACAGTGTTCTCAAAGCTACAAACATGAGTCTGACCAAACTGCGGGAGGCAGTGGGAGACAGGAGTGCCTGGCGTGCTCTGGTCCGTGGGGTCACGAAAAGTCGGACACGACTAAACGACTAAACAACAACAACAATCTGCAGGATACGAACTGGAGGAACTAGCCAATTAAAAAATACAGTGGTACCTTGGTTCTCAAACGCCTTGGTACTCAAAAACTTGGAACCCAAGCACGGCAAACCCAGAAGTAAGCGTTCCGGTTTGCGAACTTTTTTCAGAAGCCGAACGTGCTCCGTTTTGAGCGTTAGGTTTCCGATTTGAGTGCCATGCTTCCATTTTGAGTGTTACGCTGAGGTCTGGCTGTTTTTGCTATTTATTTTGCATTTTTGTTTTTGTGACTGTGTGGAACCCAGTTCAGCTACTGATGGATGGATTGTATGACTGTAGTACATTCTTTATTGCTTTCCTTTTATGGATCAGTGGTCTTGTTCGATAGTAAAATTCATGTTAAAATTGCTGTTTTTGGGGTTGTTTATAAAAGTCTGGAACGGATTAATCCATTGTGCATTACAGTCATATCTCTGGTTTCAGACACTCCAGGTTACGTTTTTTCGGGTTCCGTATCGCCGAAAGCCAGAAGTACCGGAACAGGTTATTTCCGGGTTTCGGTGGTCACACATGCACAGAAGCGCTAAATCGTGCTTTGCGCATGCGCAGAAGCGCCGAATCGCAACCCGCGAGCACGCAGACGCGCCGCTACAGGTTGCGAACGTGCATCCCGCACAGATCACGTTCGCAACCCGAGCGTCCTCTGTACTTTGTATGGGAAAGTGCGCCTTGGTTTGGGAACGCTTTTGGTTTTGGAACGGACTTCTGGAACAGATTAAGTTTGAGAACCAAGGTACCACTGTAAAAAGAAACCTGAGTCCCTGATGAACACAGGAATATTACAAGAGCCTGCTGGATCAGGCCAAAGGACCATCTAGTCCAGCATCCTGTGCTCACAGTGGCCAAAAAGATTCCTGTGGGAAACAAGGGATCAGGATTTGAACACAAGACCACTCTCCCCTCCTTTGTTTTCCATTAACTGGTAATCAGAAGCATTACTGCCTCCACAGTTGGACGCAGCAATAGCCCTTTCCTCCATTAATTTGTCTGATCCTCTTTAAAGCCATCCAAGTTGATGGCCATCACTGCCTTCTATGGGAGTGAGTTCCAAAATTTAACTATGTGTAGCGTGAATAAGGGGGACGCGGGTGGCGCTGTGGGTTAAACCACAGAGCCTAGGGCTTGCCGATCAGAAAGTTGGCGGTTCGAATCCCCGCGACGAGGTGAGCTCCCGTTGCTCGGTCCCTGCTCCTGCCAACCTAGCAGTTTGAAAGCACATCAAAGTGCAAGTAGATAAATAGGTACCACTCTGGCGGGAAGGTAAACGGTGTTTCCATGCGCTGCTCTGGTTCGCCAGAAGCGGCTTAGTCATGCTGGCCACATGACCCGGAAGCTGTACGGTGGCTCCCTCGGCCAATAAAGCGAGATGAGCGCCACAACCCCAGAGTCGACCACAACTGGACCTAATGGTCAGGGGTCCCTTTACCTTTAGCGTGAATAAGTACTCTATTCAACTCCAAACCAGTATAGCAGGGACTGGGAGCCTAAAAGCCGTACAGGATTTTTTTCAGCCTCCACACAAGCTACTCTGGAAACCCCCCCCCCCCGACCAATTTTGGCACTCTTCAGAGTGGAAGCTCTTGAGAGTCCTGCCACTTTTAGGGACCATGGCATCTTTACACACATACGCAATCCAGTAGCATAAAAGCCAAATGGTCATTCACTTTGTTGGTGGGAAGTCAGAAAAGGAGGTTAAAATCTTTTCCGCTTACTTTTAAACGAAATTATAATGCCAGGGCCTTGCATACAGGGTTGTTGGGAGTAAAAACGTAAGAGATGCTGAGCTGAACTCCGATGAGGGAAAGAGGGATGGAAGGATCATGCAATGATCGTTATTAATGGCTGCCTCACCCCCTGCACTGCTTAAAACTTAGATTATTGTTTGTCACCGGGGGAGAGAAACTTTTCATCATCTGGGTAATAATGCTGGCTAGCTTCCTATTTTGAGCTTGAGATCCCAAGATGATTAATTTGCTCACACCCAGCAACTCTCCTGTTTCAAAACAAACAAGCACTAAGCCAGCGGACGCTGCATTTCACAAGATTTTTTCCCATTGCTTGGTGGCAGGGAGAGGATTGCAAATCTGATGCAGTCATTAGAGAGCACAGATTGCGTAATTTGTGCAAAGGGTCAGCAGTCAGCTTTAATTTTAGAAAACGCGCAAGCGGGGATACCCAAGCGCCGGATAAAGAATCCTGTAGGAGCTTCCCTGGTATTATTATAACAAGGAAGTCAAGCACGGGCGGAGGGAAGACACAGGGCAAGAAATAAGAAATGGATAAATGTTGGTACGAGGGGACGCGGGTGGCGCTGTGGATTAAACCACAGAGCCTAGGACTTGCCGATCAGAAGGTCGGCGGTTTGAATCCCCGCAACAGGGTGAGCTCTCGTTGCTCAGTCCCTGCTCCTGCCAACCTAGCAGTTCAAAAGCACATCAAAGTGCAAGTATATAAACAGGTACCGCTCTGGCGGGAAGGTAAACGGCGTTTCCGTGCACTGCTCTGGTTCACCAGAAGTGGCTTAGTCATGCTGGCCACATGACCCGGAAGCTGTATGCCGGCTCCCTCAGCCAATAAAGCGAGATGAGCGCCGCAACCCCAGAGTCGGCCACGACTGGACCTAATGGTCAGTGGTCCCTTTACCTTTCCCTTAAATGTTGGTACATAATGAAATGTGAACATGCGGATTTACAAATATAATGTATAAGTATCATAAATGTATATGTATATGTAAAGATTTCATATATGTATTGCAACATTAATAATAAATAAATAAATAAATAATCCTGGAGGAGCACATATGGCACCCAGGCCGAAGGCTTGTCACTCCTGATTTTTAGTGGTGAGCTATTAAAAGAATGGGAACGGTTTAAAAATAAAGGAAGAAGAAGAAGAAGAAGAAGAGGAAGAAGCAGCTAACTTAAATTACAGTGGGTCCTCCAGGGCCCCTGGCATTTGCCTCAACATGTTGGGGGCTCGTGCTGGGCCTGCAGTGGCCACAATTTAAAAATTTAAGAAACGAAAATATCCTGAAGCGAGACTTGCGACACAGCCATCCTCCACAGCCCAGTTTAATGGTAGGGCCCCACACTAAACACACAGAACACAGTAATTACCTGGCTATAAATGGTTTGCTGCAACTTTAATCCCCTTTCATGCAGCTGCAACTGTAGGAAAAAACAAAAAAAAATGTGATTATAGTACCCAAAACAAAACATTCTTTTTAAACAATGGAGGGGTGGGAAAGATCACAAGAGGGGCAGGTCCTTAAAGGATTTGCTACTGGAGTTTAGCTATTAAGGGTATCAGCATTGGAGACTGAAAAAAAAAATTGAGTCGCAGAGATAACCTTACAAGATTATTTTCCACCTTTGCTACGAGCTCCGTCTCAAACATCCAGATCCTGCAACTGAGTCCATTATGTGCTTAAGGCTACACTCCTATGTTCATTTCCCCCCGGGAGTCAGACCCATTAAACACTGCGGCACTCGAACTCAGGCCACATGTGCAAGGTTGCTGCTTGGTCGTCCTTTCCTATGACGACTGGATGGGCATTAACAGTCGAGACTCCATCACCAGGATTTGGCCACACCTTCTCCTTATCACTCAAAGAGAACCAATTTAATATTATAATGCAGGGGTCAGCAAGGTTTATCTCGCCTGGGCCGGTTCACTCCCACGGAGATTGCTCTGTGGGCTGGATCGCGTCTGCACAGATGCGATTTCCGGCGCCACAGAAGCGAGTCCCCGCTCTGCCGGTTTAGCGCAGCATGCAGGGACTTGCCGAGCGAGCGGCTCGGTTCGGGGGCGGCTTGTGGGCCGTTTAAAAAATGACCCCCTTGGGCCGCTTGTGCCGACCCCTGTTATACCGTATTTTTCGTTCTATAAGACGCACCTGATCATAAGACGCACCTAGTTTTTAGAGGGGGAAAGCAAGAAAAAAAATATTCTGCACAGAGCACGTAAGCGGCTCTTGCTTTTCTTGCTTTAAACCCTTCCGTCCCTCCTCCTGCTTCGCTGAGAAGCCAGCAGAGCAAGAGTGATAGCTGCGCAGCGCCTCTTCTGCTGGCTTCCCAGCAAAGAGGGATGAGGGACGAAAGGGAGCCCTTACAAGGGAGCGCTGAGCAGAGCCTGGCAGTGGCTCTTACTGGCTTTCCCGGGAGGTGGGGGAAGGGACAGAGGGCAGCCCATCAGTCCCTTCCCCCACCTCCCGGAAAAGCCCCCAAGAGCCGCACGCACACTCCACACGGCTCTTTAAAAGGAGCGCTGGGCTGAGCCTCCCGTCTGCATTCGCGCCATAAGACGCACACACATTTCCCCTTACTTTTTAGGAGGGGGTAAGTGCGTCTTATGGAGCGAAAAATACGGTAATCCCTCTGACAACCTGGTCAGCACCTTCTTTTCATGGAAGGCTACCCAAGAAGGGAGTAAGAGATAGGAAGGAAGGCCAATTCCTTAAAGCGTGTTGTAAATAAAAATTGCCCTTTCCCCCGTATGGGGTATCCTAGAGCCCGTATAGAGTCCTTACATGGATTCCCTATTGGTAGGAGAGAATAACAGAGGCCAACCAGAGAATATTGAGAAGCAAAGCAGCTAGTAAGCTTGATCTTTATTGATCTGTTGCAACAGGGTGCTCCCCTCACCCACAGGAGAGAGGAGGGACCCAGAAAAATGGCATGCAAGGCCTTATAAAGACTTTTGAAATTGCCACCCTGTAGATCAAGACCACCCCCAGAAACATCATACATACATCACCAAAAAGGCGGTCTAAAACAGAAAATATGAATGTTGTTTTTCTCCTGTCGTTGTTTATCTCCTGTCTGGCAGGTTACTTGATTGGATTTCCTGGGGAGCCTGGCTAGTCTTTTGTAGTGATAAATACTTAGTTCCTGGGCCAGGTCACAGGCTCACACCCTATCTTAAATGTGCCCTTAAGACAGGATTTGTGAAGGAAAAGACAATGGAGAGGCTTTTCCATTTTCCTTTGACCTTGCAGAGAAAACATTTGGTCAGTTTGGGACAGTTTGGGAATCAAAAATGGTTCCAGGTTGGCCTTCCTGTGCTGATCTATGTATGTGCTTGGTTGGTACACTTATGAACATTTAACGTATATCTAAGACCTCAAAATTCCTATCACAAGGGGGACGACTGCCATCCCATGGCTATGCCTGCTGGCCACTCACAGTCCTCGTGGCGGCTAAATTCACCCCAGAAACACCTGGTAGACTCCAATGCGCACCCCACACTCAAGGAGGATTTTGATTTAAGAGAAGCTGAACTCAGCGCTCCCGACCCTTACCATTGCTTTTATAGCCGCAGTTCTAACCCGAGGATCCTGGTCACTGAAGTGATCCCCGATGATCTTCTGGACGTCTTTGGGAGGCTGGCCTTCGACTTCTTTTGAGGTGCCTTTTTCCACAGTCCCAAGGTAGCCAATCAGGAGGAGGCATTTGGTCCTTACCCCGTGGGAGGAATCAGTCAGATGCTGAGGAATAAGGAAGAAGTAAATGAATGAATGGATTAGCCCAGAGGTCAGCAACCTAAGGCCCACGGGCTACCCCCGGACCGAGCCGCCCACTTAGTGAGTCCCCGCGCGCTGCGCTAAACTGGTGCAGCGCAGTGCAGGGATGTTCTTCCGCAGCTCCAGAAATCGCTTCTGCGCATGCCCAGACGCTGAAAATCGCTTCTGCGCAGGCACGGTTTTCGGTGTCTGGGCATGCGCAGAAGCAATTTCCAGCGCCACAGACATGCCCAGACGCGATATCTGCCATCGCAATGTGTCGGTCCAGCTCACAAAGGATCTCCACAGGAGTGATCTGGCCCAGGCCCGGTAAGCCTTGTCAACCCCTGGATTAGCCCAAACTTCTCCTGACAGTTTGTCTTTGTTGGAGGAACCTCATGTTGAGTTCTTGTTTTTTGTTTCTTAAAATGAACCGGTTTGTTTGGGGATTCAACACTCTTGGGGACGTTGGGTCTTAAATGCAGTGGAATTTTAAGCATGTTGCCAAATTTGGGGAAGAGGGTTTTATTTTAAGCATGTTGCCAAATTTGGGGAAATCTCAGCAATAATTGGGGGGTGGTGATTGGCTTTATTAAATCTCCATACACACCCAGCAGAAAACCAGGCCATCTTACATTAAAAATAAATAAATCTCAGCAGCAATATACTGACAAAAATCTTACAAGGGTTAAGCATAGTAAAATGGCACATTAACTGAATAACTAACACAAAGGTTATGTTCTGTTTTTGGGGGGAGGAAAAAGATATATTTTTGGCAGATTTCAAAATGTAGACCAATTAAAAAAATACTGTTAAATCTGTTCCAATGGTCTTTAAAAATATCTGGATTATGCAACGTTTAAGTTATATTTGTTCAAAGGGGACATAGCCTTGGGAGAATAACGATGCAGACTTGTGAATCTATATATACACTGTCTGGTTTATTGTTTGTAGGTTGGCTTTACTTGGATTTTGTTATCTTTGGAACATTTTTGGTGCCAGAGGTTGTATGGCTGTGCAAGAAAATGAATAAAAAACTATTATTATTATTATTATTATTTTAAAAAATAAAAAAACTCTCCCCAAGCCACTTTTCCATCTCAGGTCATGCTCCCTCCCTACATTGCTCTAGGCCCTATTTTTTGCCTGGCTGCAAGTGTCCTTGAACTGTAATAATGCCTCTTGGCTGAATGGACGGAAAGGAGTGTTGGGTGGCTGCTATGTAGAGCCTCTGACTTTTGCCTGGCTGAAATGTAGCCGACTGTAAGACTTGCATCCAGTGCTCTGCGCAGCTTTTGCCTCTAGCCTGCTTACCACCCCCGAAGGGGAAAAGCAGCTCTAAGGCTGAAGGAAGCTTCGCTCCACCTAAAAATATTTCGATATTTAATAGTTCAAATTACCTTGCAGGCAACATCCACCAGGCGCATCCTCACCGCAGGGCTTTCTTGGAGCTTCTTTCCAATCACCAACAAGGTATCCAGCAGCTGAGCAAGAACTTGGTGGGACTCTTAAAAACAGTTTAAAAAAAAGAAAGTCATTATTTCATCTTGCGTTCACTCATGTCCTGGGTCTGGAGGCACATGGCCCAGCAACTACGCTCAATCTAAGCAGGTAACCATTTGATTTAATCATTTTAACTCTTCACTTGAATTTCCAAACACCATTCTGAAATATCACACAGGCTTTTTATTAATACGAAGACCAGCCTTCTAGTCTTTCCATCTGCTCTGCCAAAAGGAGAAACGCCAGTGATTCTGTTTCGTACATTTTTTACGGTACAGTCATACCTCGGGTCGCGAACACAATCCGTGCGGGAGGCACGTTCGCAACCCGCAGCGCTGCGTCTGCACATGATGTGATTCAGTGCTTCTGCGCATGCGCCGAAACCCAGAAGGACCGTATTTTTCGCCCTATAGGACGCACTTTTTCCTCTCCAAAAATGAAGGGGAAATGTGTGTGCGTCCTATGGGGGGAATGCAGGCTTTCGCTGAAGCCTGGACAGCACGCGGGGTCGGTGCGCACCGACCCCTCTCGCTCTCCAGGCTTCAGGAAGCTCTGCGCAACCCTTGGGAGACCAGCACAAAGCCGCGCCGGGCTCCCGAGGGTTGCGCATAGCTGCCTGCACTCCCGGCTTCCCGCAGCTCTGCGCAACCCTAGGGAGCCCGGCGCAAAGCCGCGCTGGGCTCCGAAAGGTTGCGCAGAACTGCCTGCATTCCGAAGCCTGGGGGGCGCTGAAGAGCGCGCCCGGGCTTCGTGCAGCTCTCTGCAAGCCTGGGGAGACCGGCGCGGCTCCCTTGCGGATAGCAGGCTGTTCTGGGGGCTGGGGTCGGGGGAAGCTCGGGCTTCCCCCACGCCAGCCCCATGCCTGGGGGGGAAATATTTTTTTTTCTCTTTATTTCCCCCCCAAAAAACTGCCACTTTTCTGAACTGGTCAGCCAGTTTCATAAGAAACAGGGCAAACCTTGGTTGCAAGCTTGCTGCAAGCCTGGAGAGAGCTAAACCATGAGCCCAGGTTCAGCCAAACACTATGGCAAGCCATGACTTAGCTCAGCACAGTAGCAGCAGGACTAGGGAGCAGCCCGGCACCTGCAATCTCCTCTCCTGAAGCCCGCATCCTCACCCATTCACACTAAACCTTGGTAATGATGTGCAAACCAAACCATTTTTCAAACAATTTTCAGGGCTAATCAATGAGGTGCCATCCAAATGCTTTTGTCTAAAACTCTCCCCATTCCTGGGTGGAGAGGCTGGGAGGTTGTCCAATTAATATGGTGAGGTCATAACCACCGGTTATCCCTGGTCTAGGCAGATACCTATAATGTGACTCAATCTAAAGCAATTTCATGCAACGATATGAAAGCAGTGTGCACGTACAACAACCCCCACCCCTAACAAAGTGAAATCTGGAAGTATTTGTACACCTCACCAGATTCCATTTGGAAAATATCACATACTCTCATTTTGGAGTGTGTTGATGGCATCGTCCAGAATGCAGTCAGGAGAAAAGCCTGGAGTCTTTGTCAGCAAACCCAGCAAGGAAGCAACCTTCAACCTCACAGAAGGATCGTTCTCCTAGGATGACAATAAGAGAAAAAGGAGGACTAAAGCCTTCACAAGCCAACCCTATCTGGGTGTGCAGTATCCATTGCAGAATTTACATAAAAGTAGACTTTCAATACGGTCCTCCTCAACCACTGTCACCTGTGCAGTAGCAAACAATACTCCCAAATTTCAACTACTTACCATTTAATTTTCGTTCCTAAAATCCCAATAAATCGATTGATTTTTGCTCCCAAGACACCTTGCGATACCGTGAGATACCGCCCCTTGGCCCTACCTTGTAATAATGCTCCAGCAAGATTCTGACCACTCCTTCCACACTTTCGGCTTCCACTGGCTTCCGAGCAAACTGAAGGAGGTACTGCAAAGCGTCCGCTGGTGAAGTTGCCTTGCACAGATCCACATGGAGTGCGGCCGACTTACTTGGTTTGGTCAGTCGGAGTTTCTTCGCTGAAATTTCCTCATGCTGCTGTTGCTGAAATATGAATGCTGTGTTAGGCTCCATTCACACACGAACAAACAAGAGCGGCAGTATTAACTTGTTCTCCACAAGTTGTTCCAGAGTAACTTCCTTGTTGCTGTTATTATAGCTTCACGCTATTTCACTTGTCTACAACATCCTAGGAGCCTTTAGGAGCTCACCAAATTGGGGAAACTGTGGGAAAGGGCTATACCCTGAGCCCGGCTTCGGCTGGGGAGGGAGGGATATAAATAAAATTTATTATTATTATTACCGTATTTTTCACTCCATAAGACGCACTTTTTTCCTCTTAAAATCTACGGGGAAATGTCTGTGCGTCTTATGGAGCAAATGTGTGGTCTCTGGGGCTGGGGGGGGAAACCCGGGCTTCCCTCGCCAGCCCCACAAGCGCGGGGAGCAGCGGAAAGGCTGCGCGCAGCCTTCCTGCTGCTCCCCGGTGCTGGCGGTGAGGGAAGCTCGGCTTTCCCCACTGCAAGCCCCACAAGCTCGGGGAGCAGCGGAAAGGCTGCGCTCAGCCTTTCTGCTGCTCCCTGACCTGCTCTTTGGGGCTGGTGGTGGCTTTCCCCAAAGAGCAGGTCGGGGAGCAGCGGAAAGGCTGCTCCCTGAGCTTGTGGGGCTGGCGGTGGGGGAAAGCTGTGCTTCCCCTACTGCCAGCCCTGGGGAGCAGCTGGAAGGCTGTGTGCAGCCTTTCCACTGCTCCCCGATCTGCTCTTTGGGTCGAGCAGCTCTGGGGTAGCCCGCGAAGCCTCCGCAGGGCAGCGGGGAGCCTTCATCCCGCTGCCCTGGGGAGGCTTCGCGTGGCTATCCCTGGCTTTTGCGGGAGGTGGGGGGAGGGACAGAGCGAGGCTCTCTCACTTCCCCCACCTCCCGCAAAAGCCCCCAAGAGCCGCATATTTTCTTTTCTTGAATTCCCCCCCCCCCAAAAAAAAGTAGGTGCACCTTATGGAGCGAAAAATACAGTATTCATTAGATTTGTACTTTGCTGCCCATTAAGAAAGTCCCAAAGTGGGTTACAATAAAAATACAACACATCTGTCTGGATTTTCACTTTTCACTAACCCTACCTTTGCCTGGTACTGAAACAATGACAAGGCTGGCATCAGGTGAGCCCCTCTGGTAAGAACATTAAATAAATTGGGGAATGGGGAGCTGCCACAGAGAAGGGCTGCTGCCTTTCAAAGGTAGCTCTCAAAACAAGAGGTTTAAAAAAACCCTGAATGCCAAATGTTACAGTGTCACATTCCAAGACTTGGAGGAGGGATCCGATTTCATTTCTTGATGAGCAGCTTCTGAGCTCTCAAATCATTTGCCAGGCAGAAATCCAACAGATAAAGCTTTCCCAACATGCAGACAGAGGCAATTACCAGAAATGCATCATTTCGCCTGCAGGTTTTCCGCTCATCACACAACTCCCAAGAAATCAGCTGGCAAATTGTAAGCAAGCGTAACGAACCTGCAACCTACCCAGAGTGCCTCTCTCTGCATATTAGCTTCTCAATCGTTGCCCCTTAACATTATTTATTTACCGACTGCATTTATGCCTCGCCTTTCTCCTCCAAGGAGCTCCAAGTGGCATGCACAGTTCTCTATCAGCCTCATTTAATTATTATTATTAGGCCAAATTCTGTGCAACTGCCATAAAACTTAGGGAACAAGCTGTGCTACCATAATGACTAAGGCCTTAAATGACAATTTTGGGTTACAGTGGTATCTCAAGTTAAGAACTTAATTCGTTCTGCAAGTCCATTCTTAACCTGAAACTGTTCTTAACCTGAGGTACCACTTTAGCTAATGGGGCCTCCTGCTGCTGCTGTGCCGCCGGAGCACTATTTCTGTTCTCATCCTGAAGCAAAGTTCTTAACCCGAGGTACTATTTCTGGGTTGGCGGAGTCTGTAAACTGAAGCATATGTAACCTGAAGCGTCTGTAACCCGAGGTACCACTGTATATTTTAGTGATAAGATTTAGTTTATATATTTTTAACTGCTGCTATATCTGTATTGGGACGCGGGTGGCGCTGTGGGTAAAACCTCAGCGCCTAGGACTTGCCGATCGCATGGTCGGCGGTTCGAATCCCCGTGGCGGGGTGCGCTCCCGTCGTTCGGTCCCAGCGCCTGCCAACCTAGCAGTTCGAAAGCACCCCCGGGTGCAAGTAGATAAATAGGGACCGCTTACCAGCGGGAAGGTAAACGGCGTTCCGTGTGCTGCGCTGGCTCGCCAGATGCAGCTTGTCACGCTGGCCAAGTGACCCGGAAGTGTCTGCGGACAGCGCCGGCTCCCGGCCTATAGAGTGAGATGAGCGCACAACCCTAGAGTCTGTCAAGACTGGCCCATACGGGCAGGGATACCTTTACCTTTACCTTATATCTGTATTGCCCCTGTTATACCCAATTGTAAATTCAAATGTAGCCTTATCATGTTTTATGACTTCCCTGATATTGTGTGTGAGCTGGAACTTGTCTGTGACAGAAATGAATAAATTCTATTATTATCATCATCATCATCATCATCATTATCATTATGAATTTACTAGCCACTTTTCATCCTTCCCAGGCTAACCCAACTCGACTTACAAACAAACAACAGGCCCCACGTAGAAACATTAAGGCCAAGAGGAAAAACAAATGCACTGAAAACATCCCTCCCACTTCTAAGAGGCCATCGTTTAATCCTTACAACAACTCTGTGAGGTAGGGTCAGGATGAGAGGCGAGAGCAGCTACCTCCCCCCCCACCCGCACCGAGGTCACACCCAGTGAGCTTCGAGTGGGAGGATTTGAACCCAGGACCCGAAGGCCGCCACTCTAACCACTGCGCGACATTGCCCTTGCCGTGGATGGGAGACGAAGAAGCTTTGCAGGTTTCGCCCCATCCTCCCCTCCCCACCCCACTTCCAAGGCCTCGCCGGTTACCTGGACGACCACTTTGCTGAACTCTTCGTACACCCGTTTCTTCAGGTGCGCCGCCATGATGGTCTTGCGATTTCGCTTTCCGGCGCCGGCTGAGCCCCGCCGGCCACCGTCCTCTCCCTTTTTCCTTCCTTCCCTCCCGCGCCGAGTATAAGTCAAAGAGATGAGGTTCTTAAGCCTTCCGCCCTTCTACTTCGGGCTTCCAATCGCAGCCATCAGACTCCTCCGCGTGCGGAGGCGAAGAGAGGAGGAAGCAAATGGGGAAATTCTTATATATCCATGTTAAGAATTCGAGAAAAGCCGGAGAAGGCTTGAAAGCTCGCAGGGGCCGTTGCACCAAGGAAAGACGTGAACGTCCCAATTAATCTGCCTCTGCCCAAACTCACAAAGCTTTTTTTTTTTTAAGGCGAAAGGCATGATTATTGGAAAATCATTTGCAAAGAAACCTTCAATTCCTTGGCTGTTTCAGGCAGCGCTCTAAGCTCCTTCTGGATACCTGGTTATTTTTTTTTTATATGTTTGGTGGCTCCTATTTAGCAGCCACCACTCTTGCCCCGCAAGAGATTTAGTGCATGCGATGAGGACCCGGAAGTCTCTATAAACATAAGTCACCTAAGACTGTAGCCCCTTGTTGGGCAAACAGACTGTAGGCTCGGAAGCCGCAAAAAGGGGCGGGGCGGACGGAGAGGGGCGGGGCCAGCCTTTCCTGGAATACTGTACTGGCTTATGCGTGGGTAGAAATGGAGGTTGTTGTGATGTAAGGGCGCTCTGCACATGCTCAAAGGCACTGATTTGTTTATTTGCTTGCTTGCTTGCTTTTAGATCCTGCTACGTAAGGGATCAAATTTTTAAAGGGAGACAGAAATAAGAACATCAGAACGGCCCCTGCCTAATAATAATAATAATAATAATAATAATAATAATAATATTTTTATTATTTATACCCCGCCCATCTGGATGGGTTTCCCTTCATCAAGTCAGTGGCCCACCTAGACCAGCATCCTGTTCTCACGGTGGCCCAACTAGAGGCCTGCAAGCAGGACCTAAGTGGAGGGAGAACATTAACAAATTACTTTTATAAAATAGAAAAAAATGCTGTTATGAAATGCCAACATGTTTTGGTAATGGCATTCTTCAGCAACACAAGAGAGCTGGTTTTTTGCCTCCAGGGCCTCTGATAACAACAATTTACTTTTTTATAAAACTTTTTTTCAGTCCCATGTTGAGGTTTTGCCTCTATATTTTATTTTATTTTAGTTTCCTAGCATGTGATGCTTTCTAGCCCCTCCCCCCAATTTAGAGTGGCATTTAAGGTTAGGGTGGTAGGATTTGAATCCAGCACCTGAAATGACTTGAATTAGAATAAAGAAGTAAACTAAAGTGAATGAATACTGGACTGTATCACTTCATACTGTGTGAGAGAGACAGTGTCGTAATTTCTAGTACTGTATGTTGCTGGGAAATTGGAAGGTAGGGGGGAGATCTCTCACATGAGCCTTGCACATTACCAAACCAGTCACTCACACACATACCACACAGGTATTTCCCTGTCTTTTCACTTGTGAAAAACCTAATCCTCTAGTGTCAAGAGAAAAATACAGAAACATATCTGCAAAGGCATTGTATCTGCAAGGGAAGCTCAGCTCAGGAGGCTGTGACTCCTTGCTGAGCCCCAGGTCTCCAACAAAGGGAAAATGTCAATACCAAATGCAGCAATTCACTGATAAATGTATCTATGTACTGGCTATGTATGTTATTCTATGAGAAAACTTTAGAAATTCATAAGAAATCATCAATCTTCTCAGTTCCAATGGCATTTAGGACCCAGGGACGTGAGATATAAGGGGTAAAAGGTAAAAAAAGATAAAGGTAAAGGACCCCTAGGCAGTTAAGTCCAGTCAAAGGCACCTATGGGTTGCGGCGCTCATCTCACTTTCAGGCCAAGAGAGCCAGCGTTTGTCCACAGACAGCTTTCCTGGTTGTGTGGCCAGCATGACTTAATCGCTTCTGGCGCGACGGGATACTGTGACAGAAGCCAGAGCGCACAGAAACGCCATTTACCTTCCTGCCATGGCGGTACCTATTTATCTACTTGCACTGGCGTGCTTTCGAACTGGTAGGTTGGCAGGAGCTGGGACAGAGCAACAGGAGCTCACCTCGTCGCGGGGATACGAACCACTGACCTTCTGATTGGCAAGTCCAAGAGACTCAGTGGTTTAGACCACAGCGCCACCCGCATCCCTGATATAAGGGGAGGGGTTACTGAGCCCATCATAATCCCATAGATGTACATTCAAGTTTGCAGGACCTTCCCAAGGAGTCATGTCTGGTGATATCCTGCCCCAAGAGTGTCAGACAGATAACCATCTCAATCACAACGCCTTCCCACCCCACAGTGGGACGAAGTCCGGACAAGACAAAGGAGTGTATCTGACTTGACTCAGGGACCAGGGAACTTTAAATACTTTCCTTTGTACTGTGATGGAGTAAGTTTGAAATACTATATTTGAGTGACAGGGGCATGCCTGGCTCTTAGGTTCTACCTGAGATCACACCTTTTCTGTGACATATCTAGGTAAAAAGGTAAAGGACGCCTGGACAGGATTGCAGCATTCATCTCGCTTTCAGGCCGAGGGAGCCGGCGTTTGTCCACAGACAGCTTTCCGGGTTGTGTGCCCAGCATGACTAAACCGCTTCTGGTGCAACGAGACACCGTGATGGAAACCAGAGTGCACAGAAACACCGTTTACCTTCCTGCTGCAGTGGTACCTATTTATCTACTTGCACTGGTGTGCTTTCGAACTGCTAGGTTGGCAGAAGCTAGGACAGAGCAACAGGAGCTCACCCCGTTGCGGGGATTCAAACCGCCAATATTCTGATCAGCAAGCCCCAGAGGCTCAGTGATTTAGACCACAGCACCACCCGTGTTGGTGCTGGAGGAGACTCGAGAGTCCCATGGACTGCAAGAAGATCAAACCTATCCATTCTTAAGGAAATCAGCCCTGAGCGCTCACTGGAAGGACAGATCGTGAAGGTGAGGCTCCAGTACTTTGGCCACCTCATGAGGAGACTCCCTGGAAAAGACCCTGATGCTGGGAAAGATGGAGGGCACAAGGAGAAGGGGACGACAGAGGACGAGATGGTTGGACAGTGTTCTCAAAGCTACCAGCATGAGTTTGAGCAAACTGCGGGAGGCAGTGGAAAACAGGAGGGCCTGGCGTGCTCTGGTCCAAGGGGTCAGAAAGAGTTGAACACGACTAAACGACTAAACATCAACAAACCACCTGTGCCCTCCCTGTTACATATATGATGTCTTGATTATGTATTATAGGAAACTTAGGGAAACTTTAAAATACTGATGTAACCATTGTTCAGGGCTTCTGGCTGCTTCGTCTTTGTCTTAGTGGGAAGTCTTGTTGCAACAATAAAGATCAGGCCTACTGGCTGCTGTTTTGCTTCTCTCTCCTGGCTGAAGTCTCTTTCTTGTGACCCCTGAGCTGAACCTATGGGAGCCAACGTTAGGCAATTGTGGGGTGCTCAAAGGACTCCCTGTTACAGTACTTCGCATAAAAAGGACCCCACATGCAGAAAACAAGGGTATGGCAGAGGGAAATTGAGAACAGGCACCTCCCTGATGTGCTAGTCTTCTACATGCAGAAAGTTGTGTGTGCTTTTAAAATGTGTTGAAGCCCTGAAAAACGCACCTCCACCTGTCTGCAATGATAAACTCTGTCTTCTTCCCCTATCCCATAATTCTATATAACTTGCAGAGTGGCTCAAACTTGGACCTAAATTAAATGTGACACCAGGTGAGCAGGAACAGATCTTGCTCAGTGTCCAGCACAGAAGGCTTCACACTTAATTAGAGCTATTTGTTTTGGATGTTGTATGTGATGCCAATAAAGGTTTTATGATACAAATTAGAGCTATTGGTTGTAACCAGCACTGTGCAAGAGGAATTACACGATCATGCAATGGGACTTCACCTTCCTCTCGTCTCTCTGCCCTCCCCCAGGTTTCGAGGATACATTGGGGGGGGGGGAAGCTGCAGAGAAAAGGAGGGGCAGTTTTCGTTGTGTAAGTATAAGTCTGTTGTGCAAACAGAACAGCAAACACATATTCCTGGTAGGGGAGGGCCTTGGGCAAATTGTCAACCATGAACCCAGAAGAAATTGCCATGCAGATAAGTATGAACAGTGGTCATTATGAATTTAATAGTGGTCATTCACACACGCACGTGCAAAAAATAATAATGCCAGCTTATTTATTTATTTATTTGCACTTATATACCACTTAATATTCCAAAAATCTCAGTTGCGACTGTAACATACGACATCCTAGCACCAGTGAATTCAATCCACAAGCGATAGCGTGGAACCTCTTGGTGTGTTGTAAAGTTCACGTTGCAATCTCCGTTGCAAGTTCCTTCATGCACGAAGAGCCACCTTCAGGACAGTTACGAAGTTTCCTGGGAAGTCATAAAAAATGCTTCCCGCACTGCTTTTTCAATATTAGTGTCTTCACAGATAACATTAGTGTCTTCACACAGATAATATTGCATCCTAACCCATATTCAAGTTTCAAAAGTTCCTAAACACCTGAATCCACACCCTCACCTGCTAGATATATTGTTGCCCTTGTGTGTTCTGTTCTGCAGTATTTTTGCTCTTATAGCTGCAGAAACCTGCAACGTCTTTGCATACACATTTATGTAAAGCACTCCCCCTGCCCACCCAGGAATTCTGGGAACTTTAACTAAAGGGTGCTGGGAATCATAGCTTTGTGAGGGTAAACACAGGCATCTTTGGGAGGACAAAACACTCTTTAAATGCACTCTAAATGTACTGTGTATACGCAGCCTTTTGCAGAACAAAGGCATCTTTGGGAGGACAAAACACTCTTTAAATGCACTCTAAATGTACTGTGTATACGCAGCCTTTTGCAGAACAAATAAATGCCAATTAAGCGATACAGATATGCAGTGCTATGACGGAAGACAGCACTCGAGTTTAAAAGTAAACATGAAGTAATCCAAGGCATGTGATTTGTTCAAATATCCCTAAAGAACAAGGATACTAAATCGAGAAGCTGCCTTGAATCTCAAAAATAAATGCAAAGGGTGTTTATGAGGGCTAATATAGCAGAAGTGCTGGTGGCAGATCGGGGGGGGGGGGCAATAGACCACAAAGAGAATTTCCAAACTATTACTATTTTTGGGTAGGGTTCAATCACATACTGGCAGCTGCCCCCCCCCATCAAGTAAAACAATAGGAATACTGAACTAACTGACTAATGTTTGTTTTCCTTCCCCCTGCCCCACCAACAATTTTATGTCATTGGTTCTGGGTTTCACTAGTGGGGACACTAGTGAAAGTGATGGCTGGTTCAGGCAACCAGAAAGAAGTGCTATTCACACAATCACCCACTCTTCAGAACTCATTGCCACAAGAGTCATCCACTAGCTGGGAAAAACCAGAAGATGGTGTTGCAGGAATTTATGTCTAGGTTGGAGGGGGGTTGCCCCTCCAGCAGATATCATGCACATGCAGCCCACTACCAAAATCAGCACAATCACTTTTGTGACTTGTCCCCACAAAACACTTGGTCACAGTTTCTTCCTATCTATTCAAAGGGCCTTTGCTGCACGATACCAAATCTAAGGCTTCACTGATAAATGTATCTCTGTACTGGCTCACTGGAAAACTTCAGAAATTCATATAGACATGTGAGCTCAGCTACTCAGCAGCCCCTCTGCCTGAGTGATAATTCCTGGCATCCTGATACCTGAGTGCCAGACAGGTAGCCATTCCAGAAATAACAAACCCAGATGAAGACAAAAGGGTGTGATTAACTTGGCTGGGAAACAGGGAAATGTAAATATCTCTTTTGTTACACTTGATGGGTGTTTGGTGGAGGGCAAGGGGAACCATGGGGCAGGGTCCAGGATGCTCAGATTACTGCCACCAGACCTCCCCTTTCATGATGTAACCATGATGTAGTTTGGGGGGGGTGTAACATGGGGATTAGCAGCTAATAAAAGTTTGGGGGCTCTTTTGTTCAGGGCTTCCATCTTGTTCCACCTTGTGGCAGGTGGGAGTCCTGTCCTGACAGTCTTCAATAAAGACCAAGCCTACTGGCTGCTGTTTTGCTCTGGTCTTCCTGGCTGGTGTCCTTGTTTTTTGTCCAAGGGAGCCCTCAGATTTCTCCATTAACAATGGAAATACGTTCCCAGTTCCTATTTGACATTCTTCAAAAGCTGCTCCTAGGCATGTTTACGAAGAGGGATGTGCTTCTTACCTACCGAGTTTGCATATGATTACAGCTTTATTACCTTATTTAATCCAGAGGTGCAAATGCAGCCAATATGAGGGCTCTGTAGAGCTCTCCAGTCTTGAAATAAATGTTCAGACTGCCCCTAAAGAATACATTCCTCAAACAACCAGAAAGCTGTTCCCCTGTGTCAGGTGCTATATGCTGATGCACACAGCCACAAAGTCTATTTGTGCACCATGCGCTCTTGTCCTCTCCCTGGTACAATACAGTCAAAGAGCTGGGAGTCTATCAGCTCTGAGCCCCACAAAAAAATAACCTTCGGGCCACGGCACACCATAAATCCAGACCACAGGCAATCTGTCCCCTGTGAACTGAGAATCCACTGGAAAAACAATCTCTCAAAGGACCTGTTGATGGCATTTTACCATTGTACTGTGGAGAGTGTATTAACTTATGGTCTGTGTGTGTGGTTTGGGAGCTGCACAGTCAGGGAAAAAACAGTGCTGTCCAGGGTTGTAAAGACTGCGGAGAGAATAACTGGGTGCACTCTTCCCACCTTGGATCAAATCTGTGCTTCCGAGTGCCATAAGAAAGCTGCAGAGATAGCGCAGGATAGTGTGCACCCCGGAAATTATCTCTTTCAGCTTCTGCCTTCTGGAAGAAGGTACAGGGTTATAAGGACTAGGACTAACTGCCTGAGAAACAGTTTCTATCCAAATGCGATTTTGGTTTTAAATGCAGTGTAAGAAGTCTCTATGGGAGTGTACTGTATTTTAAAAATGGGGTATCAGAGCTTTTAGGGGGCTAACTAGGTTGGGATAGCTGGGATAGCAGGCTTGTTGGTTTTGAATGTCTGATGTAGATTTTTTTCCCCAATTTCGTTGTTCTGTATGGAACAATGACAATAAAGATTATTGTATCATATCATATCAAACTGTAGTACAGGCAACTCCCCATATACACATGTTCAATATGTGTGTGACCACACAAATATGCATTGCACCAAAAAGGGGGCAGGGTGGTGGCAGAACAGGGTGTTTGCAGGCTTTTTCAACGGTGTTTCAAATACAGTCAAACCTTGGTTCCCAAACGGCTTAGTTGCCGAACAAATCGGCTCCCGAATACTGCAAACTCGGAAGTAAGCGTTCCGGTTTGCGAACGTTTTTCAGAAGCCGAACGTCCGACGCAGCTTCCGCTTGAGTGCAGGAAGCTCCTGCAGCCAATCGGAAGCCACGCCTTGGTTTTTGAACCGTTTTGGGAGTCGAATGGCCTCCTGGAACGGATTAAGTTCAAGAACCACTGTATATGCTGTTTCAGTGCCTGTAAACTGGGAGCTGCCTGTATTTTCCTTGCAACAGTACGAATCCAGGTGGAAATTGCAGGAGAAGCAGGTGAGATAGATTTAGCCAAGATGCATGACTCTGAATCAAGGCAAATTAACTCCAGTCGGACTTGGGAACGAGGAAATCCACCCTTGCCCCAAATGTGTTGGGGATATTCTGCTCTGCTCAGACCTCACCTGGAGTACTGTGTCCAGTTCTGGGCACCACAGTTCAAGAAGGACACTGACAAACTGGAACGTGTCCAGAGGAGGGCAACAAAAATGGTCAAAGGCCTGGAAACAATGCCTTATGAGGAACGGCTAAGGGAGCTGGGCATGTTTAGCCTGGAGAAGAGGAGGTTAAGGGGTGATATGATAGCCATGTTCAAATATATAAAAGGATGTCACATAGAGGAGGGAGAAAGGTTGTTTTCTGCTGCTCCAGAGAAGCGGACATGGAGCAATGGATCCAAACTACAAGAAAGAAGATTCCACCTAAACATTAGGAAGAACTTCCTGACAGGAAGAGCTGTTCGACAGTGGAATTTGCTGCCAAGGAGTGTGGTGGAGTCTCCTTCTTTGGAGGTCTTTAAGCAGAGGCTTGACAACCATATGTCAGGAGTGCTCTGATGGTGTTTCCTGCTTGGCAGGGGGTTGGACTCGATGGCCCTTGTGGTCTCTTCCAACTCTATGATTCTATGATTCCATCTGTCGGGCTGCCAACAGGAGCAAAGCTCTCAGGTCATTCCAGCAGGCAATATTATCAGCAGCTGAGGTCCACTTACTTTGAAGCACCAACCCATTGGATATAAGAACATAGGAACCTGCCTTATGCCAAATCAGACCATTAGCCCCTCTAGCTCAATATTTGTCTAAACTGACCTGCAGCAGCTTTGTGGAGTTTCAGGCAGGGGAAATTCCCAGTCTTGCTCAGAGATGCCACCGAGGACTGGATTTTGCAGGTGAGGCGTGGGATCTACCACTGAGCTATAATAATAACAATTATAATAATAATAAAATTATTATTTATACCGCACCCATCTGGCTGGGTTTCCCCAGCCACCCTGGGGCGGCTCCTAACAGAATACAGTGGTACCTCGGGGGTTAAGTATGTAATTCGTTCCGGAGGTCCGTTCTTAACCTGAAACTGTTCTTAACCTGAGGCACCACTTTAGCTAATGGGGCCTCCTGCTGCCGCCGCGCCGCCGGAACACGATTTCTGTTCTCATCCTGAAGCAAAGTTCTTAACCCGAGGTACTATTTCTGGGTTAGTGGAGTCTGCAACCTGAAGTGTATGTAACCTGAGGTACCACTGTATTAAAAACATGATGAAAGATCAAACATTAAAAACTTCCCTAAACAGAGCTGCCTTCAGATGTCTTCTAAAAGTCAGGTAGTTGTTTATTTCCTTGACATCTGATGGGAGGGCATTCCACAGTGTGAGCGCCACCACCGAGAAGGCCCTCTTCCTGGTTCCCTGTAATCTCACTTCTCACAGTGAGGGAACCGCCAGAAGGCCCTCGGAGCTGGACCTCAGTGTCTGGGCTGAATGATGGGGGTGGAGACGCTCCATCAGGTATACTGGGCCGAGGCCCTTCCCACTGGCTTTCCGCTACCACCAAGTGAAGAGAAATTTGTAGAAGTAGTCATTGGATTTGAAGCGGAAGCCCTTTTCCGGAACATAGCCCTGGAGAGAGATCTTGTACCCTTTGGCCTCCACGTCAATCTTGATGCAGTCGAGTAGGTCAGAAATGCCGGGAGAGGCTTTCCAGGGTCCAAATTTGACCACCGATTTCTTGTAGGAGTCCAAGCCGTTGAGGGTGTCGTGGCACTTGACGACATCCTCATCGGTCTTCATCACGCACACCATGACGCTAGATTGCCGGGCCGCCACCGCCTCTGCCCTCGCGATGCGGATCATCAGCTCGATGTTCTCGTTGTAGCTGGGCACGCGGGCAAGGAACTGTTTCCTGGCCACCAGCTCCCCAAAGATCTGAGGAGAGTCCTCCAGCTGCTTGACCAAAGGCTCGATGTCGTAAAAGAGGGCTTCCTTGTACACCTCCTGGACGCAGTTCGTGGGCACCTGGTTGCTGCGCAGGTATTCCAAGATGTACTTGAAGTAAGTCCCGGGCCGGTCTATGAAATATCTTCCCTCGGGGTCCGTGCGGGGCTTGGTCTGTCCACTGGCAAACATCTCAGCCAGCTTGGAACCAGGGTGCTTCTTCAAGGTGCTTAGGGTGGTGGTGAATATCTCCCCGCCAACATTGAGCTCTATGATTTGAGACTGCTGGAAACAAAGAAAAGGAAAGCAAGGTGATATCCAGGGAAGGAAGGATGGATCTGTCCACTCTGATTTCTCACTGTTTATCATTTTTCCAATCTTTAAGTTCATTAACACAGGCTTTTGGCCCTTATTTTGGAGGGTAACCAAGTATGCCTGGGGTCTCTTGCACACCTGCTTTTGCAAACCCTCCAACATTTCTCTGATGAAAATAGGGATGTCCTATTCCATAATAATAATAATTTTATTATTTCCCTTTCTTTCCCCAGGGCTACAACAGTTTAACAAGAAGGTACAGCAACTCGGGCTGTCAGTGGAAATTTTGCGATCGATGTCCCTACCATCTGCAAAGGCTATAATAAAAACTAAGTTGTGGGATACTGAACACTAAGAACTAACAGTAGCAGCAGAGAAAACATGTTCCCCTCTTTATTTTCAACTTTCTTGGGCCCATGAAACTAACCATAATTACCTTGAATTTCTGCTTAACCCTCAAGAAAGGAGGGCATTTTCACTGGCCAGATTTAATTCAAATCCATCCAATCTCCTTTGGGGAAGGTTCTCAGGCAGGGTGGAAAGAGAAAGAACTTGCCCATGCGAAGACCACCTGGTGGAAAACCTTACACATATGGTTCTCAGTTGTAAACTATATGCTGATCTCCGCCAGCGATTTCTAGATCAACTCTGTATCCCCAAATGGAAACCAGAGTCGGAGGTCATACAATTTCTATTCCTGGGGAATGATCAGGAGCTCACCAAGTTAGTGGCTAAATATCTCTATGTGGTTTTTTGTCGCCGAAATACACTGCAGACGTCTGATCTCCCTGGAGACCTAGAGATGTGACAACAGACTTCTCTGCCTCCTTTCTTTTAGCAAATGTTTTGTGCCACTGGGGAAGTGGTAATTCTGTATTGATTGGTTTTGCTTTGGATGTTGTATGTGATGCCAATAAAAGGTTTTACAAATTTATACTCCACTGGCATTGCCCCAGCTACTCTGGGCGGCTTCCAACATATATAAAAACATAATAAAACATTAAACATTTAAAAAACTGCCTTCAGATGCCTTCTAAAGGTTGTATAATTACTTATCTCCTTGGCTCGGGGGTCGCATGACTCTATAGCCTCCAACGTTTCTCCGATGAAAATAGGGACGTCCTAAGGAAATGCGGGACATTCTGGGATCAATTCAGAAACCAGGACAGCTTCTGTAAATCCAGGACTGTCCCTGGAAAACAGGGACAGTTGGAGGGTCTGCTTTTGGTGGGGTGGACCTGTCTTTTTCTAAATATTTATGGATGAGCATTTTGCGTTCTTGGGTTGTTGTTTTTTAAAAATATCTTATTAATAAACAAAATAAATCAAGGATGAAGAGCATGATGTAATACTGTTACCGCAGGTTGAAAGCATTAACGTTGAAACGTTCGAAAGCATTTTAAAGAAATACTGTACTCATTTCCCCATAAACCTGTTAGGCTGGTTAATAGGTATATTTTTGTAATAAGGTTAGCTTAATCATAGTTACTATGAAGCCAAGGTTCTTGCTTTATTCATGTTCTTATACTTGCTTTTTATGGTTTGTTTGTTTTTTGCTATTTCTGTTCTTACATTGCTACTCGTTTTGAGACACTTTCATGTGAAAAGCAATGAATAAATACAATATAATAATAATTATAATAATGGCAGAACAAGGACTCATGCAGACTTCCATTTGTGCCACAATTTTTTGTCCCGCCGCTTTCCCTGAGAAAATCCTCTGCTGAATGGGAACAAACGTAAATCCGTGGAAACACCCATTGATATTTGTTCCGATTCAGTGGTAAACAGAGGGTTTTCCCAGGAAAAGCGGCAGGACAAAAAAAAACCCCACCCTCTCGTACCTGAGCCTGGAAATCATGGCATAAACAGAAATCTGTTTATAAATGAAATAAATGAATAAAACAGAACCAGATGAGCCCTGAGACACATCACTGTCGCATTGAGGGCTCACCCATTTACCCCTGCTCTGCGTTTCTAGATGCAGGAAAACCCACTTTTTATCGCTGAACAGCAGATTGTTTTTTGCTCAGATTCAGTGGGAAACTGCGGGTTACCCCAGGGAAAGCACCAGAACAAATGGGGAGGAAACACTCTGAGAAAGCCCTGGAAAGCCCATGCCTGTGGAGGAAAGGTTGGTGTGGATGATGGTCTCTGACAGGGCCGGATTTAGGTTTGATGAGGCCCTAAGCTACTGAAGGTAATGGGGCCCTTTATACGTCCAGCTGTCCTTTGTCAGCAACAAATTTCTGCTGCTTTTTTGTGTGTTGAATATATGCTATATGGTAATTTATGGACCTAATAGGTATCTCAAGCCATTTGCACATGTTGCCATGCAATCAGTCCATGCAGAATGGAGGCACCCTATATATAGAAAGGAGCGAAACAGTGATATTTTAGGGAGCAGGCTAGCAGGCGGGGCCCATGACTTACATCAGGGATGTCCAACTCCCAATAGTCTGTGATCTACTCACAGTATAGAAAAACTGGCAGTGATCTACCCACTGCCGTAAAAAGACTGGCAGTGATCTAGCCAAAGTTGTGGAGCTTGAGCTTTTTTTTTTAGGAAGACAGAGTTGGGTTTTTTTGTGAGGAGATCGCTCAGGGGCCAGAGATCAACCAGGATCTACCAGGAACACCCCGTGATCTACCAGTAGATTGCGATCTACCTGTTGGACATGCCTGACTTACATCATAGGAGCCTGCACAACACAAAACACTCTTGCTCTATGTAGGTTTTATTTTACTTGTTTTTTATCTTATATTTTGGAAATGTACATCCATTTTTTCCCTTTAATTTTTTTTGGGGGGCCCCCAAGAGAGTGGGGCCCTAAGCTATAGCTTATATGTAAATCTGGCACTGGTCCCTGAGACCAGTATTATTAACTTTGATTAAGAGGAGCTCTCCAGGGGCTCCGGCAGAAAGCAAGAAGTCACCAACTTACCTGGGCCTTTCTGTTACCTTGAGATGCTGGGAATTGAACCCATGACCTTCTGCAAAGCTCGGAGCTGCACTGCCCCTCCCCAGCTAGCTGTTCCAGGAAGTCCTGGGCCCCGTGATTCACTCACCGTTTGCAGGTTGCTCCCAATTTGTTTCCGAAGGGAATTCGATTCCGACGAAATGCTCATCTTTCCCCTTCAACTCACACCTGCAAGCTTCAGATCCGCAGGAAGGGCAGCCAGCCCCAAAAGACCCCAATGTGGTGGAGGGGTGCTGATTTTTCTCTCTTTCTCTCCCACTGCAGGTTTTGCCCTCGCAGCTGACTCCGGCACATCCGCCTGCCTGCCACTTGGCGGCCACAGCTCCCTGGAGAACTTCCCAGGTGAGTTACAGGTGCAAAGCAGGTAACCCGCAGGTGGAAATATTTTTCCGGGCCAGCCTGTCTTCTGGCAGCGAACTTTTGCTGAGCAGCCCAGAGAGAGAAGCACTGCCTATATATATTCCTCCCTGTGACACCTGCGTAAGAAGCCCTGGCTAACACCCAGCCGGGCAAACCAGACCCTCCCACTTTCTTCAGGTCTCACGTCCAGGAAAGTGTAGCCTGAAACACTCCCTTCTTGTGAACTGGTTACACCCTGCTCCCACAGCTTATCCTGAGCGACTGCTCTGTCTTTTAAAGGCACAGGAAGCTCATTCAGAGCTTAGCCGCTCTTTTGCGAGACCGGTCAATTGCCTGTTCTAGGCAGGGCTGCCCTCTCTCTGAACCGGTTTGCAGCTCAGTTTGCAACTCCTAGACTCACCTTTGCCCCTTGAAGCGCAAGTGACTGCTGTGGCCAGGAATCATAGAGTTGGAAGGGACCCAAGAGTCATCTAGTCCAACCCTCTGCAATTTCAGGAATCTCAGCTAAAGTATGCGGCTTTGGTTAATATGCCGGGAAAGTGAGCATAGCTGTCAACTTTTCCCTTTTCTTGCGAGGAATCCTATTCGGAATAAGGGAATTTCCCTTAAAAAAAGGAAGATGTTGACAGCTATGAAAGTGAGGCACCGAAAAAGTCAGGAATGAATGAATGATTAACGGTGTTATAAGAATTTTAAGTTCTCAAGTGTAGAATAAATATTTGCATATGCGCACGTATCTAAATATATGAACCATGTGTCTGAAATAGTACAGGGGAGCAAATCCTGTCTTGAGGGCCTATTTGTGTATGAATAGGGTGAGCCTGTGACCTGGATTCAGGAACTAAAGTATTAACCATCACCAAAGAATGGCCAGGCTGCCAAGGTAATGCAATCATGGACCATTGTCAGGTATCCTGGCAAACAGAATTTCTGCTGTAGACCACCTCCTTCTGTGATGTATGTATGATGTTTTGGGGGGTGGTCTTGGGCTACAGGGTGGGCAATTTCAAAAGTCTATATAAGGGCTTACACCCGAGGCTCACTAGCCACTTTGCTTCTCAATATACTCTGGTTGGCCTCTGTTGTTTTCTCCTACCAATAGGGAACCCACTTAAGGACTCTGTATGGGCTCCGGAATATCCCATAAGGGAAAGGGAGCAGTTTTTCTTATAGCAATGGGAAGATGTATAAACATCCCACAAGCAAATCAAGATGGATGCCTGAAGGATTCTCACTGTTGTAGACCCTCCTTTATTGAACAACAAACATTCAATACAGACTGGACACAGGCCGCATCATAACAATGTATTCAAAGCAGTATCGCACCACTTTAAACAAAAAATTCTCCCAAGAATCCTGGGAATGGTAGGTTGTTAAGGGCGCTGAGAGTTGCTATTCTGTAGCTGAGAGCTACAGTTCCCAGAGTTCTGTGGGGAAAGGGATTGGTCGTTGGACCACTCTGAGATCTGTAGTTCTATGAGGTCTCCCTAATAGGGTCTCAGCACCCTCAGCAGACTACAGCTCCCAGGATTCCTTGTGCAAAGGCACGACTGTTTAAATGGGTGCGATACTGCTTCAGATGTATACAGGTACCAACCATTTTGCGTGTGTTCAATGGGGGCCATCATCTAACCACTGCGTCAGCTTTGTGTAAGGCTCACCCAGCGAGTTTCATGGTTGAGTGGGGATTTGAACCCGGGTCTCCGTGGTTCCCGTCCAACACTCTTAATGGCTTACACCACACGGCTTTCATGTACAGTGGTACCTCAGGTTACATACGCTTCAGGTTACATACGCTTCAGGTTACAGACTCCGCTAACCCATAAATATTACCTCAGGTTAAGAACTTTGCTTCAGGATGAGAACAGAAATCGTGCTCCGGCGGCGCAGCGGCAGCGGGAAGCCCCATTAGCTAAAGTGGTGCTTCAGGTTAAGAACAGTTTCAGGTTAAGAACAGACCTCCGGAACAAATTAAATACTTAACCCGAGGTACCACTGTACAGTCATACCTCGGGTTACAGATGCTTCAGGTTACGTTTTTTTGGGTTACGGACTGCTAAAACCTGGAAGTACCGGTACGGGTTACTTCCAGGTTTTGGCAGTCGCGCATGCGCTAAATCGCGCCTTGTGCATGCACAGAAGCGCCGAATCGCAACCTACGCGTGCACAGATGCGCCACTGCGGGTTGTGAATGTGCATCCCACATGGATCATGTACACAACCCGGGCGTCCACTGTATATAAAAGTCCTATTTCTGTTTTCAGTTTGTGAATGCAAACATGGGCTTGGCTCCGATGATGACTGTGGAACATTCCTTTCCCTTGACTCTGGAACGGGGCATGGCGTGGCCGTGATTTTTCCTTGTCCTACGGCAGCCCATCCCAGGGTTCCCGGGCAAACCGAAGGACCAGCCCCACAATGCTGACAGCCTTGGCGCACACCTCATTCCTCCCCTACATCAAACAGAGGTTTCTTCCCAACTCTGCAAACTTGGCAGCCGCACCCTTAAGGCGGCATGCGTTTCTCTCCATTTACATTTCCCACGCATAACTTGACCTCTCCTCCAGCTGTTGCTCTTCATGTATAAAATTATGGCATTCACCCCCATAAGACGAAGTGTGATGGCAACCAACTCAGAAAGCTTTTAAAAGATTAGACACATTAGAAGGCTAGCAACAGCTAAGGTAAGGCAAAGGTAAAGGACCCCTGGATGGTTAAGTCCAGTCAAAGGCGACTATGGGGTTGTGGCACTCATCTCACTTTCAGGCAAAGGGAGCCGGCGTTTGCCCACAGACAGCTTTCCGGGTCATGTGGCCCGCAGGACTAAACCGCTTCTGACTCAACGGGGCACCGTGACGGAAACCAGAGCACACGGAAATGCCGTTTACCTTCCCGCTGCAGCGGTACCTATTTATCTACTTGCGCTGGTGTGCTTTCGAACTGCTAGGTTGGCAGAAGCTGGGACAGAGCAATAAGAGCTCACTCCGTCATGGGGATTTGAACCACCGACCTTCCGATCAGCAAGCCCAAGAAGCTCCATGGTTTAGCCCACAGCGCCACCTGTGTCCCAGCAACAGCTCTTAGCTACAGTTGGTTGGTTGGTTGGTTGGTTGGTTGGTTGCACCAACTTTTACTCCAAGGAGATCAAGGTGGTGGACACAGTTCTTGCCCTCCTCAAATAATCCCCACAACGACCTTGCAGAGTAGGTTATGCTGAGTGGCAGGGAGCGTCCCCAAGTGAGCTTTGTGGCCCAGGGTGGGGGTTGAACCTGTTGGGATTCGCAGGATACTGAGTAAGTCTGCAGGCTTCAACAGGCTGATGCAATACTCTGTGAAGTGCTGGGTCAGAGTGACTCAGCAGGAGTGTGATTAATATCACCTGTTTTAAAAGGAAAGCCTGTTCAACAGTAAGTGTGGTGGTTGTGCTGTGGTGTGGTGGAGAATATTCGTTTGCCTTAAATACAAGATGGGTGACACCTGGCTTGAGAGCAGTACATGTGAAAAGGATCTAGGAGTCTTGGTTGACCACAAACTTGACATGAGCCAACAGTGTGACGCGGCAGCTAAAAAAGCCAATGCAATTCTGGGCTGCATCAATAGGAGTATAGCATCTAGATCAAGGGAAGTAATAGTGCCACTGCATTCTGCTCTGGTCAGACCTCACCTGGAGTACTGTGTCCAGTTCTGGGCACCACAGTTCAAGAAGGACACTGACAAACTGGAACGTGTCCAGAGGAGGGCAACCAAAATGGTCAAAGGCCTGGAAACGATGCCTTATGAGGAATGGCTAAGGGAGCTGGGCATGTTTAGCCTGGAGAAGAGGAGGTTAAGGGGTGATATGATAGCCATGTTCAAAGATATAAAAGGATGTCACATAGAGGAGGGAGAAAGGTTGTTTTCTGCTGCTCCAGAGAAGCGGACACGGAGCAATGGATCCAAACTACAAGAAAGAAGATTCCACCTAAACATTAGGAAGAACTTCCTGACAGTCAGAGCTGTTCGACAGTGGAATTTGCTGCCAAGGAGTGTGGTGGAGTCTCCTTCTTTGGAGGTCTTTAAGCAGAGGCTTGACAACCATATGTCAGGAGTGCTCTGATGGTGTTTCCTGCTTGGCAGGGGGTTGGACTCGATGGCCCTTGTGGTCTCTTCCAACTCTATGATTCTATGATGGAGGCCGTTGTTGTGGCTGGCATCCGTCTGCCTCGAAAGACAACGGAGTGTGCCTCCGGGGGTGAAGTCACACCGCTTCATTCGCAGTAGCAAAGCACCTCCCTGGGACGCAAGCCTGGGAAGTGTGTCTGGAGGTCCTGGGCTACCCAGATGACAAGACCTCTTGGCCTCGCAGATGTGGTCCAAAGGAAAGCAGAGTAAGACGTTTGGCACCAGCTTAGCTGCAGGAGTTGCCAGAAGGACAAGGCACCATCCAACTGCCTTTAGAGACACCTCTCCAGATTTGTGTAGGGTTTCCTCCATAGCCTTTTCTTCTCCCTGAAGATATCCCACAAGGCAGTGGAGGTTTAGGATCAGAGTTTTCCTTCTCCTATGTGGGCTCCCTTCCCAGGCTGATAAGCCCCATCTGCCCTTCACTTCCCTCTGCAGATGTGCAGAAATCACCTTTTTGACCACAGAGCCCACTCTTAGTTTCGTCTGCTCAATCCACCTGTCTTTGTACAGGGCAGTGTTGGTGCTGACCTTTAAAGCCCTAAATGGCCTCGGTCCTGTATACCTGTAGGAATGTCTCCACCCCCATCGTTCAGCCTGGACACTGAGGTCCAGCTCCGAGGGCCTTCTGGCAGTTCCCTCCCTGCGAGAAGTGAGGTTACAGGGAACCAGGCAGAGGGCCTTCTCGGTGGTGGCGCCCGCCCTATGGAACACCCTCCCTTCAGATGTGAAGGAAATAAGCAGCTATCTTATCTTTAAAAGACATCTGAAGGCAGTCCTGTTTAGGGAAGTTTTTAATATTTAATGCTGTATTGTTTTTAACATTCGATTGGGAGCTGCCCAGAGTGGCTGGGGAAACTCAGCCAGATGGGCGGGTATAAATAATAAATTATTATTATTATTATTATTATTATTATTATTATTACAGTGGTACCTTGGGTTAAGTACTGAATTCGTTCCGGAGGTCCGTTATTAACCTGAAACTGTTCTTAACCTGAAGCACCACTTTAGCTAATGGGGCCTCCTGCTGCCGCTGTGCCGCTGCCGCGCAATTTCTGTTCTCATCCTGAAGCAAAGTTCTTAACCCGAGGTAATATTTCTGGGTTAGCGGAGTCTGTAACCTGAAACGTATGTAACCGGCAGTGTATGTAACCCAAGGTACCACTGTATTATTATTATTATTATTATTATTATTATTATTACTACTACTACTACACAGGGGAAGTTCCTAACTCACTGAGGGTTTGAGACCTTCACCTGGCTGAGCCAGAATTATGGGAGCTGGAGTCTGAAAACATCTGTAGGGCCACACATTTCAGGCCCGCCTAGGTATACTGATGAATATAAGATGCTCACCATCCTCTTTAAATTGAATGCTTTTAAGGGGGCTGGGAACAACCCCAAAACTAACACCACTGAATAAAATTAAGGGAGTTACATCGTGCAATTGATTTTTCTTCTCTTTACAATTAGGTAAGCATCAGTGCTATTTTTCTAGAAAAAGAGGTGCCAGAATTCACCGTGAACTTCTCCCTTCTCTTATAATGGCAATGGTGGCCACCTGAGAGGTGACGGAACTGAATTCCAGTGAGATCCAGCTGAAAAAATCCCTGGTAAGCATATATATATACTATATATATATATATATATATATATATATATATATATATATGGTCCACTGGACATTTGAATACTTTATTTTTTGTAACACATACATATGTATGCACACACAAACACACACAGGTTTCAGCCTAACTTCTAAATACTACAAACAGAACAGTGTGTGAATTAATGAAACAAAATGAGGCGCTATTCAGAATAAGTCTTTTTATTGACAGTGAGCTCATCGGCTCAAAATTCACTTACATACAAAACAGTAAAATAAAGTTTACCTTTACGGAAGTGAATTGCAAGTATTAGTCAGCAGAGACAATGCAATCAGTAGGATGTGAGCCGATTTCAAAACATCCTCTTTGAATCATATAGGGCCATAGACATGTTTGGCATTTAGTTTACTTTGTAAGATTTATAAGCCACTCAATCATCAAACCCTCTAAGCGGGTTACATAAAATATTAAATATGCATTAAAATAATTTAAGCTTCCCTCCCACTCTATATACCCTATCAATTCAGGTATCAGGAATTGAAATCGTCAAGTATTTTCCGTATCACAGAGCTCGTTGCACAAGAAGGTCCTCTGGAAGAACGTACAGCAAGACATGTCCGCTTCATGAATTTGGACTCTGGGAGACAATGCCAGAATAACCCTGTGGAATTAATTGGAAAATAATTCTGAATGCTTTCTCATCAGAATGCCTTACCACTGTTTTGGACTACTGCAATGCGCTCTACGTGGGGCTACCTTTGAAGGTGACCCGGAAACCACAACTACCCCAAAATGTGGCAGCTAGACTGTGTAGCTGCTGAGACCATATTACACCGGTCCTGAAAGACCTGCGTTGGCTCCCAGTATGTTTCCGAGCAAAATTCAAAGTGTTGGTGCTGACCTTGAAAGCCCTAAACAGCCTCGGCCCAGTATACCATATTTTTCGCCCTATAGGACGCACCTTTTCCCCTCCAAAAATGAAGGGAAAATCTGGGTGCGTCCTATGGGGTGAATGCAGGCTTTGCTGAAGCTTGGAGAGCGAGAGGGGTCGGTGCGCACCGACCCCTCTCGCTCTCCAGGCTTCAGGAACACATCCGCAGCCTAGGCAGCCCTGCAGGAGTTCCCCGCAGGGCTCCCCACGCTGCGGATAGCAGCCTGCCGCCCGGCGCGCGGGGCACCCTGAAGCAGAGCGCCCCTTGCGCCGGGCAGACATCGGCCAGCCCCACAAGCTCGGGGGACAGCAGGGAGGCGCAGCGCCGCCATCCCGCTGTTCCTCCACCTGGTTCGGTTTCCCCGACCTGCTTTTGGGGGGAGGGAAATAAAGGGAAATTTTTTTTCCTTTATTTCCCCCCAAAAAACTAGGTGCGTCCTATGGGACAGAGCGTCCTATGGGACGAAAAATACGGTACCTGAAGGAGCGTCTTCACCTCCATTGTTCAACCTGTACACTGAGGTCCAGCTCCGAGGGCCTTCTGGCGGTTCCCTCACTGCGAGAAGCCAAGCTACAGGGAACCAGGCAGAGGACCTTCTCAGTAGTGGCACCCACCCTGTGGAACGCCCTCCCATCAGATGTCAAGGAGATAAACAACTATCTGACTTTTAGAAGACATCTGAAGGCAGCCCTGTATAAGGAAGTTTTTAATGTTTGATCTTTTATTGTGTTTTTAACATCCTGTTGGGAGCCGCCCAGAGTGGTATAAATGGGCAGTGTGTGTGTGTATGTATGTATGTATGTATAAATAAATACCATATTTTTTGCTCTATAAGACGCACCAGACTACAAGACTGTTTTTGGAGGAGGAAAACAAGAAAAAAAATATTCTGAATCCCAGAAGCCAGAACAGCAAGAGGGATCGCTGCACAGCGAAAGCAGCTATCCCTCTTGCTGTTCTGGCTTCTGGGATAGCAGCGCAGCCTGCATTCGCTCCATAACACGCACACACATTTCCCCTTACTTTTTAGAAGAGAGAAAGTGAGTCTTATAGAGCAAAAAATATGGTAAATAAAATTCAATCTCCTTTTATAAAACAGCAAATCTAAACACAATGCTCTTTCTATACCCTTTGAACAATTTCCCTTGGAACTAACTGCACTTGAACTAATTTCAATTGCACTTGGAACTAATTAGGGTTGCCATATGTCCGGGAAAACCCAGGCATGCCCTCTTATGGGGGGCCAACATGCCCATTCTGGCGGATTTTTACATTTTAAAGGAAATGTCTGGGTTGGTGGGGGTGGGGTTCAGACTCAGGCTGCTTTGCAAGCTGCGGCAGCTGCCAGCCCGAGCTGGGGAAAGAGGCATGCTGGCACAGTTTGGCTGTCCTCTTTTTTGCTCTCCAAAATATGGCAACCTTAAACTGGGCATTCAAACATTTTTGCACCTAGAAGCCCCAAGTGGAACCATGTAACCATCTAATCCAACCCCCTGCAATGCAGGCGTCTCAACTAATGCCTCCTTGAGAGGTGGCCATCCAAACTCTGCTTAAAAACCTCCAAGGAAGATAAAGGTAAAGGGACCGCTGACCATTAGGTCCAGTCGTGGCCGACTCTGGGGTTGCGGCACTCATCTCGCTTTATTGGACGAGGGAGCCGGCGTACAGCTTCCAGGTCACGTGGCCAGCATGACTAAGCCACTTCTGGCGAACCAGAGCAGTGCACGGAAACACCGTTTACCTTCCCGCTGGAGCGGTACCTATTTATCTACTTGCACTTTGACGTGCTTTCGAACTGCTAGGTTGGCAGGAGCGGGGACCGGGCAACGGGAGCTCACCCCGTCGCGGGGATTCGAACCGCCGACCTTCTGATCGGCAAGCCCTAGGCTCTGTGGTTTAACCCACAGCGCCACCCGCGTCCCTCCAAGGAAGATAGGTTCACCTAAACAAAAATGTTTTAAGCCTGCACCAGAAAGGGTACCGCAAATATGCCTTCCTGGTGTCAGTAGACTGGGAATTCCCATTTCAGCAACAAAGGACGTCTTACCTTTGCTCTTTGCACCATGCATTTCTCATCAGCTGAGATGAATTTCGCCCTGGTTAATCTGCCCCATAATTTCATTGTATTTGGAGGTGACGGCGTTGGCTCTCCTTGTCAGCTGTGCGAGGACACGATACAAGCTGGACACGTGGTAATAGAAATAGCCTTCAGGGTTCTGCTTCTCTTTCTCTTCCTGTTCTTTCAGACGGCTGGCAACATCAGGGTTCTGGTTACTGAGAGGCATGAGGCCACCTTCCACAATCAGCTTGATGGATTTCAGCAGCGTGTAATAATCATACAGATCTTTGCCGCCCGAGTCAGCCTCAGGCGTGTTGTCCTGCCATTCCAAGGGGACGCCCTGGAGAACGCTGGGGAACATCACTGTTTGCTCCATCTTGCGGACCGCAGAGAAGTAATCTTCCATGGTTGCGAGAGGAGAGACTTCTTTGAGCCTAAAGCCTCGGGGGATCTCAGCTGAATTGCAAACAGGACCGTTAGATGTGAGCGTTCCTTGCTTCCAGTTGGTGTGGCAATTTATGAGCAAGCCTGGGTGGAAACCAGCCGTGGAACGTGTGATCAGGAAGAGGTCCATTGGAGCGGTGGACAACACCCCTCTGTCCCCAGCCAATCACATTTCTCCTCCTCTGGCATCTCATCAGTTTTCTCGTATGTGGTTAGCAATGTGACTTTATTTACAGGTTGAATGAACCCAAATTAGAGGTGGACTGAGCTGCGATTGACCCGACCCCAGTTGAAGCCAGGACTTGCTGATCAATAACTGACAAGTCATGAGGTGCAGAGTGGAAAACACCAAGCCAAATCAAGCCAAATCAAGCAATATTTATTCCCGGAGTTTCAGAATCATTGGAGGACAAAAAAAACAGGCTTGCAATACATGGAGAGCCATTGCTACTCCTGAAGGCAGAGTGTGCTGGGCCCGGGGGTAACCCGTGAAACGCGGTCCAGGACCGGTCCAGAATCCGAAGGTTCTGCTAGGAGTCAGTCCAACAGGCCTGAGGCAGGACACAAGGCAGGAAACCAGGCAAGGACGGGTACAGGATCTAAGGCAGGATCTGGCATACAGCAATGTTGCTCCCGCAACCTGGGGAGGGGTCCGACAGCCTTTTATGTTTGTCGGGGTAGCAGCCGGTCCTGATCCCCCGGCGACTCACCACCCTGTTTCGCCCAAAGGCGAGCACTCCTCCTGCGAGTAATCAGGTCTCTCCTTCTCTAAAACCTTAGTCTCTGCAGTTCGGGAGACATCGGTGGGTTACTAGACCCAGGGGCCGCCTCAGCCTCCCCTGACCCAACCGGTAGTGGAGCAGCTGTAAGTGATGGCCCAGCTGGAGGCAACGAGGTCATCCCCGCATCTGGAGCCAGGGCAGGCTCAGGCCCCTGACTCAGCCCAGCTGGTGTTTGTTGCAGGGGAACCTGTGCAGACTGGGACTCTTCAGGATCAGGCCCCAGACTTGGTTCAGGTGATGTCTAAGGCAAAGGATCCGGTGCAGACTGAGACTCCTCTGGTTCCGAGTCTGAGCCCGAGTCCCAGGCCATCACACAGAGAAGTCTTGGATGCTCTTAATGCAGACATCCCCAAACTCGGCCTGCCAGATGTTTTGGGAGTCCAACTCCCACCATCCCTAGCTAACAGGACCAGTGGTCAGGGATGATGGGAACTGTAGTCCCAAAACATCTGGAGGGCCAAGTTTGGGGGTGCCTGGCTTAACCCATGCTTGATCTTTCACCAAATTATAGAACCTTAGAGTTGGGAGGGACCCTGAGGGTCATCTAGTCCAACCCCCTGCAATGCAGGAATCTCAGCTAAAGCATCCATGACAAATGGCCATCCAACCTCTGTTTAAAAACCTCCAAGGAAGGGCAGTCCACCACCTCTCATGAAACAGCTTCTCTGTTCCACTGCTGAACAGCTCTTACTGTCAGAAAGTTTTTCCAAATGTTTAGTCAGAATCTCCTTTCTCGCAGCTTGAAACCATTGGTTCTGTCACGGTCCAGTTCACGGGCGATCGAAGTCCCGGCAGCGGACGTCAGGACCGGGGGCAAGATGGCGGGGTGGGAGCAGGGACGGGGGTCCAGAAGCCAGGAGTCAGGAAGCCAAGAATCCGAGGGTCAGAATGCTGGGAGTCAAGAAGCCAAGGGTCCGAGGGTCAGGAAGCAAGGAGTCATGAAATCAGGGGTCCGAGGGTCAGGAAACAAGAAGCCAAATGCAGCAAAGCAGGAAGCATGTTGCTGTGGCAAAGAGCTGAAGGGAAATGCTGACCCTATATCCCTTCCCGCTCTTGCCACCAGGTGCAGTGAGTTACCAATCGGCCTCACCTGTGTGGCCGTGCCTTGCCTCTTCAGAACAAACTTAGGAAGGCCCCTGTCCTGCAAAGTCCTATTGGTCACAGGGCCTGGCTCCTGCACACATACCTAACAGGTTCGAATCCTACCCTCCAGAGCGGGAGAAAACAAACTTGCTCCCTCCTCCATGTGACAGCCCTTCAGATATTTGAAGATGGCTATCCTATCTCTGCAGATGGTGACAGCAGTCACAAAATTAAAAGACGCCTGCTTCTTGGGAGAAAAGCAATGACAAACCTAGACAGCATCTTAAAAAGCAGAGACATCACCTTGCCAACAAAGTTTGCTTAGCTTTTTCGGCAGCCTGTCCTACCTGCTTTCTGTGAGATTATGAAGGTTAAAAAATAAAAAAAAGTTCAATACAATCTATTTCATCTTCTAGGGTTAGAAGATGTCAGCAAGGTGATATCTCTTAAAAAGCAGAGACATCACCTTGCCAGCAAAGGTCCGCATAGTTAAAGCTATGGTTTTCCCAGTAGTGATGTATGGAAGTGAGAGCTGGACCATAAAGAAGGCTGATTGCCAAAGAATTGATGCTTTTGAATTATGGAGCTGGAGGAGACTCTTGAGAGTCCCATGGACTGCAAGAAGATCAAACCTATCCATTCTGAAGGAAATCAGCCCTGAGTGCTCACTGGAAGGACAGATCCTGAAGCTGAGGCTCCAATACTTTGGCCACCTCATGAGAAGAGAAGACTCCCTGGAAAAGACCCTGATGTTGGGAAAGATGGAGGGTGCAAGGAGAAGGGGACGATAGAGGACGAGATGGTTGGACAGTGTTCTCGAAGCTACCAGCATGAGTTTGACCAAACTGTGGGAGGCAGTGGAAGATAGGAGTGCCTAGCGTGCTCTGGTCCATGGGGTCACGAAGAGTCGGACACGACTAAACGACTAAACAACAACAACAACATCCTATCTCCTCTCAGTCTCCTCTTTTCCAGGCTAAACATACCCAGCTCTTTCAAGCACTCCTTAGAAGCAGTGCTGTAGCCTCTGAATATCAGCATACCAATTTCCACCTCCTCTCTTTCAAAAGACTGTGATTATTATTTTTTAAAGTTGTGGAATGGGAAGGAAGGGAATAGAGAAGACGGTTGCATGCTAGCTTGAAAACATGCCCACATTGTTATGTGCAAAAGTGCACTGGGAGATAAAGGACCCCTGTTTATTTCAAATGATATGTGTGCGCACAGCCTAAATTGGTGGTGAGAGGGCGATCTGGCTGCGAGATCTGTCACCCCATTGATTGCCAGGGTTCATCCGGCTATGCCATAGTCAATGGGCATAGCCCACGAAGCAGGGAGCCTTCAGAAATTAGTGAGAGCATATCGGGGCATTGCACAGTGCTTATTGTTCAAACAGGGGTGTTACAAGCTATTTCCGACTGTGAAATGTTGGAAGGGGCAGGGACAACGACATGGCTAAGGCAGCAATCCTTGAATCGGGGACATGAGCAGTGCTGGATTTACATATAAACTAAACAAGCTATAGCTTAGGGCCTCACTCTCTTGGGGGCCCCCCCAAAAATTAAAGAAAATAAAGCACTGGATGTACATTTTCAAAATATAAGATAAAAAACAAATAAAATAAAACCTACATACAGCAACAGTGTTTTGTGTTGTGTAGGCTCCTATGATGTAAGTCATGGGCCCCGCCTGCTAGCCTGCTCCCTAAAATATCACTGGTTTGCTCCTTTCTATATATAGGGTGCCTACATTCTGCATGTGCAAATGGCTTTAGATAGCTATTGGGTCCATAAATTACCATATAGCATATATTCAGCCCAAAAAACAGTGACCATTTGTTGTTGACAAAGGACAGCTGGACATATAAAGGGCCCCATTACTTTCGGTAGCTTAGGGCCTCATCAAACCTAAATCCAGCCCTGGACGTGAGTCTTGAACAGGGACAGACTCAACAAAAATCTTGGCTTGATGTTACGGGAAGGTGTACTAGCATTTCTGGATGACACACAGCTCTGTGGTATCACATGTGTTTTCCATGCAGGAGGTCCCAGGATTGATGCCCAGTACACTGGTACCTCGGGTTACAGACGCTTCAGGTTACAGACTCTGCTATCCCATAAATAGTACCTCGGGTTAAGAACTTTGCTTCAGGATGAGAACAGAAATCGTGCTCCAGCGGCACAGCGGCAGCGGGAGGCCCCATTAGCTAAAGTGGTGCTTCAGGTTAAGAACAGTTTCAGGTTAAGAACGGACCTCCAGAACGAATTAAGTACTTAACCCGAGGTACCACGGTATCTCCAGGCAGGGCTGGGAAGAACTCCCTGTCTGAAATCCTGGAGAGCACCTTGGCAAAATACCCTCTTGGGGGACCTTTCCTGACAGGCAAGGAGCAGTCCTCCTGTGAGGGAGCCATTTTGATTTATGCCCCTAACATGAAGTTGCTCCATGGAAAATTAAAAGGGCTGCCTCTAACTTAGGGCCCGTTCACTCTTTGCTTGTTCTGGGATTTTTCTAGTCACGGGTCTGAGAGGTTTTTGTCCCTTCACTTAAGCAGGGAAAACCCATTTGATGTTTGTTCCAATTCAGCAGTAAACAGCAGATTTTTCCATTAAAAACTGCACCGGGGGGAGAAATCACTCAGACCCATGACAAGAAACCAGTTAGGGTTGCAATATTTCAAAAAGTGAAAATCTGGTCACAAAAGTGCTTTTTTTTTTTTTCCTTCAAAGTTGGCAAGCTTTATTTTTGGTTTTCTATTGGCCAAAGTTGTTGAGTTTTATTGACAAATCCTTAAAAAAAGAAGAAGTTTTTGAGGTATTTTTTTAAGGAAATTTGCCAAAAAACCTCACTTCCGATACAGGCTGCAATACGCCTGGATTTTCCAGGACATCTTAAAGGATTTCTGAAAATTGTGCCCAGACGCTGTTTTCAGTGGAAAGTGTGGATGTGCCCTTAATCACACAGCAACACACACACAAAAAGGCTGAATTGTGGGCAGGGAACTGATGCCCTTCATTTCCTCTATCTGTTGATGGACGGCCATCCTGACTCGGCCCCAGACACACTGACCAGATGTTTGGAAGCTGTGGCTGGATGGCTACAGCTCGCTGGTTAACCTTCAAGACAGAGGAGGTCCTCTGGCTGGGACGGACAATATGGGATTGAGGGGGGCACCCCTGGTCCTGCGTGGGGTACCAGTGCCAGCACTGTCCAAGAGCCTGGGGGTGCACCCGCACCTCTGGTGGAGGCGCAGATTACAGCTATAACAAAGGTGCATTTTTCATCTCCGCTCAAGCTAAGCAGTTGGCCCCTTTATCTTTCTCGCCCTGGACCTAGCCACTGTGGATCCACGCTGGATGTCACCTCCAGACTGGATTATTGTAACTTCGCTCTGACGTGGGGCTGCCCTTGAGACTGACTCCAGAAAACTCCAGCGGGCAGAATGCTGCAGCCAGACTTACGGGGTCTTCACCAGATCACATTCATCCGGGTACTCATACCAGCTGCACTGGCCCTGGTGGAGTACAGGATCAGGTTTAAGGTGCTGGTTTCAACTTTGGAAAAGCCCTATACGGCCTAGACCCTGTACCTACGGGACCGCCTCCCAGGTTCTACAGAGGAACCACGGTCTGCAAACAAAAACATCCTGAAGGTCCAAGGCCCTCAGAGAGGTTAGCAGCCCCAACCAGAGCCAGGGCTGGGCCGTGGCTCCAATCTGGTGGAACGCTCTGGTCACAAGAGACTAGGCTCTGCGGGACTTAACATCTTTCCGCAAGGCCTGCAAGAAGAGTTGTTCCAATTAGGGCCTGGTCAGGCCCAGCCTGACTCTTCCTCTGGCAACCTGCACAGAACTTTGCTTAACGTGGTTGCCATTAAATTGATTTTTACCAATTTTGCAATGAAATGTTTTAGAATGTTGACTATTTGATTGTTTGGATTATTTGTTTATGTTAACAATGGAGCCTGGCTTTGGCTGGGAGGGCGGATGATAAATAAAATTTATTATTGGCTATTATTCCTCAGGAGCCATGAGGTGGCATGAGCTTATCTCTAATGAAAATGATTTCAGATAGCAAGCATAACAGGCAAAGTCTCCGGATGAGAGCCATTACCTGTCAGGGTAGTTGACAACTACAGGACTAGATGAAACAATGGTCTAGGCAGCTTCAAACGATGCAAAGTGCTTTATTAGTCTGAACTAAAAGCAATATTTAAACACCAGAAAGCAATGGAAACCCAAGGCATACGTTTGCCATGGAGTTTATAGATATCAATTTTGTCCATAAATACCATACAGATAGCCATTTTGTTCACAAATATAATATAGATAGCAATTACGTTCACAAATATCAGTGCTTGGCTTATTCAAGTAAAGTCCATGCTACACAACGTTGTGGGGTAGATGCTGCAGTCAAGGTCTCTAGATTGTCCATTGAGAGCCTTCTTTGTATGGCCTCAGACAGAGGACCCAAGATGTACACATGTGCAGATTCAGAAATTCAGGTTGTCCTGTAAAATGGAAAATGGAAAAGGTGTTAACAAGGTGGGTTGTGTCTTAATTTAAACCAAGGGTCTCTGTGACTCAGCTCCAGAACTTTACTGATAGCCAACATGGGGTTCTCCTGATGTTCTTGGGGTACTACAACTCCCATATTCCCGGTCAACATGACCAATGGTCAGGGATGATGGGAGTTCTAGTTCAGCAACATTGGAAAGGCGTCGTGTTGGGTACCTGGAACCTAAAGAAAGATATGTGAGCCCTCAGTGCTATAACACTGTTAACAGTGTCTGGATAGAACCCCACTGAGAGCCCTATTCTAAGCTTTCCATAGAATAAATAGTCTGTGTTCCAAAGCTAAGCCATGCAAGATAAGTGAAGAAAGAGAAGAAAGAGTACCTCTGAGAATATGCAGAGGTCCCAACCCTCACTTCTGGGCCTGCCAAATCAGAAAATGCCATTCCATTGGCCGGCCTATCCCAACCTGGTGGCTGCCAAATGTTCAGGACTACAACTCCCATCAGTTACAGTCAAGCTGGCCAAGAAATCTCTTCTGTGCAAATGAACCAGGAAGGAAGGTAGGAAGAGTCTGCAAGCATATTTTTAAAAGCTCTTTGACTCTGTTAACAGGCAGTGCAGCAGCAGGAGACTGCAAACATAGAGGGAAAGGAGAATGTTTGTTGTAGAAAACCAAGCTGTTCCCACCAGATCTTATGGACCATGGCTCCCATAGTCATGGTGGCTGGGCTGAGCCAATAACTCACCTTTCGTGTCCTTGGCGTGTGTCTCACCAGCGGAGAGAGATTTCATTCTGGTTGATCTGCCCCATGATCTCATTGTATTTGGAAGTTACGGCGTTGGCCCTCCTCGTCAGCTGGGTGAGGACGCGGTGCAAGCCAGACACGTGGTAATGGAAGAGATCTTCCAGATCAACCTTCTCTTTGCTCTCCTCTTCCTTGAGGCTGGGATTCTGGAAGTCAAGAGGTGCTAAGCCACCCTCTGCTCTCCCCTTGATGGATTTTAGCAGAGTGTAGTCTTCATACAGGTCTCTCTCGCTGGAGTCTCCGTTGCTCGAGTTGGTCTCGAATGTTTCAGCCTGGTCTTCCAAGGAGACTCCGAGGAGAAGGCTGGGAAACATAACCGTTTGCTCCATCTTGCGGACGGCAGAGACGTATCCTTCCATGGCGATGGGTCGAGAGGGGTTCTCCGGATCTGAATTTGACCTCTTTTGCAGAGTCCCAATCTGCGCTGTGCAGGAAAGGTGAGCTGTGTTATGTTTCAGCCTTGCTGGTGGCAATTTATATAGCAATCTTGGTCACTTTCTGAAAGCCTGAGTGGGACAGTTCCACGCCAGTTCCAGACCCTCCTTTCCCAGGGAGCCAATCCCAGCTTCCCGTGAATTGCAAGAATTTGGCAGTGACTCGTCTGTGGTTTGCAATGTGATTTTATTTACAATCTGGATTCTTTCCCAAACTCTTTTGCCCATATCAGCGACTTGGCATAAAGTTGGACGCTTGCGGGTTCAGGTTGTCTTTTTTCTCTCCCCCCCGCCCATAATGAAAGAGAGAGAGACCTAAATTAAGCAAGACTGGTACTAAATTAAACAGCTTTTGGCGAGCCACACTGCTGGGAAACCACAGAAAGACTGCCTTGGTTGGCATTGCATAATTTGCACTCAGTTTGTGATAGCTGGTTCATGCCATCATCTTGCTGCAGGGCACATGAAGCAGAGATGTTGCAGACTGTCTTCAAACCACAGGGCCAGAAAAAGATGTTTGGCAAGCAACCTAAGTCTGGGAATCCACGTCCCGTCTGAACATCTATACAGGGTCAATGGCTGGGCACGAGTCTTTAGCCCAGTCTCCTCTCTGTTTAGACTTCTAATTTCAGGGGCTTGGGCAGAGGTCTGTCTTGCCACCCGCAACATGAAGATGCCAGATGGAAGTTATATTTACTGGGTAATCCCAGTTGTGATGTACGGAAGTGAGAGCTGGACCATAAAGAAGGCTGAGCGCCAAAGAATTGATGCTTTTGAATTATGGTGCTGGAGGAGACTCTTGAGAGTCCCATGGACTGCAAGAAGATCAAACCGATCCATTCTGAAGGAAACCAGCCCTGAGTGCTCACTGGAAGGATAGATCGTGAAGCTGAGGCTCCAAGACTTTGGCCACCTCATGAGAAGAGAAGATTCCCTGGGAAAGACCCTGATGTTGGGAAAGATGGAGGGCGCAAGGAGAAGGGGACGACAGAGGACGAGATGGTTGGACAGTGTTCTCGAAGCTACCATCATGAGTTTGTCCAAACTGTGGGAGGCAGTGGAAGACAGGAGTGCCTGGCGTGCTCTGGTCCAGGGGGTCACGAAGAGTCGGACATGACTAAACGACTAAACAACAACAACAATTTATTATTTGTACCCCACCCATCTGGCTGGGTTTTCCCAGCCACTCTGGGCCGCATCCAACAAAGATTAAAAATACATCAAAATGTCACACATTAAAAACTTCCCTGAACGGGGCTGCCTTCAGATGTCTTCTCAATGTCATGTAGTTGTTTATCTCTTTGACATCTGATGGGAGGGCGTTCCGCAGGGCAGGATCCACTACCGAGAAGGCCCTCTGCCTGGTTCCCTGTAGCTTTGCTTCTTGCAGGGAGGGAACCGCCAGAAGGCCCTCAGCCCTGGACCTCAGCGTCTGGGCAGAACGATGGTGGGTGTAGACGCTCCTTCAGGTCTACTGGGCCAAGGCCGTTTAGGGCTTTAAAGGTCAGCACCAACAAACTGCTTAGGAATGTAGGAAGCTAACTTATAGAGAGTAATAGAACTGGTCCATCTAGCTCCCACGGCAAGTGCTCTCAAGCTGATCGGCAAGAGTTTCAAGTAGGGTCATTGGGCGAGAGACCTTGGGTATAATATACGGTGGTACCTTGGTTCTCAAACTTAATCCGTTCCAGAAGTCCATTCCAAAACCAAAGCATTACAAAAGGCTCACTTTCCCATAGAAAGTAATGCAAAACGGATTAATCCATTCCAGACTTTTGAAAACAACGCCTAAAACAGCAATTTAACATTAATTTTACTCTCTAACGAGACAATTGATCCATAAAATGAAGGCAATAATCCATGTACTGTACTATAAAATAAATAAAGCAGTACAGTCATACCTCAGGTTGAGGTTGCCTCTGGTTGAGCACTTTCAGGTTGCGCTCTGTGGCGACCTGGAAGTAACGGAACGTGTTACTTCCGGGTTTTGCTGCTCACACATGCGCAGACAGTCAGAATGACGTCACGTGCATGCGCGGAAGCAGCGAATCGTGTCCCGCACACGCGCAGACGCGGGTTGCGTTTACTTCAGGATGCGAACGGGGCTCCAGAATGGATCTTGTTCGTATCCACAGTTACCACTGTATTGTAGATAATAAAAATTAAAACACTTCTTTTTCTTACCTGCACTGATGATAGTCATTGTTGGATGGGGAACTTTTATCCATTTACACAGTCACTCAATCAATCAATCAATCAATCAATCAATCGGTAGCTGAACAGGGTTCCACACAGTCACAAAAACAAATTAACTGAAAAAGCCTCAAAAACAAAAATGGAAAATAAATAGCAAAAACATAAGTGCCAAACTTAATCCATTACAGAAGTCCGTTTGACTTCCAAAATGTTCAAAAACCAAGGCACGGCTTCTGATTGGTGCAGGTGCTCCTGAAACAATAGCCGACAGCTGCATCGGACATTTGGCTTCCGAAAAATGTTCCAAAACCGGAACACTTACTTCTGGGTTTGTGGTGTTTGGGAACCAAAGCGTTTGAGAACCAAGGCATTTGAGAATCAAGGTACCACTGTACAACTTACAACATGGGAGAAGTTATGGAACTGGGATTTCAAATTCACAGCATGTTACACTTTGAAAGACAACTATATGAAAATGATGTTGGTATTTAACTCCTAGTAAATTAGCAAAAAATGTATAAAACAGGGTCAAATATATGCTGGAAATGTAAGGAAAAAGAAGGCACCTTTTATCATAAGTGGTGGAATGTAAGGGAGTTAAAAAAAAGGGGGAATGATATATAATAAATTGGGGAAAAAATGTTTAAAAAACCCCCGAAGCCTTTCTGTTAGGAATTCTAGGTTCCAAAATCCCAATGGAGCAGAAAAGACTATTTATGTATGTGACCACAGCTGCTCAGATATTAATGGCCCAGAGATGGAAATAAGACAAAGTCCCGGCCAGAGAAGAATGGCAGATTAATTTGATGGACTATGCTGAAAAGGCAAAATTGACCGGAAGAATCAGAAATCAGGAAGACCAAAATTTTAATAAGGAATGGGGAAAATTTATAATTTATCTTAAAAACCATTGTAAATGGCTAAAAATCATTAGTAGGCTTGGAATAACACTGGTAGTTTAATGTTGAAGTTTGGATATAACGGAGATGAAAAAGAATTAGTAAGGTAAAGGGACCCCTGACCATTAGGTCCAGTCGTGGCCGACTCGGGGGTTGCGGTGCTCATCTCGCTTTATTGGCCAAGGGAGCTGGCGTACAGCTTCCGGGTCATGTGGCCAGCAGGACTAAGCCGCTTCTGGCGAACCAGAGCAATGCACGGAAACGCCGTTTACCTTCCTGCCGGAGTGGTACCTATTTATCTACTTGCACTTTGACATGCTTTCGAAATGCTAGGTTGGCAGGAGCAGGGACCGAGCAACGGGAGCTCACTCAGTCGCGGGGATTCGAACCGCCGACCTTCCAATCGGCAAGTCCTAGGCTCTGTGGTTTAACCCACAGCACCGATGCAGGAGGAAATATTCAACAAAAGGACCCACAAAGGGGAAGAGGGAAGGTCAGGAGATTCTTTGGAAACTTGTTTTGATGTTGGTTGTTGATCATTGACTGTAAAACTTTAGACTGATAAAACTATATAATTTTAAAAAAATTGTTTCAAGCATGGAAACTCTTTCCTCCCTACCTGGAGGTGGTGAGGACTGTACATGAGATCTTTTGCACGTATAGCAGATGCTCTGCTGCTGAGTATTTCAACTTTTGTGGGTTTATTTACAATGCTGGAACATTAGCCAGCTGCCTCTTAATGGTCAGCAGCAAACAACAAGCAGACAAGCACAGACCCAGAATAGAATGTAAATACTTTTGGATGCTTGACCCCATCAAAACAGTCCTTGAGCAGTGATGTTGTCTTTCAGTGGACAAATGAGAGAGAGGAAGGGATATTCTCTATTTTGGGATGTGTCTCCCGAGCAGTTCGTGGCAGGCCAGGTACACACATGGCTGTCTAGTCAAACAGGGTATTGCCTGGGCTGACAAGTGGGGTGATAACTTGGGCAAAGGGTTTGTGCCACCTGCCCCAGACTGAGTGGGCATGTGTTTGCTGAATGATCATCACCCAACCAGACACCAATTGTCAAAGGGAACACACAAAGTTTGGGGAAAGTTCAGCGATCTTTGTTGCATTTCTTACACCAGACAAACATCTGACTTTTGGGAACTGGAATTCAGGGTTGTCTAGTGAATGGATTGGCAGCAGATTAAGGTGTCAAATATTGACTTGATAGGTAAAGGTAATAATGATAATAATAATAATAATAATAATAATAATAATAATAATAATAATAATTTATTTGTCCCCCGCACATCTGGCTGGGTCTCCCCAGCCACTCTGGGCGGCTTCCAACAAAGATTAAAAATACATTAAAATGTCACACATTAAAAACTTCCCTGAACAGGGCTGCCTTCAGATGTCTTCTCAACGTCAGGTAGTTGTTTATCTCTTTAACATCTGATCGGAGGGCGTTCGACAGGGAGGGCGCCACCACCGAGAAGGCCCTCTGCCTGGTTCCCTGTAGCTTTGCTTCTCGCAATGAGGGAACCGCCAGAAGGCCCTCGGCGCTGGACCTCAGTGTCTGGGCAGAACGATGGGGGTGGAGACGCTCCTTCAGGTATACAGGATCGAGGCCGTTTAGGGCTTTAAAGGTCAGCACCAACACTTTGAATTGTGCTCGGAAACGTACTGGGAGCCAATGTAGGTCTTTTAAGACTGGTGTTATGTGGTCTCGGCAGCCGCTCCCAGTCACCAGTCTAGCTGCCGCATTCTGGATTAGTTGTAGTTTCTGGGTCACCTTCTTTTTTTAAAAAATAAAAGTTTTTATTAATTTTCAATACAATATAGATATAATACCATATCAAAGGTTTATCACAAATTATATATTATGGAGTTCCTTCAGCTTATCTGCCAATCATCCGCAATTAAATTTTAGTTACGCATTTCCTAAATTTAATACTGCCTTTTTATATGC